CTCTTTCGTGTTTCCACTTTTTAGCCACTGCACATTCACTATATATTTCTGCGCCTTTCTGTTTAGTTTGAATGCGGGTTTCATGAACCCTACCCTTTTAGGGATTTGTGCTTGACTAAAATGTTTTACATGGCGGAACTTGGTGTAGACGAACGGGTTGCCTGCGACCTGGAACCATTTCGCGACAAGGCGCTTCTCGCGCACATACAGATTCATCTAAACGAAGATACATCTACGTTCCTGCGTTCGGGTGTGCAGGGTTGTATTGGCATTTCCAGTGGGCTCTCTTCGCAGCATTGGGGCTAAGGTAGTAGGGCAGGCTACCAGCGGTGACTGTTTGTGTACTCTCTCTTGATGAAAGCGCAGCGGGAAGCTGGAACACATATATTCATAAAAACGGTGGATTTATCCCCTCTCTCAGATGTTTGCAAATTTTTATGCAGATATAAAAAGATTGAACTGGAATTGAAGAATTCAGGCCCAAAGCGGTGACACAGAAAAAAAAAAGCTGCAATTAATTTGATGCAAACAAAGGGCTGTAATTTCACTCCATTTAATTTTTTTTGCTACATGCTTGTGATTTCCTTCACTGCGGTTTGCTTTACATGCTGATTAAGTTACGATTAATTACCCTGTGCTTTATGACTTAAGTTATATTACTTCCCATTTATAACATACGGTTTATGACTTTCAATTTCAAGCACTTCGGGCAGTTCTGTTCGCTAACAACGGTAAAACGAAGCAGATCGGACGCCGTGTGCTCAATGAATGAAAAATAGCACGCGAGAAGGGGTTAGTTCAGCATCATCTCATACGACCCACTAAAGTTAACCCATCCATGTGAAGCACATGTTTATTTTTAATGCAGTCCTAATTTCCCACATATATTTAATTTAAATAAATTTCCCCTTTTACAAAATACCTGGAGGGAATACTAAAAGGGGTGGGGTGGGTAAATTATCTGCACGCGATTTGGAGAAGCGTGTAGAATGTTGCCAAATATATTTTTTTAAATGGACAAAAATGAAGTAGCATAAAAAATGATACTATCTTTTTGCACCTTTTCCAAATATGCACGTTTACATTTGGGGCATTATATAACGGATAATTGCTGCGGTTTTTGCTCACAGTAGGCGGTGTGTTGTCGGCCAAGCGCTACGTAAGTTAGTTGCAGGCGCGTGTCCATGAGTACAATGGAGTATGCCGATAAAAAGAGAATGCCTCTATCGTGTTGCACGTAACCAATGTGGTAGAAGTACATTTCTATATAGAACGATGAAAAAGGTATGTCCACATGAGCATAAAAAAAAAAAAAAATACAGTAACCTTTGCTGAGATGGCGGAAATGTTATACATCAATGTATATTTTGCGATGAGAACATGACGCGCATCTACACAATTGAACTTGTTTGTGAATACGACAGGAGTTGTTATCATTTATCTCCTTTTTTGTCCGTGCAAGGATGGTAAAATGGTTGATCAGGCAGCATTTCACACATATTTAAAGGTATGGAACATGTGTATATGCGAGATTGGGGTGGTGTGAGGGTACTCCGAGCAGTTATCATTGAATAGACCCGTTCAATGTTTTTTTTTTTTTTTTTCGACCTGTTACAGAGCAGATACAACTGCTATGTACTAAAAGTTGATTTTATTTTATGCCTTTTATCACTATAACGGTATTTTCTCTTTGGCTACTCGTTACCATAAAGGGTGTGTTCACATCGTTGTGTATTGCGCAGTTACATTAAACAGCTTGAACGAATTATCTTTTTAATTTTTCACAATATTTATTTTCCCCTTTTGATCATAACTTGTACGTCCAATGACGCTGGTAAAAATGCGTTCGCGCGATGTACCATAGATTCACAACTGGTATTGTTACAAAAAAAGAAAACAAATTCATTATGGGAACGATGCGTATACAAACCAGTTAAAATGGGCTAAACGGCATTTTCAATTTACAGTTTTAAGAAATAGAGATACCAAAACATAGAATGTATATTTACTTTTTTCCTCGTCCTTGCGAGTGAATTTTCCACATAATTACGTACATAAGTATGCATGTATATGCTTACATAAATTTGTATATATATATTTATTTTTATGCATAGCTTTTGTATATATTTCCCATTTCGGGTGGGGCGCAAAAATAGAGCCTTAAGTGGTGCTCATAGGGGTTTGCCGCACAGAACAGAAAACACATGCTTTGTGCTCTTATCATAAAAATGTAAATGACGTGATAAAATGGAAATGTTTAAATTAAGCAAATTTGTGATTAACTAAATGAAGAAAAGGTAACTATCTACTTTTGTTAAGAACGGAATAAATAAGAACGCAGCTTTTGTATGCTGTTATACACGCCTGATTGTTTAAATGTATTATATAACATAATTGTAAAATAACTGGGAACTCGGAGCGCCTCTACTCTGCATACATTTTTTTTTTTTTTTTTTTTTTTTTTTTTACAAACCTATATATATATATATATTCATAGCACATGGTGAACAACGCCAAGAAAAAAACAATATAAGTAAATAAAATAAAATTAGTTAAAAAACGCCTTTTCATATTTTATACGTTTCGAATTTGTAACAAAAAAAAAAAAAAAAAAAAGAAAGAAAGAACATTAAAACAAAATTGAACTTAAGCAAAGAATGTAAATTGATACGAAAATTTTACGTACGCCCATTGTTTGTAACTTTTTTTTTTTTTTTTTAATCGTGTTTACAATAAACCATCTTGAAGATAAATTAACAATTATAGGAGGCATCTTTGTTAAGATATAATATCCCATATCCCCATTATTCGTACGAAAAAGGTAAGGAAGAGGAAATAAAAACGCGTTATTGTACTTTTTATGAAGCCCACGCATGAAACGTGCGAGTGATGCGTATGTATGTTATGTTGTGCGCACGGCGTTGTGCCAAATGGGAGAAGTGTTATTGAGTCATCCATTTGAACGCATTTTAAAACGCTGTTGAATGGTAGAGCTTTATGGGAGAATATGCATTCGTGTGAAGCTTGACATGATTAATACCAGAGTAAAAACCGTAATAGAAAAAAATATATGCGCGGGCGTAAACGCAAAAGATACGAGGAATAGCATTCCCCAGCGGAAACGACGTGAATGGCGTTTCCTCTGCAATAAAGGAGTAGAATAAGTACACGTGTATGCCAGTTATGTCAATTGCAGTACGTGCACTGTGGCAGCGTTGTATGAACCGTGGGTGATAAACAACCTACTTTTGAGAGCATATGAGCAGGCGTGCGAACCTGTATGTGCCCACATTTGTGCGCAAATAGGGGAATGTATATATGTATATGCATGCATACCGGCGCTTGCAACCCTAAACGAACTATTGTAGTAAATTACGCGACATATTTTGCACCTCTGCAGGCTACATGCTATTTTTGAATTAAAGAAGGACAAAATGGTTTCTGTTAAAACGAAAATTCTAAAAAACAATCCCAGCGACTTAGAAAGGGAAATTGCTCAATGCCTGATTGACATTGAGTTATCAAGCTCGTCGGACATAAAAAATGACGCGAAGGAAATTAAGATATTATCATGTGATTTGATAGAAGTTGAAAAAATTAAAAAAAAAACGATTTTAATTTATATTCCATACAAGATTTATACAACTTATGTAAGGAAAATACAAAGGAAACTTATCAACGAATTGGAGAAGAAAACCAAAAAGTATGTTGTGTTGGTAGCCAAGAGGACTATACTTAAGTCGAAGCAGAAAACCAAGTCCTTTAAAATAATTCCAAGATCGAGAACTCTTACTAGTGTATATGACTCCATTTTAGAGGACATCGTAGCTCCCAGCGAAATAGTTGGAAAGAGGTGAGTGCTGGCTACGGGGCGTAAAAGTGTGCTCATGTGGGTGCACATACACATTATGTATATATGTGTGTATATGTATTACTGTGCCATGCGTGCAAAGCGCGTGTCTGACAACCGGGGCGAATACGCCACGTATGCATTCCCCCACCCCATATCCCCTCCGTGAACCCCACCCTTTTTCGCAGAATAAGCATGAAGGCTGACGGAAAGAGACTATTTAAAATAATGCTCGACTCCAAGGAAAGGCAAAGAGATAACATCGAGGAGAAGCTCATTAGCTTCGCTGCTGTGTACAAAAGAATCACAAGAAGAGACACGGTATTTACTCTGCCACCAACCAACGAAAAATGAAACGGGAAATACTACGTGTGAAATGATTAAAATGAGGGAATGCTTTTACCCCATTTTATATTTTTCCAAAATTTTTAACTTTAGCTCGAATTCTCAATAACCCTCCAATATTTCATGTATGTCCCCATGAAACGTGTATATATTATACATATATGTGTTTTATGTTTTTCCTTTTTTTTTTTTTACCACATTGCTGTAACAGCATGAATGGAATTTTTTTTTTTATTTATTAACATAAGAGAAAAAGACTTGCAAAAAGAGGAAAAAAAAAAAGGTTAAAAAATTATTTAATTAATTTAAAACATTTTAAATATTAACAAATCAAACAACTGAGTTGAATTTTAGCAGTGGAGCCATTCCAAACATGTTTAAAAAAAAGTTTAAAGTGTTACATTTAGGACATCCTATGCAACTATTTTAGTGTACATTTTAAAAAATGGACAAAATGGAACATGCTAGGGTGGGTAAGAAATGTTTCATTTTTGAATTATAAAAGAGGGGAAGGATGATGACCACACATGAAAACGATGGTAAAATGGCATCTATTAAAATAGGGTAAACGTTTTAATTATTCTACAACAAAACTCCTAAGGCGGGACAACATTGGTCTATGTCAATGGTAAATGTGCTTCGTATAATAAATTTGTGCCACCACCCTGTCTTCCTCCTGTTCCACCTTTTTACAAATTCATTTTCCATGGGGAATAAGCATGGGCGTAATAAAATCCTTTAAAGCTTCGAACGAAACCATTGCTTCCCATGCGTACATTTACGTGTATATCTGTGCACATTAAGTTCAGTTTAGAGGAGGCCACGTTTTATCTATGAGCTCCTCATTATATTTGTTAAGTTTCTTTCCAACCAAGGATAGAAATTCCTGCTTCAAAAAATCGCTTTGACTTTTCCATTTGTTAATTAGGGTCGCCCTGGAAAGGTGTAAAAGTGGAAAGGTGTGAAAATTAATATTTGCGCGTTTTTGGAAATACGTACATTAGATGCACTAGAAAGGGTGCATATCCGGTGCATTTAACTGAAGGGTAAATTACATATATGTATATATACATTTATGTACGCATTGTCAGCACTCACCTGCTGCTTATTCTGGCCTCCTTTAGCGCATCTACGAACTGCTTAACCGGCTGGCTGGTGCACGCGATAATGTCATTAGCCGAATGGGTGTAAAACATATGAAATGATGACATTTTAGGAAACATGGACCCATCTAATATGAACAAAGCAAGATAGTTGTAAAATAACATCCCGTTTTCATTTAACTCTTTTATTGTCATGGGTAGATAATGAGAATAGGGCAAATACAAAGGCTTGACGCAAACAACTATTTTGTCCTTCTTCATGTCATATTTGGCCGGTGGTATCTTTTCATACTCGTTAATGTATATGCAGACGTTGGTTATTTTTCCTAAATCTGATTCATTTACACTTAGGCAGTCGAACATGACGTACGACTTTGCGTTCTTCATTATGTAATTGTACAGGATATATATTGGGTACGGCCTACGGGGAAAAAAGCAGAGGGGGGGGGGATGGCAGGTGGTAGGCAATCAGGCATCACACACGTACACACGTGCATATATATATACGTACACCTACATGCACATGGCCACTCCTGAGCATTGTGCAAAGGTTAGGGATTGGTCGTGGTGACTTACCTATTTTTATACATGAGGGAAGACGAATTGATATATATTGGAGTGTTCATGTTTTGGGAGAAATAAGCCTTTTTATTATTAAAGTTTAAATTGGAGTTTCTCGTGTACTCGTTATGTATTAAGTCGGAGCGAATGGCTAGGTGATCTATAAATCCCTGGATGACTGCATAGTGAATTATTTTTTTGGATAAATCTGATGGGTTTTTTTCCAAAATGTCCAAATTAATATTTTTGTTAAATTTGTGATTTATTATTTTTATTAAATGGTTGGACAATTTGAGTAGTTCTTCCATTTTTTTCTTGTCCAAGTGCATGGTACAACAGAAATGATTTCTGTCCTTTGAAAAATAAAAAGTGGTACACACGTTCAGGTAAAAGTCAATGTCGTTATCGAATCTTAATTTAAAATCATCAAGAGTGTTATCCTTTTCATCACTGTTTGTGGAATTTTCCTCTGATGAATTGCTGTCCTCGGCGGTTACATCACCAGAGGAATAACTATTCACATCACTTTGGTTTTCATTTTCATCGTTCTTTTTAAAAATTAAGCTTGCCAAATTGTAGTTACGTCTGGTGAGGGTGTCATTATTATTAGTTTGGCTACTACTCTGGGTTCTGTTTCCATTTGTGATGACTTTCCTTCTTTTACCTCCTTTGCCGTACTTCGCCTTGAGCTTGTAGTCGTAGGAAAAAATGGACTCCAAATATAAACAAGAGACCAAGAGACAGGCTAAGGGGATTGAACTGGTGTGATTAATGGCTAACGATTTTAGGCAAACGTCGGTTACAATTTTAGCATATCTTGTACTTATGGGTAAGGACAGGACAAAGCTACCAGTAGGGGTAATTCCGCTTTTATGGTTCGGGTTAAACATGTTTATATGATTTTCGATACTTTTTTTTGAAGCCATTTTATCACTTAAATTTTTAAATAGGAATTGGACATCTTGGTACCCAAAATACACACAGTTAAGATAAATTAATCTTTTTTTGGCCTCTTCAAATTTACACTTTTCTGGCTTATTAATAAAGGGGAAATGTTCTACATTTTTTATTTTAAAACTTAGTAGGTATAAAATTAGGGAATCCAGGGGGTAATTTAAAATTGGGAAATCATTATCGTTTTTGAAAAAATAGTTGTAATAATTTAATGAATATAATTTGTACACATGTCCCTTTTCCGTTTCGATTTTCTTTTTATTTTTTTTATTCTTTTTTAATAAATGTAAAATTCGACCTGCTCTTCCCTTTCTTTGGATTGCAGAACTTTTACTTATGTTGTCAATAACGTAGTAGGAATAATCGTTCAACGTTGAGTAAATTTTTCTCTTTTCCTTTCCGCAGTCCACTACGTAGCGAATGTTTGGTAGGGTGATAGACGTCTCTGCTATGTTTGTGCTTATAATGCAGACACGCTCATCATCCCTAGGGTTGTTAAATAAACTTATTTGTTCCTTCATGTGCATATTTGCAAAGAGTTTAAAAACTTTTAGTCTGCCTGACCCGTCGCTTCCCTTCCAAATGCTTGATTCATTTTTGTTCCTTTCTTTTTTCACTTCTCCGTTGACTGTGCCTTCGTTGGGCTGTCCTTCCGTTTGTTCATCTCCCGGTTCGTTGTCCGGCGCGTGTTCACTACAAGATTGGCTATCCTCCGACTGCTCATGCTCGTTTTGGACGTCTTCACCAGAATGGTTATCTCCCTCGGTATGCCCTTCCGAAGGGGGGCCACCTTCGCCAACCTCACCTTCTTCAGTCTGACTGCTCCCACAGGAGGGGGGGGCGTCTTTCCCGTTCTCCGTATTCCCAATACCGTATGATTCTTCGTTGTTGTCCGATTGGTTCGCTTTTTCACTGCTGGGATTATTCAATAAGCTGCAATTTTCTTCATGCCCATCGGCATCATTTTCAAGCTGTTCAGTTTGCTCAGTAAGGTCAGGTGCGCTTACCCACATATCGCTGTGCAAAGGAGCATCGTCGTGGTCACTATCGGATGCTTCAAATATAATTCGCTTTTCTTTATTTTCATCCGTTGTCCTGAAGAAAAAACTGCACTTATTATCATTGGCATTTTTTTCGTCCTCACTTAGGTCAAAAGCATTTATATTTTCGTTCTGCGTTTTTTCCGCTTTCCCATCATTAGTATGTTCAAGTGCGTGTATTTTATTTTCATCTCCTGCTTGTGTGTTTTCTTCGGACATTTTTAAATTATTGAGTATATTATATAAACGATAAATTTCGTCCTGACTTGTTAAGAACACTAGGATGCTACCAGGTGGTAACTTCTTATGAATCTGTATAACTTTTTTCTTCGCTTCTTCAATATAGTTTTGAGGCGTGTACGAGAGGAAGTGATCCACTACGGGGACTTTTTCAGTTGGAATGTTGATAGAGGTATAATTTGTAAAAATTTTATTTTCAAAAAAGTGAGTGTCATTAATAGTTGCAGACATAATGATAACTTTAATTGGAATAACATTCGATTTGTATGCGAAATAATTGTTTTTTCTAATTTTGCAGATGATGGACAGGAGGCCTAAAATTAAATCCATATTTATGCTTCTCTCATGGGCTTCGTCTAGAATAATAACAGCATATTTTGACAAAATAAAGTCGTGCATAATTTCTCTTAGTAGTATACCTTCCGTCATAACTTTTATTTTACTGTTTTTTAAAAAATGCGATTTTTCGAATCTTATTTGATACCCAGCTACATCTTCAACATTTAGTTCTTTGTTTAACCTATTGGAAATGCTTCTTACAGCTATTTTTCTCGGTTCCGTCACACCTATGAGGTAGTTATCTGTGCAGAACCCATGCTCATAAACAAACTGCGGAATTTGTGTGGATTTTCCGCACCCGGTATCTCCACTTATAAAGACGACATCGTAATTTAGGATCGCTTCTATAATTTCTTGTTCGTACCCCAGGACAGGCAGCGCCTGCCTCATTTTCTCTATTTTGTCCTTTCGATTTATATGGACTCTTTGGTAGACGATTTTTCTTTTCTCTCCTTCCGGTTGGGCATTTCCTTCGTCAGGGTGATTCGCGCTGTCCGCTGTGTCACCTGGATTCTCACCATCAGTATTGTCATCATCAACATGGTCATTGTCAGCAAGGTCACTCTCAGAGCTAAGCACATGATTACACTCAGTCTCCCCTACGCCTTCGCTGCAATTTCGTCCATTTTGTGGTAAACAATCGTTTATTACTAGTTCATTGGTAGTATCATCCCCTTCACTGGAGATCAGATCATCGTCCTGATTTACCTCTGCATGATGATCCAGATCTTTTGACACTTTTAGTTTTTTTCCCTCTGCACCTTGTTGATAGGTGGCAAATTCTTGATTTCTTTTTTTGCTTTCCAGAAATTTTTTTTTTTTTTTTTCTAGCTTGTTTTTTATAAGCTTCAAATTATTTGGCAAATCGATCTTCATTTCTTCATACGTCTGAAACAGTTTTTCTAGATTTTGCTGATTTGGGCTCTTTTTCTTTGTGTCAAATTGACAGATAAAATTTCGCTGGTTAGTGTTTAACCTGTACTGTTCTATATTTTTGAACAATTTTTCCTTTTCTGCTTCTTTGTCCTGCTTTTGTTTGTACTTTAGCTTTTTCATCAGTTTCCTGTTCGACACATTTTCCATGGAACAGAGTTGTTTGTATTTGTTCTTTATCCTTTCAATTTCCTTTCTACATGATTTGTTTTCTTCCTTTCCTGTTTCGTCTGGGTCATGTGAATGGTCATTTGGATTTTCTATTTCATCTGTGTGGTCACTTTGAGAGGCTTCCTCGTGGGAGTTTGCATTGTGGGATTTCACATTTTGGTCATTTTTCCCGTTCTGGAGATTTTCCTTTTGGTCTTCTGTCCAATTCTGGGTAGTGGAGTGACCATTGCATAGCAGCTCATTTTTTAGACCATTTAGCGAAGGCAGGTTACTTTTTGTGATTATTTTTTTAACTCTTTTTAAATGTTTTTCTTTTTTTTTCCTAATTCTTTCTTCGTATTCTAGTTTCTTTTTTTCCTTGTTGGTTAATTTTTTATTTTGTAAAAGCACGCTTGACGCTGTTTCGTCGTCATGTTTCAAGTTTTCGTCTGTTGTAAGATTATTATCAGATGCAGAATTACTACTCATTTTGTCATTTTGAAGAATTAACAAAGGGCCATGATGGGAGAGTTCGCAATATAGAAGTGGTAATTATTCGCGCAAGGCTTTCCAAGAAGGCAAATGTTAGGAAAGTTGGTCCACTTGCACAGAAAATTTGACAAACTCTGTATGTTTTTTACATATGCGCACGTTGGGTTCTGAATAAGGCTATTTCTGTATAGGCTTATTTTATATGAACTTTGAAATTACATCCATGTTTGTAATGGTTTTTGCAACGGGGGAAAGAAATGAAACAGAATTATGTAAGCTGAACTACATATTTCTTCTCTATATAATACTTGCCTTGCATTATCCCAATATCCACAAAGCATGAGGTTGAGACGAATTTTTGTCCCCCTGTTTTGTAAAAAGCGGGGCACAGCGAAAAAAAATGTACGGTAACAGAAACAAAAAAAAGGGGCAAAGGTATATTTTTTTTTTTTTTTTTTTTTTTTTTTTTTTGCACGTGCGGAATATATTTATAATTTTCATGCAATTACGCATATGAAAATAAATTGTGATGCGCATTTTTCCCCTTTTTTGTTGCGTAATAAAAATAAAATTTTTTTTAGAAAAGAAGTAATTAAGCGTACGTTTTGCGAAAGCGCAGTGGGCCACGACTGTCACCTTGGCACAGCTTTGAAGGAGTTAACAAACAGTTGTCGTATGGGCATCCACATATGTACGAACGTTTGTACGCGCGTTTGTATGCATGTTTATATGTATATTTACGTATACGTGTATGTAACATGTAGTATTATGCTTATGGAAAAAAATCACGCGTTACAGCTTGGTCATGTCCATGCTTTTGATAATGCCAGAAAGGGGACACATGAAAATATCCTTCTTAAGCCAACGGCAAAAGGTAGTGTCCCAATTCTGCTCAACTGGTGTAGCAGTGCTCCCCTGTAGTTGCCACATTTTTTGTTGGTGCAGCACCTGGCACAACGTGTAGGCCCCTCTGCGCAGTGATATTACCTCCCGCTTTTTGCTCCGATGGGCAAATGTCAGACAAGTACTTTAAGAGACTCTGCGCGTTTCCCAACAATTGATGAACCTCCACTCACTGGCATGTTGTGTTCCTTACGAAGCAACTACCCCAGTTTGATATTAAGGAAAAGAGGGTTGTTGTAGTTATTTGTAGCGTCATTTGAGAAAAAAATTGTTCGCACCGTAACGTGGAATATATAACGAAAAGGGAGCAGTGTGGACAGTGTGACACCATTTTCAAGCTACTGACTGGCCATTTATTCAAAAGTAAGAATTATATTAGGAGTACATTTTATCCAGCGAGAAGAAGGCAAAAACAAAATGGCAGGAAGTGTTGACAAGAGAGGAAGTCGCATAATCCAGTATGAAGATAGCAGCAATAAAGAGTTCATCAGGAAATACCTAGTAGAAACAAGAAATGAATTTATAGAAAAACAAATGAGGGCATTATATGAATGTAGAGAAATATACAAAGATGATATAGACGAAGTGATAAATATTTTGACGTACGCATTAGAAAATAATGACAGTGTCTTATTAAGGCATGAAGTAGCATATGTTATAGGGCAAATAAGTAATGAAAAATGCAATGACATATTAATCAAGCTGCTAAACGATACGGAAGAAAACTTAATGGTTCGACATGAAGCTGCTGAAGGGTTAGCTGCAATAGGAAGTGATTCAAATATTGAAGTTATAAAAAAGTTTTTAAATGATGAAAAGGTAGAAGTTCGAGAGACATGTGAATTGGCTCTTAGTTCCTTGTTAGAAAAAAATAAGTACACTGTGTGTTCATGCAGTAATAAAGATAGCGTAAAAGAAGCAATAAGGACAAAACGAAATGACGAATTTGTTTCAAAGAAATTCAACACGATAGATCCAGTAGTATTTACATCAAATGATAATGACAAAAGTGTTGATGCACTTATTGAAGACTTAAATAATGAAATGATTCCTTTAAAATTAAGATACGAGGCTTTATTTAAATTAAGAGATATGGAAACTGATATGTCCATAAACGCTTTAGGAGAAGTATTGATAAAAGATAAAAAGTCTGCAATTTTTCGACATGAAGTTGCTTTTGTGTTAGGCCAGGCATTACATTTAAACTCTTTGAAGTATTTAATTTCATCGCTGCAGAATGTTGGGGAACATGAAATGGTGAGACATGAGGTTGCCCTTGCCCTAGGCTCTCTTGGAAGTTTAAATATAAATTCGCAAGAATATAAAAATGTTCAAAGCGAAATTATAAGCACCTTGAAAAACTTTTCGAAGGATACCTGCAGAGTTGTATCCGAGAGTTGTCTGGTTGGACTGGATTACATAGCGGAGAATTTAAACATGGCAATAGAAATAAATTGATTTGCATTTTGCTCGTTCCCATTTTTTTTTTTCCCCCCCCCAGTATTATGACCCATTTCTAACCCCATATGTGTTTTTGTTCCTCTATTCATTTTGGTCATTTTTGACTGCATAAATTTTTTGTGTACACCTTTTAGGTGGTCCCTCGTGTGCCCCGTCGTGTACCCCTTTTTTTTTTGAGTTCTTTTTCAAATTCGAATTTGTTAAAACAAAACCTTACGTTTAATGCGTAATATTAAAAATGGAAAAAAATGAAAAAAAAAAAATTTCTGTACATAATGTAGCCTCACCATGGGAGGTGCTCGCCACGAGATGCCCAATTTCACCCCGAAACGGGGCACCCTTTTCAATTTTTTTTTTCCATGTCGTTGCTGCGCTCACCTGTTACGCGTATGGTACGTTTGCACAAAATAGGGGAATACATGAATGTAAAAAAAAAAGGAAAGAAGAGTTCGTAACCCTTTCAAATTGTAGTAGGAAGGACAGGCCAGTTTGGGTGTAAAACGAAGCTTACTGAGCATGTCTCGAAATGTTGCCTGCGCTTTGAGTGCGCCCCCCTTTGTTCTCGCAAATATCGCGGGAGTGGTGTAAAATGAACACAAAAGTAAAATGTTGTAGAAATGCAAGAGCTTCTTGGGGTGTACAAAAATATTCACAATATGGTGTTAAGGATTGTAATAAAAAAAAAAAAAAAAAGGGAGCATTCATCCAGTTAAGCAGTATCTCATTCAGCAGTTGTTGTTTTCTGGGGGAATATATGACAATACGAGATATGCTCCCGCGTTGTGTTTTTGTCCTTTTTTTCTCCTTTTATTTTATTTTATTTTTTATCCCTTTTTGGCTAACTGGGAGCAGGAACCATGGTGGAGCAACAGATGAGGAAAGTTTTTAAGCCACAATAACAAGTGCACATATTAGGTAATGGATGTAAATTCATGGAACGCATTTTTTGCACATTGCCCTGGAGGAATGATGCCGTTCACCTTTTAACATGAATTTTATTTTGATCTTTTTCAAAAATGCTTAAGGGTTCGGATACGTACAAATACATGATACATAAATACATCAACAGAAGTTTGTACGTTTATATAGGATTGTTTTTTTCATTTTGGCATTTTATTTTTTACTCTACCTATATTTGTATGGAAAACTTGGGTGAAAATGTAAAAAGGTATAATGGCTTTTTGTCCTTATGCATTTTTTGTTACACTTGTGTTTATTCAGCCAAAGATATTTAATGCAAACACATGACGTTTACTATAATAGTCCCGCGTGCACGAGAATTACGCGGAACTCAGATGTTGAAGTACGCATATATATAAATTTTTATGTACGTGCGCAGGGAAGGAGCAAAAGCGAGAGTCCCTTGCATGCTGAATGTGTATGAAATTATTTTGCGAACACATGCACTTTGTCGGAATGTACCATTTTGCATCTACAAGGGGGTAAAATATACGCACTTCTGTGTATGAATTCAAATGTGTACATTTTACTCAAGGATATATGTGCCCACCTACCCGTTTGTTTGCTTGTTTGCGTGTTTGCGTTTTTGCTTGCGTATATTTACGTGTTTTCCTCAAAGTGAAGAGAATACATTTCTCCGGGATTTCTTACTTTTCATGTCTATGGCAATAAATTGCACAAAGGGGGAGCAATATTTAAATGCACATTCTTCATTTTTTAAAAATTTTTAAATATTTCCTCATCACAGATTTAATGTCTTAGGGAAAATTTCTACATAATTGATACATTTTTAAGGCATAGCTCTTGTGTACACTCCATAATATGTGTTTTTAAGTGCGAAGTGCCTTGGTAGCACTTAATTGTTTTTATGCATCCTGGTACTTTTTTTTTTTTTTTTTTTTTTTGTTACAAGGGAAAAAATAAATATTACGTCAATTTAAATGCACATCTTTAACATTTTAAAGGAGAAAAGTAACAAAATGTGCTCCCGCACCCACCAAAAAATTACAATAAAACAGTACAAATAACTAAAATGAGATATACCCAAACTATGCTTACACATATTTTAAGCATAGTTTGAAAGAGAAGTACACGTTGTGTATTTTTTGGCTACATTTCTTGCAGGAGAAGAAAAAGATAACGAACAGTATGTTAATGTACACATTATAAAACTGTTTCCGTGAATTCTTTTTTGTTTTGCTTCCCGTCCTCTTTAGGAAGTTCATTCGGCATACTGGGCATGTACCAATTTGTGAATTAACCAAAGAGATACAAATGACGTGCCTGTTTTTGTGTGCATGCTGATACATTTTTGTAAGTATATATGTAACTAATGTATATACGTACGTATATGTATGTCCCTATGCTTACATACCTGTGTACGGGGGCTAGCCATGCAGTTTTTCGCATGCAAATGTTTATGTCAACTTGGTTATACACCTTCGTCTGTATAGTCCTTTGGCGCAGATAACTGCCCAGTATTCTTACTTTTTTATGTTTTTTTTTTTGTTTGTTTGCCTCTAAAAAGGGGACACAATGAATAATGGCAATGTGCCCGTACTGTGGAAAAGGACAGCCCATTTATTTTTTTATTTTTTATGAATTTTTTATTTTCTTTTTTTTTGTGTGCTTGAGACTTGGTGAACTAAACTGATATGAAGTAGCCTTACAGAACGAGATAACAGGAAGATATTGTTCCAATGTAGGAATGGACCCCATACGAAGTTTTTATTATGACATATGATAGCACGTTTTTTTTCCTTTTTTTTAAAAAGTTATAAATACGTTATAAGAACACGTTACAGGAGGGAGAAGAAGCAGAAAAGATAGAACAGGCGATGCGACAATAGGCTACATTGGGTTAGGAAAAACAATACAGAACAAAACAGATTGGCCATATTTTACACATGTAGATGGAAAATCAATTCAATGCGAAATTAGAAAGAGTCACGGATTTTAGCTTATTTGAAAAATTAAAAAAATCGATCTTAAAAGACAATGTGAACGAACTGTATATATCCTCGTTAAAATCCATTTTGGAAAAGTTAAAGGACCCGGGTGTTGATACGAGTCACATCATTTGCAATCACCACTACGCAGAAGCTGTTCTATTTTTTTACGCAACTTTAATTATAGAAAAATATGAATTCGTTTCTGTCTTTTGTGAAGATATAATTTCAAGTAACAAATTTCAGGATGTAGTGGATAATTTAAAAAGAATAAAAGGAAAACATGTGGAGAGTTTGAGTAAGATAAAAAAAATAATTATTGAAAATATAGATAACTGTGAAAAGTGCTTGATGATTTATTATCTGTTGCAGAAGGAATTCTTAGAAATGATATCTGCGTTTACAAAAAATGAGGAAGCATTAATAAATTTCGTGAAAAGAGAAATTTTTAAATTCAATTTTAATCGATTATTTAATAAGATAATTTGTCCTGTTGAATATGACAAGGTCGATTCTGTTGTACTAGAGCTTATGCTAAATGGGGGAAAAATATTTCAAGTGAATGATAATTATCAGTTGGAGACGAGCCAAATAAATCAGGAAAACCTGAAATTATTCACAGAGAAATTTATGAGTTTAAAAAATGACACTATATATGATATTATAAAAAAGTATGCCCACCATGAGTCGCTAATTTTTCTTTGCAATCTTGTCCACATGGAATTTAAAAAATGTAAAGATTTGTTAACAAAAGTGAATGGTGAAATGTGTAAGAAGATAGATTGTCCAAACGATGACTCGAAAAAATGTAACGAGACCGAATCGGAGGAAAATTTGGATAGCTATAATATCACAAAAAATTTGCAATCATATGTATATGTACATATATTTCTCCTTTTCCAACATGGGGAAGTGGAGAATAGCATAATAAAAGTTCTGAAGGATAAAATTATCCTTTACTCGTTAATGCTGAACGCTCTGAGATATGCGGACAATTTTATCCAGTTGATAATTTTCAAAATTATAAATTTTACCTTTATAAATGACGATAATTTTTTAAATGATTCAAATAAAAAATTGATCATATCTATTTTGTCCTACTGGGTCAAGTTAGCAGACGCTTGTATTATTAAAATGATAAACACGAGTTTGCCTGAGGGGAACGTTGCGTCGAATGTGCTAAAAACTGATAATTTTTTTTTAAAAAAAAAATTTTCAGACTATGACATATTGAAGTATATACAGTGTTTAATCAGTGCAATATATCTGCTCTCCCTTATTAAGAGGAGGAGAAAAACGGAAGCGTCTAATTTGTTATCGGAAGAATCAACTCTGCAAAAGCATAAGCGTAGTATGGCCTTTTATATGAATGAATATAATTTAGAAAGCTTATCCTTGAAGGCCTTTTTTACAAAGAATGACGTGTATGATTATTTCTTGGGTATCCTATTTTCAGAAAATAAAGAACTCATTAATAAGCTGTTTAATTTAGTATTCAAGCTGTTACACTTTTTAAAAAATTCCAAGTTGTACATTTCGAAAAACACCAATATAAAAAATAAATATTTTGAGGAAGTCACTACATTTTCTTGCATAAATATTGTGTACAACATTTTAGACGTGACGAAAAGGATGTTTTTGAATTCGTTCGAGGTTGATGAATATACCAAAAATTTGTACAGAAAATGTCTGAGAGAGGATAAAAACTCCTTTGATTGCATTGTTTTGCATTCATTTCCTCAATTTATTAGCCACAGGGATTATCACATGCGTTTGTACTCAATTAAGGTAATTCGAGGCGGCTTCATATTTTTCTTCCATATATGTACAGATGCACTTGCGGTTGTATGTAAGAGTGGAAAATTCCACGCGTTCACGACCAAAATGTATAAATTATTTTCCTCCTTCTTTTGGTGCATGTGCACTCTTGCAGGTTTTGTCAACCCTGTTGTCTGATTCGGTCATTCGGGATTCACTGGAGAAGAATACCATTTTTGAAATTTTCGATTCGTTGATGAGCATGAAGTTCCATAGCGACCAACAGAAAAGGAACGATGAGAGGAAGAACGTAAATAATTTGCTGCTACTCCTGTTGAAGGCAAATATAAGGGAGAACAAATATTCCAGTAAAACTACAAATATAATATTTAGTGTTAAACAGAAAGATGTTAAGAAGTACATTGTGTCCATCTGCGATGATGGCTACCCCCTTCTAGATTTGAAAAGCATATTTGAATATATTTTTGTCTTGTTTGTAAAAATAATCAACGTCATTGTAAAAAGGGTGTTGTCCCTTTTGGAGATAGAAAAGTATAAAGTGCTATTTATGAATGTGTATGAAATTGTAGAATTGTTCATGAAAGAATTAAAACAAGAGAAGAACAAAAAATGCAGATCCTTTTTTTTTTCCGAAGCTATGTATTTTTCGCACGTGATTTCGAATAGTATATATAAGTCCAAGGTGCATTCCTCTGTTCCATTTATGAATAAGGTTTTTACCTTAATTAAAAATATTGAGAATTACGTAGATGTCATGTATGATGATTTGTGTACGTTTAAGGATGTGCAGCAGAAGCTCCCCCAGGCAGGAACTTATGAAGAAAAACTTTCTGGTGAAAGAACATATGAGGAGGGTGCAACTGAAGAGGGGCTGTTTGATGATGGTTTTTCAGATGATAAGTTGTGTTATTCTAGTGATTCAAATTCGAACAGCATAAAGGATATGCACATGCTCTATTTTTATACTAACACATTTTGTGAGGACGAAAAGGGAGGAGGGAAGAAGGAACCAATTGGTGCTACCCCGGATAGGAGCAGCACGAGTAATCAGAACGGTGGCGCCACTGGGTGTCCGCTGGACCATGTTAGCAAAGCGGAACTGGCGAAGTCCTACTCAAATGAATTAAGCAGATTTAAAGTTTTCATGAATAGGTCAATTACGAAGAGCAAATTGAACGAAGAAGGGATTTTCAATTACATGCACATTTTTTTCTTCCTATGCGTAAGTAATGCAAGTATGAAAACTAGGAGACACGTGGTAAAATCGTATGACCTGATCACGAAGTATATCATGAAGGATGAATATAGATTAAATAGAGTGAAAAAGAAAAGTGGCATTTTCTTTCCGCCAATTGTAATTATTAGAGATGTGGAGAATGAAGACAAAAGATATAATATAACAGTTGATAAATATGACTACATGTTAAAAAGCTACATAGTGGACTTTTTCAAATCGAAAAAGTACATGTACAGTTTTTTATTGTCAGTTTTCCAATTTAGTAACATAATGATTTTGTACTTAAAAAAAACAAATTTCATAAACAACGATTTTGATGAAAAATTTGATGTGTTAGAATGCTTCATGTTAGTAAATTCGAAGACTTGGTTTTATCTGAATGTTACCATTGAATGTGTACAGAAATATATTAACATGAAAAAAGCGGATCCATTTCTACTGCGTATCCTTAATTTAATAATAGACAACGTGTGGAAAATTATTATATTCATTATTTTTAATACAAAAATAAAAGCCTTTTCGATAAAGTCCAGAACGCATTCTATACGTATTTTCGCAAGAGATTCGTTGTTATTATTTCTGGACTTTTTTTCCACATGGATTTTGTTTATAAGAAAATTTTATTCAAAAGGGGAGCCTTTTGCCAAGGATGTTATACTACCTGAATTATTCTTTAGGAAATTTAGCAGTCTGTCTACGCAAATTTTGGCCATCTTCAATTTTGTCGAATCGAATTTATCCTCAATTAGTCACCGTGACACGAATGCATCATTGTTAATCAAGCAGAAAGAAATTATGAGCAACATTTTAGATGCACTGGTAGATCTAGCAAAAGATAAAGCGCCTCATGGGTATGAAACCCATTTGAATAATCTTGTCCAGTTTAAACTAAAATTGAAGGGTTTGCCAACGCCAAAATATGTACAGGAACTCACTCATGCCTGTGACTATGAAGCAGTGTTTACTAAAACGAAGCAAATGTTAATGGGTAACGAGAGGAGTGATCTATTCGTTACAGGACCAAAGGCCAGAGAAGGAAGCAGCACAACGTATCTGGGTAGGTTTATCATATTAAGGCACTGGGTGTATGGTGCGCAGGGGGGGCGTGTCACATGTGTGTGGTGAGACGGCCGTGCGCACATATGTGTATATATGTATTTATTTTATTTCTGCCCTCCCCCCGTGCAGAACCGAATGCAGCTAACCTAATGAACAATAAGGATCTCAACTGCAATGTGGTCACTCGTTCCGGACAGGAGAATAACTCGGACACCGTTACGTGCAGCAACGCGAAGGAGCTTGAAGTGGGAAGATCGAGAGCTGCATTGGGAGCAACATCAGGTGTAGCGTCAAGAGCAGTGTCCAGATCGGCGTCCAGGTCGCACTCCCCCTCTAACAGTCTAAGTTCAAAGGATGGCAAATACAAAGAAAACCAAGCTAATTTCGACCACTTGTCGGGGGAAATGACAAAAGAAGCAGCCTTAGAGAAGGCCAAAAAAATTTTAGAAAAAACGGCTGCCTTCAAAACGCAGAAGAGAGCCATCGTACTAAATGAAACAAATGCGAAGAATAACAAACATCAATATTTTAAAGAGATGAAAGGAAAGAGATTGGAAGCAGAGAATAGCATGAATAAGTATTACGTCATGTTGCAGGAGTTCCTGAATTGGGATTTTAGCTGTTTGGACAACATGCTGATGTATAAGATGTGCATTAATGAGGAGATTCCTCTGCGTTTCCGGAACGAAGAAGATTTCTACAGGTGAGGGAATGAAAAGGCAAAGGGGCAGTGCAACAGAGGCGATGCATGTACTGGGGGAATGCAGAAAAAAGTTGTGCATCGTGTTTTTTTTTTTTTTTTTTGATATGAAGCATGCGCAAAGCTGTCCACATGATGCGATTATTTCGTCGGGTCGTTGCACCACTCACGCCTTTGTCTACCATAGGGTTGCCCCAATTTTGTCAATTCATGTGCAAAAATGACATAGTACGTGTGGCGTGTCCTCTTAATTACCCTTCCTTATGTTCCACCCGTTTACACTTGCTCCCCCTGCAACCCCCCCCCCCCTTTTGCAGAATTTTTAAACCCATGGTCCTGGAAGAGTGTAGGTGTTGCATTATTAACAAAATGGCTGGCAGTACACATAAATATGTGCTAAACTTGATTGCAAAGAAGAAAACGTCATACTGGATAGAATGGCAGATGTCATTAGGAAATGAGAACAAGGCAATCGCCGATAGCTTAAAGCCAATGGATTTGATTGCATTAATTCCATTCGAAAGTGAGAGCAACGTTTTGTTGGATAATGACAAAGGGACTGTTAAATATCATAATTTGAAAAAGATTTTAAAAAATAATAAACATTTAATAGGATTGGTAGATTTTTCCATGAATAAAATAGAAAATATGTGTGAAGTTAAGTTAATTAATGAAGACATTTTTCCCCCAAAATCGGGAAATGAGAAAAATAGATTAAAATTAAATTGTCTTACATGTAATAAATTCAATGGCTATTTTTTGTGTAACTTAATGACAAATATAAGAGAATTTCAGAGTGTGTATTTGAGTAGGAACTCCTCCCTATTTAACATAATTCTGAACCCTACCTTGTGTAATAGGAATTTGAAGGAAACAAAAAAGATGTCCTGTACTAATGGTTGCTTGAATGAAGAGAATATAAGAGGGAATGACATGTGGAGAAGTAATTTAACCAGTTTGGAAAAGTGCATACTGAATGTTATGAGGGATTATAATTTATTAAATGAGTCTCAAATAGAGGCCGTTAAAATGGTTTTTCTAAATAAAAATAGCATTTCGTTAATACAAGGCCCACCAGGTACAGGGAAGACGAAAACCGTTATTGGGATTATATCCGCTTTGTACGCAATTATTAATCAGCGGAATAGTGAGGAAAAAGGAGAACTAGCGAAGACAAAGAAGGATTGTGCTTATAATGATCAGAGCGAAAATTGTAATAAGAAAATTTTGGTTTGTTCCCCCTCCAATTCTGCAATTGATGAGATTGCCAAGAGGATCCTAAATGATGGGTTAATAAATTTTGCCAATATTGTTGGATCGAGAAGTGGCGGAAAAAAGAGCAGCGGTAGTAGCAGTAGCAACCGCAGCAGCAATAACAGTAGCAACAGCAGCTACAATAACAGCCTGAACAGAAGCAACATGAGAGTGTTTGGGGGGCGGGGTGACGTTAACAGTGTAACTAATCCAAACATGAAAAAAATGCTGAACACACAAAGTGCACACAAAAAGGGGAAGAGCGGGAATGCAGAAGAAAGGCGTATTAGGTATAGGAACGTCCTAAAACAAACCATCACGCCCAAATGTATCAGAATAGGTATATCGAAGAGGACACATGAAGAAATACAACCCATTTCGCTGGATTACATATTCAGTAAGAGAAAGAATATGGAAAAGAACGCGTACGAAACGCGCTTTAATGATAAAAAGAATAAAGTGTCCCTTTCTCTTAAGGCGATTGATCACACATGTAGAAGAGTGGAAGAAGTGAGAGGAAAATTCAATCACAGCGATTCTAAGAAGTACTGTTTCGAGTTTAATGAAACCAAATCTAAATCATCATCGCTTGAAAAAATTGAAAATGTAAATGATTTTTTTGCAGAAGAAATTATAAATAATGTGGATATAAAATATTTAGAAAAATTATTATACCTATTTAATGAATCTTTTTCTCATTACGAATGGAGTTTGGAAAAACTGAAAGCTGAAAAAAAATGTTTTGAGGAGAAGAAAAAAAAACTGATAGATACGGACAAGGAAATAGGTTCCTTCTATGCAAATAGTAATAAAGACAATATGGTTTTCGAAAGTGAAGTGATATTTAGCACCTTATCAGGAAGTGCATCTCCTGTAATTGAGAATTTAGAATTTGAATATTTAATAATAGATGAAGCTTGTCAGTGTGTGGAATTAAGTTGTTTAATACCCTTCAGATTAAAAATTAAGAATGTAATTATGTTGGGAGATCCAAAGCAATTGCCAGCCACCACGTTTTCTACTGATTGTACAAAATATGGGTACAGTAGATCATTATTTGAAAGGTTGCTACTGTGTAATGCTCCAAACGTTCTGCTGAATGTGCAGTATCGTATGAGAGAAGAAATTTGCTGCTTCCCCAATATGTATTTCTACAAGGGGTTGATAAAAAATGATGAAAATTTAATGAACAAGCCGTCATTTTATTTGCATTATTTAAATCTATATGGGTGTTATAAATTTATCAATATTGAGGGAATAGAGTCCACTACATGTCATAAGTCGTACATTAATTATGTGGAGGCCTATTTCATATTCAAATTAGTATTATACATTCACCACTTTTTTAGTAACAAAAATGATGAAAATCCAATTCCTAGTTTTTACAAATTGTCTGCTAATTTTAGCTTAAGTGATATAGGAATTATTTGTCCGTACCTGTCCCAAGTCAATTTAATAAAAAGAATGTTTCAAGGTTATTTTCCATTGACCAGTTGTCCAGATGTTTCCACGGTGGATGCGTTTCAAGGGAGAGAAAAGAGCATCATCATTTTTTCATGTGTGCGTTCAAATCGTCAGGCTCTGGAAATGTTTAGAAACAGGGATGAATTAGAAAGTGAAAGTGGGAATTTTCATTCACGTGGGAAAAGGGGAGGAGGTTATCGTAGTCATAGTGACCTCAGTTTGGATGACCCCCCTTTTGACGACGCCAGTTCTGATGACTCTTATGTTGATGAGCTGCATACGAAAAAGTGGTTCAACGTGGACGGGAAAGGTATGCAAACAGAGAATGACTTCAAATCGGTACATAATAAACGTGGAAATAATATCGGATTTTTAAAAGATGAAAGAAGATTAAATGTGGCTCTTACTCGAGCAAAGGATTGCTTATGGATAATAGGAAATAAAAAAAATTTAGAAAAAAACTGCATGTGGGATTCGTTAATAAAAAATGCAATTGCAAGAAATTATTATTCAGACTTAGATCTAAATTTTGGCCAGAGCACCACAGAAGAAAACATAAAAGACATAATTGATACGTATTTTTCTCAAATTGGGAAGAATGCAACGGAAGGAATAAACTGCAAGGATGGGGAAAATGACATAAATCATGAAATATTTAGCTCGTCCAATTCTGAGGGTAGCATCATAAATGGTTTCAGAAAAAATAGTGGAAGTCTCTTTAAAGAAAGAAAAGATTTTTCGCGAGTAAATTATATCACTGGGAATGAGAACAAATTGAAAACCAACATTAATGCGAGTTCTGTGCCTCAACGTCAATTTATGTTCAGCAATGCTTATACTGGTAACAGATTTTGGGGGAATGCCGAAAATGAAAATAATGGAACCATAAAAAATGGTAATTTTGGTAGTAACGTAAGAAAAAGGCCAAAAGATAGCAGCATGGGTGACGATCAAGAGGAATTGTTCCCAAAAAGACGGAGACAAAACTAATGAGATGTTTTTGTGTTTACTTGTACGTTGCGTGTACTTTATAAGAATTCAAAAAAATTCGTCATCATGATAGTAAATAACACGGCTGACAAATTGTTAGTATTTGAATAAGGTTAGTATGGCTAATGGTTCATTTGGGGAAGTAGTGACGGCGCAGGAAGAAACAAAAAGATGTATGCCAAGTAGGCAACTCCTGGGTGTCGTTAAAACTTTGACTTCAAATGAAGAAGTGGGGAATTGGGAAGTGTTAATAATTGCAAAGGTTGCGGACAAATATTTTTCTAATTAATAATTTGGAGTGTTGCTGTATGTTTTGATGTATTTATGTTTCTTTTCTTTTTCGCATTTTTAAAATCCCTTTTATGTTAAATAAAAGTAGGAATGTGCGATGTGCAAGCACGACGTATTTGTTAATAGCGGTATTTTCTTTATAACTATAATTATAGCTGCTTTGAAGGGTGTTTCATACACATAAAACGCCCACTATTTGAACAATTTTTTTTTTTTTTTTTGTTTTCTTTTCCTTCATTTGTTATTCGTTTAATTTTCCTTTTTTAAAGAGGAAAAGACTCAGAATTTGCGAACACATTTGCCATGTCCTTTTTTTATAGGGACCTTTGACTTAATTTTGCTACATTTTTATCAAGCACTTTCTCATCCCTTGGGTCTATGCCTTCTCGTTTAATGACAAATTGTAAAAGTGCAACTAATGGTTATAGGAACTTTCCTTTTATCCACTTAAGAAGTGACAACATTTGTAATTACCTTGTCCATGTGCGCAATTTGGGCGGTTAGAGCTCGTATGCGTTGCCGTAAGAAAGGGAAAACAAGCAATCAAATAAATGTGCAAACCAGTGAGCAAACAAATGAGTAAACAAATAGGTATACAAATATGGAAATGTTTATTGTCTCGAAATAAGAATGTCAGCGCAATGTAGAACAGATGAATGGCTAATTAGGAAATTTTAATAAGGCATATGTAAATATATGTACGCGTAAGTATAAACACGTTGGAGGGTCTTTGAAGGAAAAGGAGAAAGTCGTTTTTTAGCACCTATATAAAGTAATTTTTAACACTCGGAGCACTTGAACGAAATGATATGTTGTCCTGTCATTTTTAAATTGTCCCGTTCCTGTTTAAATGTTCAAACAATTCGTCCATGTTCTGTAAAAACGTATTTTATCTGTTCTGCGGGAGAAAAAAAAAAAAAAAAAAACGAAGGACGAATTAAATGCTTCTCCACATTACAAATGGAAAACTGTTGAATTGTCTTAATTTTAACAAAAAGAAGAGAAAATGAGTAACGGCATTTGGACTAGTCCTGTCTGGATCTGTGTATATACATATGTTCCCAATTTGATTATTTAAAAAAAATATTTCCGAATTGGGAAGATAACAGAGGAATATAAAAAAGGTATCAAAGGTAAATTTCATTTTTTGCGTGCATTCTATTTCAAATTTAATAATTATGTTAAGGAATAATCATTTGTGTGGAAATATGGGTCTTGCACTGAACCACAGGGTTTGCATATCATACTACAAAAATGTGATATAAGAATTATTGTTTTTCTCGCATACGTAATTTTTACGCAGATTTTTTGTAATTTTTCACAAAATTTTTATCGCATTTTTATTATTCAGCTGTGTTTGGCACTGCTATCTCTTGTCAATTTGTTGTTTCCTTTTTTTGGTTAAAAATGGAACATGCCCATAGGACTGCCCTTACGGAAACCCAGGACGATCTGAGGATTGAAAATCAGAATTTTTTGGGAGGTAAGTAAAAAAGGGGGAAAATATTAATAACGTCGCAAGGAATAAAAAAAAAAAAAAAAAAAAAACGCGCGTTAGTTCCTTCTTAGTTATATTACTTTATTCCATTTTTGTCTACTTGTTTTTGTAGAAGCGGTAGTACATCATTTTTGTTTCGAATTACGCAAGTGTCATTTTTTTATACGCACTTGAAGCATTTGCGCATTTGTTTGCTCACGAAACCTTCACTGTGCTATTTTGTTAATGGCATAAATAGTAAGTTATGTAGAAAAATTAAAAAGAATATGCAATTAAATAATTAATTAGGGAACGGTGGTACGTCTGGTAATTGTATTCGTGGACATCCTACTAATAGCAAGCTTGGCATTGGATTTAAACGTTAGTTGCGAAGGATATTTACGTAAGTGATATTTGTGTAGATTTTGTTGTGAAATCTAGGAAATGTGTTATAAATGGGGAGAGGACAGGGGACGAAACACTGTGGGGGCTGAAGAAAGGAAGAATGCTAAACACAGAAGTAGTGGTATATATTTCAGTACACAATAAAAAAGCGAATCTCCATGCACACTATTATTTGTTGTGTTTGCCTGTTCTACAGGAACATGGATCATAGGAGCAATATTATTGGTAATCTTTTGGCTTAATACTTAAACATATGATACGTTATATTTTTGAGAATACCATACTCTTTTCTCATCTGCGAAAAACCGTGTGGTTCTTCCCTTCTGAAGAGTTTTTTCTTATTTTCTTTTGTAAAAAGAGTTCAAGTTTTGTTAAAGGAAGACAAAGGGGTAGGTTTTATGAGTTATGTATTGTTTAGTACTGCGTAGCAATTTGTGAAGCTTTCGCGATAGCCTTTCACATGAAGGAGGGTGATAAACTGGAGGCGGTTTAACAAATAAATAACGTGGCTTGTAAAAATGTGTGCCCGATGGAGATCCCCAAATGTATGTCATTCGATTCTTATTCAGCATAATTCCTCTTCGAATTCCCCAACAACTCATTCCCTCCTCTTTTTTGTTAGCTACTCTCTGAGGTTCTTTTAATGCTAGTGTGCTTTTTGTGGACATACTTTGGGACAATTCAGGTGTGTGCACTCGAATGGTAATTGCCGATCCTCATGTACATGTATAAATATGTACTCTTACTGTTGTTTAGTTCTTCAATTGTACCCTTTTAATATTATTTTTTTTTCTTGTTTTCCCCCACTGAAGATTAACAAAGCCAGTGCTTGTCAAAAGAGCGCTCCTTACTTATTTTGGGCAGTGTTTACCTTAGTTACTACCATTTGGTAAGAGAAAAAGGAAGAATCTGCTGTGTACACACATACTATATTAAGCTCATGTGTGTAGAGCTGTCCATGTGAAAAATTGTTTTTTTCATTTTTTTTTATATATATTTTTTTGCTTTTTGTTTCGTTTTCCCACCATTTAGGTGTTCCATCATAGGACTAATTTTAAGCCTAATGATTATAACAATAGTAGGGGCAGGAGAAAAACAACAATATATGTATATAGCGCTACGTGGGGGGAATATGGTGAAGACCTGCTTATGTTTTTCAAGGGAACTTTTCTAATGATAAAGAAGAAAAGATAGAAAATGAAAAAAATACATGAGGAATATTTTATGCCTAATTAAATTTTAAACAGAAAAGGAGTTTTTTTTTTTTTTTTTTCCCAATCTATGTAAGACAAATTACAATAACAATTTACAATTTTTCTCAGGGCTCCTTTTTTGTTGTTCGATCGAAGGTAGGATAAAATGTAATTCTTTTTTTTTTTTTTTAATAATTTTGGAACTTTGCAAATTTCGAAGGAGAATAGAGCAGAAGAACACAAAAGGGAAGCAAAGCAAATAGCATGCTTTTAATGTTACATTTTTTTACTTTTTCTTTGTTTTTATATATATATTTTTTTATCCTTTTTGTTTTATTGTTCATGTCTGCTTAAATTTTATAAAATTAAAATTTATTTTGAGCACGTAGCGTAGTTGTGTTTGTGCATGTATACAGACGCAAATGTTGGGGGGGGCGCAAATGTTATTCAAAGTAACAGAAAGTTATATATACATATATATAGACAATTATAAACACAGTGTACGCGAGGAAAATCGCCACCTGAATTCATGGTAATTGATATTCTTTCGAAAATTTTGATGGACCGAAAGGAATTACTCTCTCCTTAGTAAAGAATAATTTTCACTTTGTAAATTCTGCACAACGTTGAAAAAGCGACTTGTGGATACATTAAATGGAAAGAAAGGAGCTGGAAGAAAAATGTAAAAAACAGTATGTTGAGAATGTTTTATCCTTATAAGATCCAATTTTTTTAACTGTAGTAGAACTAAGTGTTTATAAGAAAAGTAGACGAGATGAAACAGTTCAGGAATTTCGTACAGCATAAAAAAAGAAATTTAGTAGAATTCAGGAAAATACTGCTTCCTTCTGATCTACCTTTGATATCAGAACAAAGGAAGTTATTTTGTTTTCGTGAATTTGCGTACAGTGCGCACACACACACATATATATATATATATATATATATGTATATAGGTAATATACACTAATGTGCACTTATGTACACGCACATCTAGGCGAGGGCAGTGTGGCATCAAAACAACGGATTATATAAGAATCATTTTTGCAGGATTTATTTTTAAATACCTGTTTTGCGTTTGTCATTTTACAGAGACCCAGTGATGGATTCATAATATGGAATTTCATGAGATGGGAAAAATCACATAGCGTGTTTCTTCCATGTAAATAATAAATATAAATTTTTCTTAAAAACACAACTCAAGAAAGGGGTGTTTATCGCATTTTCTGAAATTCGCTCACATTTCATCCGCAATTTTAAGAAAAGTGCAACACAATGTACAAAAAGAAGATTGTGTAAAAAGAAAGGGTGAATGAATTAGAGGGAAAGAAGAAATATTAACTTTGCGATATTGTTATACAAAAGTGTGGTGTATTCGAAATTACAGGTTCTATAAAAAAACATAACTGCGGGTACATATTTGCTTCAACTATAAAAAAAAAAAAAAAAAAAAAAAAACCATTTTTAGGATTCATCTTATAATTGCTTTTATATATAAATGGCGGTGTGTTCCCAAATGTTTTTATCTTTCGAACTAGATAAACAAAGAAATGTTCTTTTTTCTCTTTTTTTTCATTTTCTACAGAGGCATAAATTTATTTTGCTAACGCATAAGGATAAGGCTTTACACAATTTTATTTTGAGAAAAACAGAATTGTTAGCCCCTTTCTTGTGCTTGCTATATTACAGTTACCACCATTGGGCCAATGAGATTTTTCTTAATTTTTTTTATATTCAAAATGTTAAAAAAAAATGTACATATAATATATATAGTTTTAACATAGTGTACATTTGATTCATAAATGTGTATATGTAATTATTCAGATATAATTTATGTAATAAAAAAAATTGTACATCTGACACGAGAACAAATATGTAACCAGTTTTTACTTGTTAATATATACGTACATTATATAAATAAATATATACATATAACAAATTACAATACGTGTTTATTTGAGAAGATATAGTTTTTCGTTTATTGCGCACAAGTGTTGCTCTAGAAAAAAACGAAATTAATAACAAACAACAAAAAAGCACATTACTGTTATATTATGTTAATACATATATTGTTCTATATGCGACACATAAAGAAATATTGTTATAAAATTTCGCAAGAAAATTTAAAAAACGTTAAATGGACATATATAGTAATAATAATATATGAATGATAGCAAAGTGTATGTACAATTTTGTTACTTTTATTTTTTATATAATATTATTTTTGCTATTTGTATATAAATCCAAACGGCTGATGATCAGATTTGATCAAGTGTGCAACTTTTATAATCGACTCGTTATAATCAACTCTTAGCGTTTTTTTGAACTTGCTTTCATTTGCCTGATTGCCATTTGTTATTTTATTTATTTATTTTTTTTCCCCCCCCCCCCCCCCCCCTTTTTGTTTCTCGTTAAGAATTATAACGCACAGTTTTTAAAAGTTGGCAATGGTTGTAACCATTTCGATAAGTTAGCAATTGTGCGCAGTATATATATATATATGTATATGCTCACGTATGTACATATATGTGTATGTATATATGTGTACACTTTTTTTGTTAAAAGTCAAGCATTATGAAGCGTATTAGAACAGTTCTCTAGGTTTTTGTTAATAATTATTTCTAATACCATGAATTATTTGAAAGTGTTGATTTGTGTAATAGTTTTGCTCTTTTTTTACGCCCAAGAATTAAATGCATTGCGAGGAAAGAAGAAGGAGAAAATTGTGTTGCCAAATTATGGTATATAAATTTTATTTTAAAGATATGTAAAATGTAGTGCACACTTTGTTCGGTTACAAATGAGGAAAAAAGTTGTTATACTGTGTACAATGTTTTGTCTTTGAGCATTTATGGGCGTATCGATTGTTTTGCAGTTTTAGAAGATTAACTATTGCTGCCATCTTTCCGTTCAAACTGTGCTTTCTGTTGGAAATGCGCACAGAAGAAACACTACATCCTCGTTTATCTCTTTTTTTTTTTTTTTTTTTTTGTTCACTGTTTCCATATTTTTTTCCATGTCCCCCTTTTTCCCGTTTTAGATGACCTGTTTGTGCGAAATGGTGGGTACAAGATAATTCTACCACATGAATATGTAGACAATAATAATTTGGGCGAATCGCTTTTGCGAATGATAAAAATTACAAGGAACAAATTTAAAAAAATAAAAAAATCCAAAACAAGACTTCGAGATAGTTGCTACAATTTGGGCCTGCACCTTGGCCTGCGTATTTTACACCATCTTACTGTTTTAAGCATGCGAATGATGAATATGCGCATGAAAGAGCAATCCCGGCATAGAAGTAAGGCCAAGAGTAAGAATTTACCTGCACCTTAAATGCTACTATGTCAATTTATATGATGGATCAGATATATTTAATTAACTAATTAAGTAATTTAATTTTTTCCTTTCGGTTTTTGTGCCATGTTGTCCTTATTTGTCCCTTCATTATGCCATTTTTGTTTCATCTTTGGTCCAGTTTGCACCACCTTTTTAATATCCCCTTTTTTTTCGTTTTTTTTGTACATTTTTAAGTGTTAAATTATACGTATAAGGTGTATATATTTACACGTTTCTATTACTGTATTTGTCTCGAAAAATTAATATTTTTTCGTGTGTAATATGTAGTTATATTACAATATTACATGGTATGTGTCATTTCAAGTTCACTTGCACTTGGAAAATATTTGGACATATTTTAAATATGTTTACCTTTTACATCGTCCTATGTATATTTAACACAAAATTGTTTATAAATATACCTAATTTTATTAGCATCAACTAAAAAATTTATTTTTTAAATAACGTATTTTACGTATATTTATGCACATGCGGTGTGTAATCGTGCAAACACTGTGTTCATTGAAAAGACCATTGGGCATTTTTTTCCCACAAGATTTTATATAATGCGCAGGAGGAACATAAACCATGTTTTTTTTCTAACGTTATGAAAACAATGTAAATATATGAATATGTAAAAACGTACACTGCCAGACACATTCAGGGGATTCTTTGGCAACAACGTATATAGGAACGGATCCCGCTTTGAATCTTTCACCACCCTTTTAACATATGCGTTACAATTTAAGCATTTGCACAGGATTCCCAAGTTGACACGTACAAAAAAAAAAAAATGCTGTTGTTTTACAGAATAACAACTACTGGGGAATATATTTAGATGGAAAAATTCATAAATACACATGTATGCATTATATGTATATTTATAATCTCAAGCACGCAATGTACTTGGCTAATGGAACAGTACGTATGGATTAAGGGATTCACTTCGGATGCTTTGAAAAAAAAAAAAAAAACTTTAGCAAAGGTTTTCTTTTTGTATAATTTTCAATGGAGAGTACATGTTAGACAATCTTAACTTTACCAAATGATAAATACTTCTTGCATTAAGAATTAGGACATGATCAAGGTATAATGAATTGGAAATTACTTTGTCACATGGTTCATTACACTTCTCTAAATGTATGAACAATTTTTATTTCGTGTAAAGCAGTCATAAGAAAGAACAAACCGAGTCATAATACAAATAGTATAAGGTTGAATGCGCAGAGGATTCTATTTTTTCAGGAATGTGTCCTATAAACGCGTGCCCTTTTCATAAACCCTTGTTTGCATTATTTGTTATCCCCTTTTGTTTATGCTTAAAATTTGCAACGATCAATTTCGTTCTTTTTTTAAAATATATGCCACATTTTTAAGGATGTTACTTCAACAAATGGATGTGTACTTTTTTGCGACATTCTGTTTTTTGTCCCTTAACCCCAACACGTACAAACAAATATGCATGTGTAACCTGCTGTTATGTGTGGAGTGGCTTAAAGTGAAAAGTTCGTCATTTTAGTAGGTTGTGCATGCGTTTTAGTGTTTTATTCAGTAATTGTAACAAAATTGACAAAAGGCGGCAATTATTAGGCCGTTATGTAATTCTGCAGTTGTGAGGGCTTAAAGGGCATTTCGTCGTTTGTCCTATGGTATATTCTTTTTTTTTTTTGTCCCCCTCTCCCTTGACAGACCACTAAATGCATGCAGAACAAAAATTTAATTTGGATACAAAACAGACATGTTAAAGCGTTTGATATTGTTATCTTTTGTTTACATGCATTACATGCGTTAAGTGTGTTGTGCAAATTATGCATGTATCGTGAATCGAGAGGGTTAAGCAATTGGTACATGTAATATGAGTTATTACAATGTCGTTTCGTTATGTGGCTTTTCATTTCTTCCAAATTATTGGATGTACAATCAATTTATTGTGAGATATCAGCAAGCATAATTGAGCATTGATGCAAATTAATAAAGTGGCAGATTGATTCTTTATACTTTATGCATGGGTCTTTTACAGTAAATACAATGGGTACATATTAAAGTGTACAATGAAAGAAAAAAATGTGAAGAAGTTCTTATTTAAAACAAAAGAGGAGAAAGAAATATTATTTTCTTTTTTTTCAATACAACATATATATATATTTATATATACATTTGTGCCACATATTTTTTTTTTTTTGTGTTGTTCCTTTGGAAAATTGCCGCATTTGCTATAAATTGAGTAATATATCCAAGTAGACACGCATATATACTACATATATGTATTTTTATTTTTTATGTCAATTTATAAATTTTTCATTTTTTTGTGCCATATAAATAAAAAATTTAATTTAAAGTTACAACTAAAATGAACATTTCAAAAATACTTACCTTTTCTTTTTTATTATGTGCGATTGGACAGTTAATAATTGTGTGCGCTAGTGGGACCTTATCGTCAATTGAAAAGGATTTAGCGCCATTACACAATGTCGATGATACTTTGGCAGCAAAAAATAGGAAGAAGAAACTTTATTACTCTTTAATATCCTCGGGCATGTTTGTCTTTGTTGCTTTAGCACTGGGAATTGGGTATTATATAGATAAAAAAGAAAAAGAACATTATGTTGAAAAATATTCCCTGTTCAAAGATAAACGATTTCAGTTTGAAAATCCAAAAGATGGACAAATGCCAAGTACCAGCAGAGAATATGTGGAGCCACCAGGAATAAATAAAGTAGATATAAAAGGACCGCTAGTTGAAAACACAAACGAGAATGATGTTCCTATAAAAAAATTTAATACATTTTTGGACAATGCAAGGATAGCCATTCGGCACCATTTTAATAATTTATCAGAGCCACAACAGGAGTACTATGTAAATGACAGGGATTATATAAGAAAGATTGTGCAATCGATGGAGAGCAGAAGAAATGTTTATTTGTCCAGAATGCAAGAGGACTTGGTAGTTTTGAACATGGAGGACTTTCTGCAAAAAATTTCGAAAGAGTAGCCACGATTATGGAGATAAATGCATGTACGTATGTATGCATGTATGTAAACGTGCGAATGTGTGAGAGTTGTAGCAGGGAGCCATTTTTATAACTCGAAAAGGGGAAGATGTTATATCCGAAACACGAAGTGATAACCGCTCGTTCGGGCTTTCTTTTTTTTGTGTGTGTTTTAGTGTACCCATTTTTATGTGCAGCGTGTGCGTTGCATATGAGATGCGCGAAATTTTTGAATAGTTGTGCAAGGAAAAACGGCGTCAAGATGAATACGAATGGGACAAATAAATAAGAAGAGGAAAATCAGACATTGAGGTGGGCATCTTACTCCTCCTACGCGCGAAGAAGTGTTATGCGCACAGTTAAATCAGGGGATGTAGGCCTGGTTGACCTTTCTTCGTGAAGGAGAAAGGGGCGAAGATGTGGCTGGACATATGAATTAAAGTTATTCAGTCCTGTTCAACATGCACCGTTTATCCCGTTCACATATATATAAATAAATATGTATAAATATATATACGTGCTTGTGTTTGTAAGCTGAGGGACGCATACCATACTGAAAAGGATGACGTTATCATGCCATGTGCTCGAGAGTGGTACATAGTACCAAAACAGGCGCGTGCACAATAATCAGGCCTTGTGAGAAAAGGATCTTTTGCAGAGGATTACATGCGTACACAGGGCAAATGGACAAAGTAAACGCCTTTTAAAATGTGATTTCTTGTCGCATGTTCTACATTTTGCGCGTGCGGGAATTGCACACGTGTTGTATACAATTGTATTCAATTAATTTTTTTTGTGCATATATTTAAAAATTTTAATGAATTCATGAACACAAAATTTGCCTTTCATTTTATGATAATTTGTACTGTATGCAAATTCATACACGTAGCTCTATATATGTTACACTTGTGTACAAATTAATGTTACCCTTGTGCATATAACATATGTGAGCATATTAGGGTGAAAGGATTTTTTTCCGTCAAATGAAAAACATCATTTTGTGCCGCCTTCTCTTGTATACTTGAAAAAAAGAAGAAAACTTCGAGAAAATGCTTCTCATTTGGAATACAATTTATTTTTGTGTATATTGTTGATTTAGAGATAGTTATGTTGAGGAAAACGTTCTGCAAAAATGGAAGCTTGTACGTTGTAAGGGGGAAGTTCAAATAAGGTGTGGAACGGAATTGAGGTAGGGGAGCGATATTGCACTTGTTTTTCGGCAGGTAAAATGTTACATAAATGTGTTCACATGTGAATGTTTATTTAATGGGGAAAATTTTTGTACCATTTCCTCACTCATAAGGGGTACATCATATTACGACTGCGTAGTTGCTGAAATTGTCAACTTGGTGACTTTAACAATTTTCCCACATAATTGTCACATTTTCGTTTGTCACGTAGAAGGAAGTTTTGTTTTGTCTTCCAGAATGGTTATTCATGTTTGAAGGCGTACGCATATATATACACACATACAGACATACATACATGTATAATGCTGCATATGCATGTGTTAGGGCAGCGCGATTTATTCTCTTTTTAAATTAACGGGATTTGGCGCATTATCGCATTTCCTACGTATATATGTTTTTTATGCAAGTAGAAATTGGTACCAGAAATAAAATTTCGTCTGCAACGATTTTTCCGTGTTTTTTCTGGAAAAATAAAGTTGTAAAAAAAATGCACCAATCATAAGGAGAAGGCATAATGCAGCAATCATAATGCAAGCATTAGTAATACCATTATGCCTATTTTTTTATCAACACCACTGTCTGCCACAATCTCTTTTTTACAATTGTGCGTGGAGTGAATTGCTTAAATTTAGATAATAATAATATTTGTCCAGCGCTTACAAAATGTACATAATGATGAATAAAAAAAACGAAAATAAAATATTATTTAAGGCTGCATCTGCTTTTTTAAGTGTACATGAAAATCTGCTTCATTAGACAGCACAAGTTTGGTGAAAGCGCCATGATGTCTTCGAATGATTTACTGTTGCTTACCACGTTTAACAAAGATGAATTTATATGTGCAAAATTATGTACGTCATATATTATTCACCTTTTTGCTAATAAATTCGGAAAAAAAATTGTTGTTTATTATTAGTTCATAACATATCCATTTTGCGGGTATTTTAAAATTGTTCTACATGAATTATGTATACGAAAGTATACATTATGTACGCTTGTCTATGTACATGGTATATTGACCAATCGCTAGTTGCATAATATATTGTATAAAATAACAGAATTGCCGGTGAAAAATGTCGGTATATCGATGGAAAAGGCAAAGGGGGAGTTGCTGTCTTTTGGCGAATGCGTGTCCATTAATACAACACTGAGATGATATATATATATATATATAACTAAAATGATGGGTACATTTCTGCATTTGTATATTTATTAATCTGTTAGTTAATGGCAAAGAAAAACAAAATCGACGGGAGAAATTGATGACACGGTTGTTAAGAAAAATAAGCGCACACGTTATATTATAAAATAAAACTTTTACATGTAGAAAAAACTTTATTTATATGTAATAAAAATGTGCAACATAATTATTCGTACAAATCTATATATGCATGCACGGTATAAATTAATTGTAGCAACATTTGCAATTTAAAAAAAAAAAGAAAGAACACTAAAAATAGACTAACTTTAAAAATAAATTGATGATTTGGAAGGAAAACTTAGAAAGCAATTATTTACGTATTATTTGTTTATACATTATTTATTATTATATATTTTTTTTAAACAGCAACTGTTTCTTTGTCACATGTGAAAAACTTACAACATTTGTCCGCCGCGGTGTTATATTATTACATGAAGAGACATTGTTAATTTTTTGAAATTATAAACACGTGCAATCGTTTAAATGTATACATAATATATGTATACGTATATAAGTACGTATTTGTACATGTGGTTAGTACTAATAGTTGTTTTCATTTTTGCAACATATATATTTTGACTCCCCACTTTTTAGAACATAGGTTGCGGCATTTTTTATATATATTTCAGTATAAGTAAACAATAACGCTGGAGGGTACGTATGTTGTATATAAGGTAGTTTGTGACCCTACTTGCATATACAAAATATTGAGTTCTACATTTTCATATAAAAAGTAAAAAGTGCCCACTTTTTTGAGATTCGTTTGGAATATTAATTTTTTTTTTATTAGAACAATTACAACCCTGTTGTAAATTATTTTTTGAACAATTCTATTGTAAAGATGAATAGTTCAAGGAAATATAATTATAGGTGGTTATACCTCTTTGCCAATTTATGCGTAACGTTCTTTTGTGGTTCTACTTTTGTCTCCAAATATGATGCGAATGTAGTGAAGACTTTTTGTGAGGAGCAATCGTGTCAAAGGGAGCACGTGTTCGGGAGGATTCTTGCACAAGCAGGGGTACAGGGCGTACTAAGTGCAAGGAATGAATTAATGAATTTTAGAAGAAGATCCATTTATTCCAACATGGATAGACTTATGGATTGTTTATTTAGGGGATTTTTAGATACGTTAATGTGGTATACTGAAGAATTTTACAAATCAGATGGAAGTGTAGGTGCTAACAATAATGCAATGATTGAAAAAATTATTAGAACACAAATGTACGCAGAAGGAGTTACTCTTTCAAATAGAACGGTAACTAATGAAGTGATTAGAACAAAGGAGCGCCACGACGAAATTGCAGCACAGGGAACTACCTCCGAGGTAGTGAAACGTATGATGAAGATGTACGAACTTGAAAATAACTTATCCAAGGAAACGATGAAAAAAGTTACTGCTCCTAATAGAACAGAAAGCATACATGACATCTTGAATACAGAAAAGATAAAACTTAAAATTAAGAAGAAGTTGGTAACATTTCCGTACACTTACAATGATGCTATTATTGATTCTGTGTCGTCCAGAATTATTGGACGCGTTACGGACATATCTAAGGACGAAAATATTATGTAGAGAAATATTTTATTTAGTGTAAATCTGGGGACTATTAACTGCTTTGATAATGCAAGGTTTATTATCGGTTTCTTTCTGTGCATTTTCTCCTCTTAGCAAATTATGCACGCAAGAATGGCAGAAAAGGGAGTTATGCGTGTTTAATGTGTGTATGCTGTTTTTCCCCTGTGTATGTTTGTTTCGAGCTGTCGTATAATATATGTATATGTATATATGTGCACATATGTATAGGTATATATGCGCGTGTACATACACGAGCTCCCCCATAGCGTATGCAACAATGTGTGCAGGCTATCGTACATGTACACGCGCATGTGTTTGTATAGTGCTTTGGTATATAACGGCATTAAAAGGTGTCTCTCTTATAAAGAAGAATTCATATAATTAAATAATTAAGCTAAGCTTGTTATGAGATTATATACTGATGAATAGAATTAAAACAATGTGTACATATTTTTGTTTTACTTCTATTCTGTTTTGAAATTCTTTCTTATAGGTTTTATATGTTTTATATGCTTATATAATTTAGTACTATGCTTTAAGAATGATTTGCTTTGGTTTGATATTTGTTTTTTTTTTTTTTTTTTCTCTCTCTGTCTCTACACTTATGAAGGTTATTGATTGTTTGTCATTTATAATTTTTTACTTGCTATTTATTAAGTATTGTATATTTTTGTTTAATTTTGTTTTGTAATTAAGTGCCTATTATGAAAAATAAATATGTACAATATGTTTTGTTCTACGTATACGCAATAGACTTTATGTAGGAAAAAAACTTAAAAGGGATGAACTATGTTAATATGTTATGTGTTAAAAAATTATTGATGAATGTTATAGCATATATTATGAAAACATTAAATTGCTCTTTTAATCTGTAACCGTTTAGATGTGTCTCGTTACAGCTGAGTTTGCTTGGTAGGTTTATACGTGCATGTGTGGTTAATTTGTATGCACCCGGTTATAGTTATTGACGCGCGGAGGTAAAGTATGGCCGCCGGAGGTATATCGTGCCAGTAGTGCACTCTGTCCTGTTTACATTAAATATACTAAAAAGGTAAAGTAACCCAATGCCTGCATATAATTTTCAGCATTTTCAATGAAACAAAAATGAAAAAATTTCTCTTGTCCTAGTGTTAAATTTAGGAACTAACTTCTTTGAGCACATTGTAGTATAGATAATCAATTCTGTCAATGTCCGATTTTGGCTTCCTAACTGAGATACGTTTATTCTCTTTATAATACATTATATAAGCGTGTAATTGTAATAACAATTGCAGAACACCAACTCTTATCAGTACTGCAGCTTATTCGTGCATTGGAAACCTTATTTTTAATAAGAACTAATGGGAATTACTCCCCTCACCATTGCATTAAAAATTTGTTTTAAGATCAAAAAAAAGGAAAAAAAAAAAAAAAAAAAATAGGTAGTAAGGAAAATATACATTTCCTATTACGACAGTAATATATTTTTCTTTTACTCAGACGAAGTTCTGCACTTTCCTGAGACCGTGTTATACTAATGAAGAACAAGACACTGTAACATCCATTGCAGTAACTGCACGTGAACTTAAAAAATTCATGTTTATGCAATGCAAAAAAACGGTTTATTTAATTTATGTGGTTTTTTCTATTGAGGTTGTTTTTTGTAGAACTAAGAATTATCATCATATTTGATGATCACTGTACCTTCAGCGACGGGTAGCGTATTTTTTTTTTTTTTTTGGTATGCGCCAAGGAAATTGTAAATGCAAAACGATTATTTTCATTCTTAAAGCTGTGCTACTAATAAATAAAGGAGGTATTCCCTAAGAAGAACCATTTTTACTATGAATCGGTGTTCTTAGTCATACACAATTTTTTGACATTTACTCTTTTCTTGTGTCTTTCCATTTTGTCATGTTGTCATTTTAATTTGTACTTTATTTTTTACGTTACGGTTATTCCGTGTTTAAGCGCATCTCTGGCGTGTTCTCATTTTAATTTTTACACCTCACGGATTCTAAGTTTGTAATCTGTGCGAGCAGGAGCATTTGTACTTGGTAATATGCAAAGTTCTACATCCTTTTTGTTAGCAACAATTATAATATTATGCATGCTTGTAAAGGCAAATGGAACATTCTTTTCTTTTTTTTTTTTTTTTTGGTTTTAGATTACAGTAAGATTGCGATGGTGTAAATTATTCACTATAATATTATATGTGGAAACCGCATACGTTTGAGTACATGGAATGTAAAGGGGAACTTTAAACGATGGTGAAATAATTCAAAAGAGTCGCTAATACTGCTATTACTTTTAGTATATACATTTTCACATTTTTATTCTCTTTGCATTCTATTTTATTTAAAGGTGAAACAATTTTATTCACAAAATTTTATATACAAGGAAAAAAAAACCTTACATTGTCATGAAATGTGCTTATATTAGGAAAAATGTAATCGCCCAAGACCACGTATTGCATTGCTACTGGATTACTTAATTTACGTACCTTCGAGGTAAACGAGTTTTTAATAGGTATAAATATTTGTTAATTATACAATCTGGCAAAAACATTTTTTTTTAATAATAAAATTTGGCATTTACAAAATAAATAACACACCATTTTTAATTCTCATATTTTCTGGTTGATTTGGGATGTGTTTCCTTTATGCGTATTTTCTGAATTTATAGTGATAAATCGTGACGTCTGTTATGTACTCACGCGCTTGGCTCGCTTAACACTGTTTTATTTAATTGCTTTTTCTTTTTTTTTTTTTTTACGCAAGGCTAATTTTCAATATGCACCGTGCGTAATTTCCTATTTAAATAAATACTCTTTCGCAGCATTTCAACAAAATGTGATAATAAAATATATTCGCCTCCTTTTATGCATTGGTAAAACACCCTTTTACTATTTAAACATTCACATTATTTGGCCAGATATTCGGTTTAATTGTCCTTATTTAGTATTCACTTTTATTTTCTTCCAAAAGTTATATGCGCATAGCAATTTGTTTTTACCCATTAGCATTGCACTAGTATTTTATTATTTTCGTATGATTGTTATAATAATAATAATTTATTAGATTTTATTTCCTATTATTATTCATATTTTTTTTAAACTCTGCCATTTTTTAAAATATTTTTATTTTTTTTTACGTACTCTGTGCGTTCATACTTATAACATGTACACTTTTTAGAAGAAAAACTATGAGCAACTTATTTTTCGGCAGAATGAGGGTGTTATATTTTTATTTTTCTATATAATTAGTAAAACAAATTAAACATAAATTTTTAATTTATATTTTTTAAAAAAATTAAAACTGCAAATTATAGAAAAAAAAAAAAAAAAACCCTTACGTTAGCTAATGTTGCCAGATACATTTATATCATACTATTAATAAGAAATACACAAAAACTTCCTTCCACCTGAAATCACCATAATTTCAAATAGTTATTATTTTCTGAAATAATGTATAGAATTCTATTTGTTAACATTTTTCTATTCACATTAAGTGCTTGGATATTGCAAGCCTCTGGTAATGGAAAGGTAAGAATGCGCACAGGTGTTTAACCCACTTGTCAAAATATATACACTACGTACATACAATATATAAATATATATGTATATATAAGTATATGTGTAATGTTATACATGTATTTACATTCCTAGCTGTAATGTGAGCGCTTCTTCGGCACTTCTGTTCTACATGTGATGTACTCCCGGCCACTATGAATGCGCCGTGGTAATAATCGCCCTAGCTTATATTTGAAAAATAAAAATGTATTTCCCTTTTTTATGAATTGTGTAATCCCTTCTTTAGGGTTTAAGCCATAACGTGAACAATGGGGGCAAAAATGGGCAAAATGGTCTGCAGCTAAGAGTACCTAGATTGCTTTCCGTGAACGATTTATATTCAGAAGTAGATGGTGGGAGTGTTGAAACCTTACCGGATTTAGGCGAAAATGAAGAAAATGAAGAAAAAGAAGTAAAAGAAGAAAGAAACGAAAGAACACAAAGGACACATGAACTCAACTTAAATTCATTCGATTCGAATGAATCTCTAGAATTGGACCCAGATTTAGAAACATTTAAAGCATATATGAGATATGTAGCAAAGAGTGATAAATCTTATAAGGAAAAATTTGATGATACAAAAGAATATATGAACAACATGGACCCAGTGACACGGAAAAAAATTAAAAAAGAAATCAAAGACAAGGCAAAAGAAAGCAAACGTACGAAGCATCGAAAAAAATGCATGAAAATGCATGGCACATGCCAAAATATGTATAATGATTTACAGAACAATGAATACAGAATGTTGTCTCTAATCCGCAAGATGGAAAAGAAAATGTCCAATCGTTCTTTCTTAGCGGGTGCTTTATCAGCCATGTTAGCCATCTTCCTCATACCACTTGAAATATGTTTCTTCAGTGCTCTAATCTTCGTTATGGTGATCTCTGTAATTTTATTACTCTTGGGCAAAATCTAAGCAGGACATGCGGCGGAGGATGAGAACAGAAAAAGAAAAGGAAGAAGAATTAGAGGTAAATTAAGGAAGAAAAAATTATAAAGAAACCTTATAACAAATGGACATATCTTTCTGTGTAACAACCAAGTTGAAGTTGAAATGTTCTTGATGGTATTTTAAGTAATGTCAAATTAAAGAAAAAGAAAAGTTCCTCATGCGTGGAACCAATTAACAGTTGGAAGTATATATATGTATATACCGTTTACTAGATTTTCCATTTGCAACATGTGAAGAGCTTAATTATGGGGCCTATTGTCACGACTGACAAATTAAACAAAATGTGACCATCATATAATGGATGCCTTGTGCTATAATAGTTTTGAAATTTAGGGACTTGCGTAAGACATCCATTTGTAATTACCATTCTCATGTTTTACATAGATATCCAAGGGGTGGCGCGAGTTTATTTTTTATGAAGATATGTGTGCGCACAATTGATCATCATTAGGGGCTTATGTTTTTTTATACCATTTATAAATCCGTTCTTTTGAGATAATTACATTATGCTTGAATTAATTTTACATATTTTCATTTTCGTTACTGTCGCAATTTGTGTGCTTCCCTCAGACAAATGGTCGATGGTATTTGTTTTTTTTTTTTTTTTTTTTTTTTTTCATATATATTATATTGTCCTATATAGTATCATGTTTTATTGCATTACATTATATTGTGTTATACTGTATTGTATTATACTTAATTTTCTTACAAAGGACACCCACGCTTTTACAATTTTATTGAACACATTTACTCTTAATATGGTTAATGATTGCATTAATTTCACCTACTAGTTATAAGAAATATGTTTTGAAAAAATTAAAAGGGAGCGTATATGTGTGAACATATAACTAATATACATATGTATGTATGTATGAAATAAATGCTTTCCCAGCACTTCAACCAATCATTAAATCTGCATTTTCTAGCACCAAACCACAGATATAATTTCTTAGCACAGTAAAATGGACATGATAGCCATAGTGCTTTAGCTGTACCCAAGCAAATAGGGCATGCAATAGCATGTTCCCTTTCGCTCAAACATAAAAGGAAAAGATCATTTTTCTATATGCTAACTATTTTGTTATGCATGTGTACATTAGCCGGGAATACGTTACTTCTTTAAAGAGTTCATGCTTATTTCCTTTTACGTTATTGGGAATTTTTTATGTATTTTTAAGAGGATTATCAAATGTAGATATTTTATCCCCCATTGAGCATTCAAACAAGGTTACTTTTTTTTAAGTGAAAATTTTGGGTAGCAGCAGATGGTTGACCATCACATTTGGGGGAAAACTTATATTTAAGAATATAGGACCTTAAATGCAATCTTATGTTACAATCTTAAACAGCAGTACGTTCTTTATAGAGATGCACTTACAAATAAACAGGAAGGGTGCGCAGAAGGTTGTATGTTTTAAGAACGCTCTTTTGTCAAATTTCTTTTAACCACTGATATGCTATTGAAAAAAAAAAAAAAACGATTTAGGGGAATACAGTATTTGCATCCAATTTAAAAACGAAGAAATAAAGCGAAAGCCACATTTTTTTGGTTACGAAAGTATGCAAAGCTAGCTGCATGTGGAGCCTTAACAGTGTTACACACAATATGTTGTGTGTACTAGAATTGAGCAAAAGTTACTTGGGGTGTGTTTTGGTAAATGTCTCATTTCATCATTTTATGTTTGCCAGCTAGGGTGTAGATTTCCTTATTCATTCTACGCTGAGTATTTATAACAACTAAAAGATTAATGGGAAAGGTGTTGTAAAAAAAATATAAAAAAAAAAAAAAAGAGGAACACAGCCTGCATTGAAGAAGCATAGGTAAGAGTACATTATATTTATTTTTATTAGGTCCAGTGTTTTCTTCCTTTTTTAGTACACAATTTTTTATAATATTTTCCCCATTAATTGGATCAGGTGTAAGTATTTTTTTCTTTTTTTCTTTTTTTTCATTTTAACTATAGAGAAAGGGAACAGCATTTTCATTACTACGTAGGGAGTATTAACTGGGTTGATTATATCCCCGCAGTGTTAAAAAAAGAGAAAACGACTTTTATAACGGACAAATACATTATTGTATCATGAGGAACGATATTTTCATTCATCCTGTTTTTCATACAGCTGTTATTTTTAATAATGCAAAAATGATTTATGATATATTTATTAATAAGTCAGACGCGGTTTATTCGCGCGGTAAAACAGAAGCAAAGAAATGTCACAATTAATGGTACCTACTTGAATCTGCTATTATTCATGTTATTAGGAAAAATAAATATATATAATTTCAAAAAAGGGACTCAGGTATATTAGTTTTCCTTTTTTTTTTTTTTTTCTTAAATAAATTGGTACATGTATTATTTTTCATTTCCTTAGGGCGGTGTATTAAAAAAGTATGCATTTATAATGATTGGATTGTATGGAGCAACATATTTTATTAAAAATATATATATATGTGTACTTTTCTACGCAAACAATGAGACATTTTTTTTAATGGCCAGATTATTCTTTTTTAGTGTAACGCAATTGGCCAAGGAAAAAAAAAAAAAAAAAAAGGAAAAAGAAAAAAATGTACGGATAACATTGAGCTAGTAATTCAAGAAAAAGTATTCTATTTTTTATATTATAGAGCAGTGCTCTGAAAAAAATAATGTTTTATAATATCTATGGGTCACATATAAAGAAAGAATACCGTTAATTAATTATAATACCTTTTGTTGACAAATGGAACTCGGTGTTTTATATGAACATCGATTATTCTTCTACGTTCCACAATGGGCATGGCGCGTAGTGGATAAATTAACACGTAATTTTTAAACAATATTTCCAAATTATTTAAATTCATGCATTTTTTTCATTTCTGTTAAAAGAAGGAGGTTCCGCATATTTATAGTGTTTTTCCATTTCGGAATATAAAGCCCTTAATGAAGTTTTAGGGTCATTTGAAAATTATTTTATTTGTTTTTGCAAATATTATATATATTATCCTAAGTAATATTGAATTATTTTATTTGCATAATTTAATTATTTGTACTTTAAAAAAGTAAATTAAACGTGACTTTTTTATTATATAAAATACAAATGTGAAAGTTCCTTATTTTTTTTTATAACAAAAAAATAAATTAGCATTTATATATAAAGTCAGAAAATTGTTATTCCTGCAACCTTGCTAATAATATTAATATATATTATCTTATTTTTCTGAAGTAAGAATTTATATACTAAAATATATTACATCTATATAAGGAATATATTTTATCTTTTTTCCTTAAATAAAATCCTTATTACATTTGCATATACATATTAATTTATTTTATACGATTTTATGATTTGCAGATTTTAATTATTTTTGAATTTTAAAGCCCCCCCCCAAGAACAAAATGTTTCTGAAGAATAATAACATCGTGGCTCAAGGCCTAAGTGAGGCTGATGGAAATGTTTTAAGAAAGGATAAATCAAAGAAAGAAGGATCTAAATCAATTTTTTTCTATTCGAAGATTGTTACCTGTACCCTTTTGATTTGGGCTTCACAATGTTCTTCCAATAGCCATGTAAGGGGACTAATATTTAAATCTATTAAGTTCATACGTGTGTTTATACGTGAAAAGTGATGTTTATAATTGTTGCTTTTTTTAATCATGGTTGTTTATGGATGTTGACACGGAGGCTAAATATATGCGGGAAAAATTAAGCGCATACATTTGTGGTTTTAATTGCGTAGCGTGTATATTTATGTAAATTTCGCTTTATATTTATACTTTTCCGTTTTATCATTTCCTTTTAGACCAACTTCAGCAGTTCGCATGATGAGGCATACACTGCAGGAAGCGTAGAATACGCATCTTTCCACAGATCCTTGGCATTAAATGAACGATACGGAAAGTATTCAACGAGCTCACGGGGACCGTATATGCCAGAAAGCCTCTACGGTCACGACAATCCATCAAGTTCACGAGGTGCAGCAACCGAACAACCAAAAAATGCAGAAAAATCACCTTGCGACCTAAATACAGATATTGAGACAAAATTAAAGGACTTGAAGGATGTCATTTGGGACAAAGTTGAAAATGCAGTTGAATGGGGAACTCTTGCAGAAAATGTAAAGAGTTATTTAGGAAAAATGGATTCAAACCTTGAAAGCAAAATTGTTGATGAAGTTAACAAAGCCAACAGAGATAGCAATTTAATGGAAAAACCAGATGCCAAAACGAAGATAATCAATGGTATCTCCCAGAATTATACCGTTATAACTCCACCCCTGTTCTTATTACTCTTATCCATTTTGCCATCCGAAACTTGTAAGAAGCATTTGGCAAACATATTGTTGACATCTCTTTTGGTAGCAATGACTTATGTCTTCTTTAAGCTGAAAAAAATAGATGATAATAAAGAACAGAATAGCAATGCTAACCTGAGCGGTAAGAATGATAGTGAATCTAATGGTAAAAAGTCTAAGGATAAATCGAATGGTATCTAGAAGTAAAAAGAGGCCAGAGGTGTGCTTAAAAGAAAAAAGAACCCTATGTTCCATAATACAAGCGAAGAAAATATTACCAAGTAGAATGTATAATATATATAGTGTATTCAAAAGTAATGTAGACAAAGGATATATGATTATAACATCCATTATTATGATGCAACTTTGGAAGAGATTAGAAGTTATGAAAATGGAACAGGAACACCATTTTTAGCCTACTTCTTTTCGATATGTCCACAAGAATGATGTAATACATGGTACATAGTAAATGTTGAAAATTTATACAAAAAAAAAAAATGTTTCTTGTAAAAATTCTCTTCTTTTACTTGAGGTACTTTTTTTGAATTGGTCAAGATGTCGCTATATACGTTTTTACGTACATCCATATAGATATACATATTATATATATTTCCCCACATATTGTTTTTGCCATTTTATCTCGTCATTTAAATTATTTGTGATGTTGTTAAGAAGGAAGTGTCCGCGCAAGATATATCGTTTTTTCACTTTTTTTTTTTTCATTGGAAAACCGCACATGTGTGTGTATGTATGTATGTATGTGTGAATAGTATTTATGAATTTCCAGCTTTTTCTAGAAATGATTAATAGAAATACAACTACTTTTTATAAACCATTTAATTAATTTACCTCATTTTTAAAAATTAACGTTTTTCTTTTTTTTTTTTTCTTCCCCCAATATATATGTTTACAATATAAATATATATATACAAATGTATAGACCGTTGAATGAAAATTCATTTACTCCCTGTTAAAACTATGATGAGTACCTTTGATTAATTGATTTTAAAATAAAAGGCAAAGAGGGAATATACACTTGTGTATATTAATGAAGCAAATTCGGTATATAAGCCTTCTGCCCATTCAAAATGGGCATAATATGTGACACACGTCTCCCGTGCAAGAAAAATGGCAGATCGTGAGAGATACTTGAATATGTATATATTATGTACGAAATAAATGATGTACATGCTTGATAGATGAATGCTATCCTGTTCTCTACTTTTTTTAAGATAAAAAACTGGTGCATGTTATTCGTTTATAAAGGAATCTAGGCAATCTAGAAAGGGAAAGAAAAATAATTAGGGTGTTGTCAATGACGTGGCAAAATGTGTAATGCATAACTTGATGCGGCTGGGCTTCACCATTTTCTCATTATAGTATTTTTTATAGTTGTGATGAATTGTTTATATGTGAGGAAAGGCTTATGCGTTGTTTGGAATGAAATTTCTAATAATGGTGTTTTATTAGGGTGCATATAAAAAACATAGCTCGATATGTAACTCTAACTACGTCTTACATCATTCATGAAGAAGCACAATTTTATAAAAATTACAAATATTCAGAATAAAAGAATAAATAACGCAACCAAAAAATTTGAGTAAAATATGGAAGAAATAGCAAAAGTAACTACCTACATGAGCGATGTAATGAAAATTTTATTAAAATTACTATATTACAATCATTACAGGAGCAGTAGGAACATCCTCTACTTGAGTGATTCCACAGGGTGTGGTTAATTCTATGTTTACACAACTTGTTCCCCTTTTAAAGCTAAGCCCTTTTTTTTTGCTTTTTAACCCTCAAAATTATTACGTTTTTTCATCATAAAAAAAGGAACAAAATTTATATCTTGCTATATTTCACAGTAGTACGATTCTTGAAGTGACAGTAAACATGACGAATGTAATATGGACATTTCAAAGAGAAGAAGAATGTTTTATTGTCAAAGGTATAGTATTTTATCCTGGTGCACATTTATAAAGCTTTTACTTTTAATAATTCAGACCTTTAATAGTTTTATTGAACTTATTAACCTTTTTTTTTTTGTGTGTGTGTATGTAAAATCAATATAATTATTCAGATAATATGGATACAACTGTATATTGAACTTAATTTATTATTGCTTTTTCTAAACCTGTTTACCACACCATGCTGCTAACACTCCTTAAATGTATAGCTCACTAAACATAGAAGACATAGATCAAATATTAATTGTTTGCATTTTTTTTAAAAATTGTAATTTTGTTTTTTCCCCTACCTTTTGGTAATATTGAAGTAAAATATAAATTTCAATAAAAAAAAGGAGGATGAAGAGAAAAAAAAAAAAAAACTAATTATGAATAACTATTTATTATATCTACAGATTAAAAGAAAGCAAAACCTATAACAACCATCCGCTAATTATAAATGGTACAATATTTGTTTCAGAAAAAATAGTTCACAGCAGTAACAATTGGGTTGGTGGTTATACATATCATGTTTTATCAAGCCATATTTTCAGCCTTCAAAGAAATCACAGCTTTTTATGCAATAAAACGGAAGAATTCAAAAACTGTTCTAGAGCATTTGCTTTCCATAGAACTAATCTGTTCTTAATTTCTTTGATATCATATCTTATCTTATTTTTTTATTTTAAATTAATTTTTCATTTTTCTTTCCTTCTTCCTATGGATGCGTATTTTATTAAAAAAAGCTAGGAAAAACAAGAAGAAAAAAAAATTAAAAAAATGCAATAAAATATACTGCGCAAATCAAGTCTTCCAATAAGGGCTGATGAAGCTGATATACATGTTAACAAAAGGTCTTTCTTTTACATATATATATATATATATATATATATATATATATATATATATATAAACATATATTATTCATTATTTTAAAACATATTATAAAGTAACATTATTTGGGCGTACATGTAACGGATGAACTCTGCATGTACATATATGTAACAAAATAGCTGAAGCAATATAAGTGCTCTGCGAACAAAAAAAAAAAAAAAAAAAAAAAGATTATGCCTAACAGATGCTACAGCATTGCAGAATAATTTGGCTACATGGTTACTACAGCAAACAAGTATCTTCAAAACAACTTGTTCACAATGAAAAAAACAAAAATTTATAACTATATTTATATTGAAAAAGGTTTTTTTTTTTTTTAAAGTTCGTTTACTCATCTAAATAAGTTATTATAATATCATAAAACTTACAAGATATATAAATACATATATATATATGTATAAATTTTAATAAAACTTTTCATTCAATATTCTCTACCTTCATCAATGCCCGCAACAACAATATTGTTTTATTACTTCCGTTGTTACAAATTATTTTTTCCATAAAAACGGACTTGTGCGCGGTTCCATATTTTATAAAAGTTCAACGGATTATATACATATGTATATACAATATATAAACAATTAGTTCTAATATAAGGGGAAGCAGCTGTGTTTTTACTACCAAAAGAAACATTATAGCAATATTGAAATTTTTCCTTTTTAAATTTTTATTTCTATATAATTCTTGAAAAAATTGTATTTAAGAAGATTTCCTTTCTATAAGCACTGGTTCATACCACAACCACATCTGTTCGCAAAATGCAGAAAACAAAGAATCACTCTACCGGCAAATCCTCAGTTGCCACCATAACATCAAAGTGTACAAAGGCAAAAGTAAACATGAAGACCCTCGTCCTTAACGTTATTTTTGTATTGCTCCTAGTATGGAAATATAATTATTCCTTCGGTGCAACGTAAGATTTAGTTTTTTCGAAAATGTGAAATAACTCTTTTACGCGTATCTCTCCGTTATGCATTCATATATATATACACATGTTATGTGTGCATCTTTAATCCCTCCATCCTTTGTGCTCACGCGTGGGTACTTATACCTCTATGAGCAATTATTTAAAAAAGGACTGAAAATTCATAAGGAATTTTTTTTTTTTCCCCTTTTTGTAGCACACCTATGAATAGCCAAATGGATACGCCAAATATGTCTCAAGATTTACCACAGCACGGATTTGCAAGGATAATGACAGAAACGCATGTAGATCAACCGTATAAGGAAGATTTTGCTATAGGCACCAAAACTAAAAAAAAAAGTTTATATAACACTGTATCGAATGATACCATTGAATATAGTGATGAGTTGAGAGGATTGTGTACCAAAATATCATCAATATGGAAAGAATCAGTTGAAGATATGGAAAACGAATATAATGAAAAAACACAACAAGTAGAAAAATCATGGAGGGAAAACATATGGAATAATAAATGGGCCAAATACTTAGAGCATGTACATAACACCATTCAAGCAAAGCTGAACGATTTGAGTAATACTCCACATGATACTGAAGTTGATATAGCATTTATGCTATCCTACGTTTATAACGTGTTCCTAATGTTTATAGAAGAGGTTATTGAAGATGCGAAATGTCTAGGTAAAATGTAATATCACGTAAGAAGGCACAACAACCGAAAAAAAGCAAAAAACGAAAACGCCGTGTCATGGACGAAATAGAAGACATGCTGTATTACACGGCAGGAAGCAAAAGGATATGAAATGGTAAAAAATGGTGAAAAACGAACAGGTAAAGGAATTCCATATTTTTATCGCTCGTAAATGCGTCACCACGAAACGCTTATCAAATTAACACCATTAAGCATACCTTTTCTCTACAACTGTTATGAAGAAACGTAGCATATAGCATGCACCACTATGACAAACCAACGAGTGTGTCCACTATACACAAACATTTGTGTACATTATACATTATACAAATCAGTTTTTTAAAGAAGAAAAATGGCACTCTTAGGATCTGCCCAATATTATGCGCAGTAGGTATACAAATGCACAAATTAATAGATCATTTTATAAATACCTATATTACATTTGCAGCTTGTAAAAAAGCAGCTGAATGTTGTAAAAATATTATACTTGTCAAAGTTGAAACAAAAAATATACTTCCTAAATATTTTCCTTATTTTTTCCGTGTTCCTTTGCGTTATTGCTAATCCGTCCAAGTGTAATATTTTTTTGTTGATGAATGTACATTTAAATTTAAGCGTAGTTCCTTTTCGTGCATCGCGACCCGTGTTGCATAAGCATATATTTTGCATGCATACATACATTTAATTTATACGTGTGCATGTATTTTTATTTTATTTTATCTTATTATTTTTTTTTTTTTTTTTGCAAAAAAAGGACTTTTCAATGTAAACAAGTTACATATGACGCCTAGAAAGCGCCTAAAATATATTTTTGGAATGATTAAATTAGTACCTTCATATGTTACTCTTGTGTATAGAGGGAAACTCACCACATCGAAAGTAAAAATATGAGACGTTTTTCCATAAGATATTGAACTCTTGATAACATTATTCTTATTCCTAACTGTCTTATGCGTACCCTACCTGGCCCCAGTTGCTTTGTGATAACCGCATAATCATATAAATGTCTATATCCTTAGGAAGTTTATAAATGTTAAAGATAAAACGGTATAACCCATAAAGCTACTAAATTGTGTAATCGAAATTATTTTTAGAGCTATGTTGCCACTGTTATATTACCATAGTTATATTTGTGATCTTTTTAAAATTGTGAAGGGTGGATGTTGAATAAAAAGTACGCTTGATCCACACAACAAATATACTGTAAAAAAATATATTTTTCTAAATAAATTTTGTGAGGCTACAAAACTGCACATAATGTGCGAAAATTATACAAACTATTGGAAGGACATGTCCATGTAAGATAAAAAAAAAAAAAAAAACTAATAACACTATTACGAGTGTATACATATATGTATGCATATATATATGGTGCAAATCAAACACGTACACTCTCAAGGCATCCATTTAAGATTATTTAAGAACGAGTAATCTTATGGCATCCTTTGAAAGGTTGCTCTGTGGGTGTCTGTACCTAACTTTGTGACCCGCATTTTAGCATTTCATTGACAAAAAAAAAGATACTTAAATTATCAGCAATGTTTCATAAGCATCCCCTTACATGTACAAGAAATATATCTTCAACACTTTTGTAAAAAGAATGAATCATGTTATAATAGGCACTGATATTAGCAACGGAAAACCTATAGTATGAATGAGGGTGCATGTACCAATAAATTTAAGAAGATTTGCACCTACTACAAACATTATAAGTAGAACAAGATATTTGTTGTCTGACAAAAATTGAGCGAATCCGCCACAGCAGGTTGTAGGTATTTTAGCAGGGTCTTCAATCTCGGGCAACATTTTTCGAAGTAGAAAATCATCCACCTTAGAATTGATCCTTTTTATAGGACCAAAAAATCTTTGACAGCAGGTTTTTTTTGGAATTTTGTTTTTACGAATGAAATCTTCAAAATTATCCTTTTGTGGGCAGGCATATTTTTTTTGAGGAAGCTCATGATCTATACTTTCGAAAATACATGAACTTCCCCATAAACCCTCACTTTCATATTTTACCCCACTTGTAAGAAATTCCTCCTGAACTATTCTGCCTGTAAGACAAACATTTTTAGAACACCAAGCATTTTCACATTTAAAGGAGTGTTGCATATTGAACATATATAGCATTTACATGTGTATTGAACATATGCACATATATATATAATGGAGCCAAATGACAGTGCCAACCTGCAACAATGGTTGAACAAGGTGACATCCAAACGATAAGGATGAAAGGCAAAAGAGTACGAAGAAGACGAGCCATATTCACTGTATTTTTCTTTTCCTTCCTCCCCGCCTAACCTCTCTGGTAATAATTGTACAAGGTAAGGTTGGCATATATATGATTCTTCATTAATTATACAAAAAAAAAAAAAAAAAAAAAAAACATGAATCTAAAAAAAATACTTTTCTTCGATAGTTTTCACGAATACTTTATCATCAATTCCTTTGTACAATGCTCAGTATGATCTACGATAGGAATCATTCTCTTAAATCGGCATTTTTCTTATTTTTTTCTTTCATCATGCGTTTTTATATATATATAACACCGTATTGTGGGTGTATTGAAATCAATGTTCCTTTCATTTTAGGAAAATTAAAATTGTTAAAATTAATCAACTGCGCCAAAACTATAAAAAAAAAAAAAAGGTATAACAGAAGATGCTACTTGAAGATATAATAAAATTATTTAATTTTTCTAAATATGTGTTTTTCGGATTACATGTATTTATAAGTATATAGTATAAATACTATATGTTACTTCTTTCTTTTTGTGTTATTCCAATGTTGCAATCAGTTTTTTAATGTTTAAGAAAAGGAACATCATGGTTTTCTGTATAATGTTTATATCGAAAGGTTCAGTATTGCATATAAGCCAAACTGCTGCATCTTATTGTTTTACACGTTACATTTTAGTTATAATTTTATTATGGATACTTCGCATAGTGTCACGTAGTTTTCCCCTCACTGCATTGTTCTTCATAGTTTTCACTTTAATTCCAAATGTAGAATTCTATTTAACCCATAAAAACTTAGCTTTACTGTAAGGACTGTTCTATTAATGAGTAATATATACGGCGCATGGAGCAACATCTTGATTTGTTTTTCAAATTTGTAAGTAAAAAATTCTTTTTTTTTGGTTAAAATAGCTGTCCTTTTGAGCACAAATGTAAAGGCTAGGGGTTCACCTATTGTGTTAATTTTTTTAATCACATAGCAATGTTAAAAACGGTTAATTTTTATAAAAAAAAAAAAAAACATTTCAATTTTCCCAAATACATAAAATATTAAGAAAGACAAAGTGATACGTTAACAAAAGACTTAACCCGTCTGTATAGGTTGGGTTTGAATATACACTGATCTGCTATGGAGTAAAGCATGCACAGCTGTATGAAATTTGTCTATGTATATATAATGCATATATACATATATATATATATATATATATATATATATATAGCCGATTTTTTGCGGATATTTTACCTTTGCGTTAGAGTTAAAAAGCATGACGGAAACAATATAGAAAAGAACCTGATGATAGTAGATATTATCAGACTAATGCGATGATGCTTCCTATTTGTCATGAGTTTCACCAAACGATGTTTAATGCTATTCATAATTTTATTGAACGTTTTCCTAAGGGCTATAATATGTTTAAACAAATCATACTTCTTCTTTCTATATTTCTTAGTACAATCTTCGGTTTCTTGTATAATTTTATGAATATTTCTTAAGTGTAATTTAATCGTCCAGATAGGAATCTAAATAGATGTTAAAGAGTCGCTGGTCTTCATCCAATTTTTGCTGCAAGTCTATCTCCGAGTAAAAGTATATGATCTCTTCGTCAAGGTCTCCCACCGTTGCATCGGGGTCTTCTGTCGTTTCTTCTTGATATCCTATCGCTTCAACGAGTACTTTTATAATTCCCCTAGGTTTTTCTGTTACTACGTTAGATGAACAATTTTACTATAAAAATATGGGGTATATTGTTGAACGTGGACAAATTATAGAACATGTAATTATAAGCCACAGGTGGTTTAGTAATTTTGTACTGCACATATTATGGGGCCATGAGTTAATAACGCTTATTTGCTTTTATCATTTGGAACATGTTCTATAACATGAACATTTTTATTCGAAACTTAAAAATGAAGGATTCGTTATGAAGAAACACCTGAAGCACGAATTAAAAATAATGTAATAGGTTAAATCTGTTGCGTCCGAATTATGTGCTCAACATACATGCAAGCATAATATAAAAAAAAGAACGGGTGCACAAATGCTTGTTATTTAAAATCTTTTTCATATATAAACTTGATTACATTTTGAAAGGGGGACCATATAAACGGTTTATTTATGTATATAATTGTGCGTAAAAGGTTCATATCCCTGATGTATTATTCTGCTGCACGCTAAAGCAAATAGAGAAAACGTTACAAAATATGTGGTTATCATTAATAGGAATTATCGTTTGGCCACATTATTCTTATTGTGTATACACTTACAGAGTTGTGTACATGATGAATATGTTCTGTTGACCCACAAAAGAATCATATTTGCGCCCTTCTCTTGCAGGCGTTTATTAAAGGTGCATGTTTAATAATTGGCTTATTTTTATATAAGGGTGCCTTACATTATATATAAAGCAAATATGTATAATTAATATATCTCATTTTTAACGAAAAGGAATGTTAACATTTTCACGTATTCGTATTACAATTCTACGTCAGTGGAATTTGTAGGAAATCTACAATTATGTTATATGTTTAAATCTATTTCAATTGGTTGTCATTCATCCTTTTTTTAGGTTGTCCTTATTGACGTACAACTGATGTGCTGTACTTTTACGCACACAAATTTAAACACCTGACTCAGCTTATAATTGGCAATATACCCTCAGTTCTGTTGGTGTGGAATGCGCTACTATACGGCAATGCGTGTAGCAGTCAAATTATTTATCAGATGAGTTGCACATTTAGTTATTTCGTTTACAAATTGTAATATTTATGGTACGATTTACGGCTTGCACATGGGTTGGCGCAGTAATTATATAGTTTTTTTTTTTTTTACTGTAAGAATTTGTAGATGCAATTTTTTGGCATTTAAAATGTTATAAAGAGATTAAGCATTTTTAAAAATGCCCCGCACGTACCACTTAGTGAATAAGGACAATGGCATTAAATTCATCATAGGACAAACATTTTATGATGCATAGGCCATATGTTCCTGTATTTCATTTCGCTGTATTAGTTCACAAAATTCCACTGATGTTTCTTATTGTATCAATAGCATCCTTTTTACGACAGCACAATTTCTTAACATCACTACTTTGCAGGATACATAAAATGTTATTATTTAATTAGAAGGAGAGCGGAGAGTAGAGGGGCAAAAGTTGTTAACTCATTATATATCGTTCGTCTGTATCAATGAGGAAGCATCAAAAGTTAATCCACATTTAATCATAAACAGACGTGCATAAATTGTTAATTCAAAGGTTCAGATAACCGCATAATTATATACTATAATAATTATGGGATTAATGCTAAGGAATAATGGATAGTATTACTCAGTAGTTCAGTTAAGTTTCGTAAAATTACATTTTATGAAATGTTTATAAGACAAACGCTGCACAGAAATTAAGGTTGCACTGTGTTCAAAAACTGTATTTTTATATAAAAGTATGAAAACACAAAATTTAATGATGTAAATTAAATGGACGAGAAGGTATTATAGCGTATATGTTTACAATCAAATGTATGTATGTTACGAGAATATAAACGCTATAAGGACAGGGTGATATATTTATTAAAGCTTAGAAAAAAAAAAACAGAAAAAAGAAAAGAAAAAATGATAACAAGTCATGTAAAAACAAAGGGTTGTATATTGCCCTGCGCTTTTTTATTCCAGAACCAACAGGTTGTATATTCTTAACTATATTATATAGTTATATGAGAGATAAGGGGCACACAGAAAAAGAAGTTGAAGATTTCTAAAGGATAAATCATTTGACTTGCAAATATGCTAGGATACTCATTTGTCAGACCTAAGGAAAGAGAACAAGTCTCTGTGTTGCTTTTTCTCTCTCTCTTACACCATTTTGAACCCCTTGGTTCTTGCAAAAATAAATAATTGTTACCATAAATGTTATGTTCAAAAAATATTCAATATTAATTTCTATATTCTTGTTCTAAGTCCATTATAAAATAATAACAATGCTATTTTGTTATGGATACATTAAACAAATTATACAAAAAGATCGAAAAAATATAGCACAGACAACTGTTTATATAAAAATAAAAAGATCAATTTCTAGTCAGTACGTATTATTTAAAATAGCAGAATTTGTAGAATACACAATTTTAATGGTGAACTAATTACATATGCACATACTGATTAGTACACGCACATAGCATATATCAGCAAAAAAGTAACTCTTTCTCTTTTGGTACATTTATAGTGTTTTATAAGGTAATTTGGATTTTAGGCACTTTTCCTATGCTATGTCATCCAACTGTTTCGTCTTTTGGGGGGGTGGGAACTTCACTACTTCCCGCTTTTTCTTCCTTTATTTTTAAACGGTTCAAAAAGGAAAGCCTACTTTGATGGTTCTTAATTCGTATATGTGCACACATAAAATTCACTCTCAGCTAGCAGTTTCATTACAACTTTTGTACTCTTATTTAATAACAGCAGAATAAATAACATTGTTTGTTCTTTTTATTACTCGTTCTGTTAGAAGACTTAAGCACAACACCAGAATCTTCTTCTCTTTTTCTTTTTCTTGTCTTTTCCTTTTCCTATGTCTTTCTTTCCTCTCACTTCTTCTTGTTTTATTGAACAGATCTTTCCCGTTGGTCCAGGTTTTAGACTTAAGCGTCCGTATCTTCTTTCATAGTATGGTGCATTTGGGTCTCTATTAGTTTCGAAATCATCTATTAAAGGCACATCGGCAAAATAGTTTGCTAACATTTGTCTGTATTGATGTTGTTTTATCATGCTTGCTTGTAGCGCTTTTTGTAATGCTATATGTGGGTCAAAGTATCCTGGTGGATATGAATGCAGAGCTTCTTCGTCTCCCTGTAACGCAAGTTCTCGTGTGCGCAATAATCTCACGGTTTTTTTTAAATCTTCAATATCTCCTGATATTGTTGGTTTAAAATTTCTGTAAAAATCTCCCCTTATTTTTTTATAGTGCTCCAGTACCTGCTGTTGTTGACTTAAATTTTGAAATGATTCAGGTATGGACATATTATCACCTTCAACATTTGCCGTTTGTGACGCTTGTGGTGGAGCTTGTTGTGGAACTTGTTCTACGACTTCCTCTTCTTCTGAAGTTACTTGTTCTGCAGCCTCATCTTCTTCTGAAGTTACTTGTTCTGCAGCCTCATCTTCTTCTGAAGTTACTTGTTCTGCAGCCTCATCTTCTCCTATAGTTTCTTGTTCAACTTGTTCTAAAGTTTCATCTTCTCCTATAGTTTCTTGTTCAAATTGTTCTAAAGTTTCATCTTGTTCCACAGTTTCATCCTCTTCTACAGCTTCTGCTAATGCTCTCATACCTCTTGAATTCATGGCTGTGCCAAGGCTATTGTTCATCACACTGTACGAATTACCATATTGGCACTAAGAAGGGAAGGGGAATGGAGGATGAAGTGTTTATAAAATTTAGATAAATGTTAAGAGTTTTTACTTACATTAATGAAAAGATAGTGAAGATGTAGCGAACAGGTGGCGTATGATGTAATAGTGCAAACACATAGTAAACAGGAAACAAAAAGAACAAGTATATTTAATATTTGAAAAAAAATAAGAATAAACATTTAAGGCATAACGAAAAAACTCTACTCGTGGACAAGTGTACATAGGAATATTTGCGGTGGGATGGGTGCCTTTTTCTGTTGGGTTACAGATAATGCATTCGTTTCTTTTTTCATTGTTCTTTTTGTTCTTACAGTATTGGAGCAGTTCATAATCCAGAATAGCAGGGTGTACATGCAAGCTTTGGTGCAAAGGAGAAAAACTCCTTTTCTCCCATTCATATTGTCTTTGTTTTAATAGCCACTGTTGAAATATACTAGAAGTAAAAATAAAAGCCTACTACTACTTATATGTATATTAGTTCAAAGCGCGAATTATTCCTGGTATTTAATAAGAAATATATACGTAAGTATTGTTAAAACTTATTAAACTTTATATATATTCTTCTAAAAATGCGAAAATAAGAAAAATCTAGAATTAAAAGTAAAAACAAAAAATACTATTTATTGAAAAATGTAAAAAATAAGATGAAAAAATTACTATATTATTGAAGTTTACGAATTATTAAAATATAAGTTGTAGAAGTTAGAACAAAATAAGATTAAACATAAATGGTTATAAAAAAATATTTAAAAAAAAAAAAAAAAAAAAAAAAAAATTAAAATTTATATTTTTAAAAAACTTTTTTTTAAAAAATTAAAAAATTAAAAAGCTATGCATAATATACTGGATAGTAAGAGAGCAAAAAAAAAAAACTAAGAATAAACAAATTTAAAAATAGCCGCGTGTTAGAAAGCATAGAATCAAATCTGTTGTACTACCATTTTGGTTAGAACTAAACAGATTTATAAGGATGAAGTTTAGAAAGGGAAGATGTTTACTCCTTATGTATTGTATTAATAAAATCAGAATTGAATAGCTTAATACTAGAAAAAAACACACACAAAAAAGAAATGATACGCGTTATAATAATAAATGGTTTATAATTATATAACAAGGTGCGCGTTATGAATTTGTTGAATTGTGAATTATAGCTAATTGCTAGCTTTTTTTTTTTTTAATTTTTACTATAAATGTACATATTTATTATGCTTGATTTATTACTACTGCTCTTTCTAATGAATCCATTTTGAGGGGCTAATAAAGCACTATAGAAATTTATTGTTTTTTGGTTAGTAATATTATAATAGCTTTTTGATATTTTTAGAACTTGTTCATAATATATAGCTTTCTTTTTTAAAAAATGAACATGCATTAGAATTATGTACTATTACTTGCTATTTTGAGAGTGCGTGTTATTTAAGCTAATAAGGTTTTACATAGACAGCTTCAACGTTGAAAAAGGCAATGGTATTGTCATAGAACATGCACATGTTTTTATGCATTTCTTTCTTTTTTTTTTTTTAATGTATGAACGATTAACATTATATCTATATAATTGCTATAACATAAAATAAGTAAAAAACAAGCATCAAAAAATGAGAACGAAAGTAAAAAGTGAAAGAATGGGAGCTGCAGCTAAGCCGGCGACGCATATATAACCTATATATTATTATATACATAAGAAAAAACACCAAAAAAGTAGCAAACACATTTGTCGCAACAATTTCAGAATTAAATTCATGTAATAGATCTATTTTAATCACATCATATATGTGACATTTGACTTAAAGAATACATAGTTATAGTTACTGAATGAAAGAATTATTTATTTTTTAATTAAAAAATTTATGATAACTGAAAAAATAAAAATAAGAATTGCTTCTCTGGCCACGTATAAACATGAAACACTGACTGGACGCTTGTTCTTTCTGTTCCTACTAAAAAAAAAAAAAAAAAAAGGTCGAACGGGATTGTTTAGACAGAAAATTAACTGGGGTTTAATAAATGAACAATTAATTAGTTAACCCTGTAATGAACTAATTCGTTAAAATTAAAACAGCAGAAATAGTCAACAATCTGTTGTGGCCTTGATCAACATTTGCCATATAATTGGCAAAGCATTAACTGTAGAGACAGGGGCAAAAAAATGTATCTTTTTTTTTTATAGTGCAATGACTGTTCTACACAACACGTAAAAAAGGTGTTGTGTAGAACTGATTATAATATATACGTATTTTTAAATGCTTTCTTAACGGTAGAAAAAATTTACTAAGAGGTTTTATAGAAAAAAGAAATTCATATTTTTTTGTTGAAATTATTTAAATACAAATTAAAATATTAAGTCTCACATATTTTAACCCTAAGTCCCCAAATAAATATGTTGCACTTATATCGACATTAAAACCGTAGAAAAGACGTAAATGGTTCCTTGCTTTTTAATTTAGCTAAGTGTATATGAAATATATATGGCCCTCTAAATTGATAAAACAAATTTTAGAGGTACACTTGGACTGTTTTTTTAAGGGTTATTGTAAACAATTCGCGCATTATAATTAGATAATGATCTAATTTGTAATATAATTAATAGCAAAGTCTTTTCTATTTACATAGGATTAAACTTATTTTACAATTAATAATTATTTTACCCCCCACAGTACGATAAATTATTATTATTATTAGCAGCACACACGCCCTGTCTTAACTTTTTGCGATTCTTTATTCATACAAGAATTTTTCTTTCCAAGTAATTTTTTTTTTTGGGTCCCGATTTTAGTAGAAATTCCAAAATTGAAACTACAGCATAGAACATTGTCCATCGTTGCAAGTTCAATACGTTGAATTTTCTTTATTTTTCTTCTTTGTAGAAGAAGTGATAAATTGAGCAAAGGGAACTTTTTATTAATGTGAAATATAGTAGACGCTTTTTCACAGAGAAACTTTGCTAAAGTGTACGTAAAATAATAACATTAAAGTAGAGAAGTATTTATTCTATGTAATGTGCGCAATCCGCGTCAAAAAGTGATGATAAGGAATGGAACGGAAAAATAAATAAAATTCTCTATGAGTTTTAAATAAAACTCGGCAAAAATGTATACATCCACTTATTATTTTTTTAGAAGATACAAATAATATCACTACACGAGTGACAAATTTTCTATCGTGATCTTTGAAAAAAAAAAAAAAAAATAAACTTATTCTTAGGTTATAAGAATACGTGTTCGTGTCTGCAAAGAGAAGTTTTAATTCTAAGTATAATCAAGTTATGATTGTATAAATGTCTTCCGTAAGGAAAAAAAAAAAAACAAAAAAAACACAAAAATAACAAAATAAAAGACATAAAAAAAAAAGCATTAATTAATACTTGTTCCCTTCCAAAAATTTATACACACTAAAGGAAAACAAATCATAATTAAATATAAGACTTATGATAATAGTTCAATGAAGTGTTAGTACATTTCAGAAATGTTTATTTGTTAGGAAGAATAATGTTACATTCAAAAATTATGTTTTAATCTGAAAAATAAATTGATAATACGTTTAGAATTATATGGAACAGGTATAAAATTCATTTAGTTCAATATATGTATATATGTACTATACATAAAGACAATATCTGTACAGAAACTTCAACGCTTTATTTCAGAAATCAGTTTTTAAGACATTTGTAAATCATTTGTTGAGTCATCTACGCTTTCTGTGGAATTAAAAATGCTTTCTTGTTTGTTATCTAGTTTGCGCTCAAGTTGTTGTTGGAATTCTTTTGGGGATAGCTCTGAGAAATGTTCAGGGAGTCTTTTAAATTTTTTGGAGCACTTTAAGTACTTCCAAATAAGATACACTGATATGAGACCACCTACTACTGCCGCGAAGGTAGAAAATGCTGTTCCTGCAACGCTCTTTATGGAAATGATTGACAAGAATGCAAGTACCAAAACTGGGGAGAATATTTTATACTTAAATAGAAATTGTGTAATCATCCTTGTCATACTTTTATCTTGTGCAAATAGGTTATTTTTTTTAACATAATATTTCGATTTTAATATATTGTACATTTCTCTGTCTACCATTTTATCAATGGTTCTGAAGACGCGTTTAATGCCTGCATATAGATCATTTCTACATCGTGAACTGAATGGACAAAAATCATCATATTTCATATTACCCAGATAATAATTTAATTGAGCTTTAGGATCTACATTGTTAATCATTTCACATAGTGTTAGTCTGGATTTTTTGTTATTATTGATGTCATCCTCCATCATGTCAAAGTAATCTTGGGTCAATGCATTATATCGATCTTCATCATAATGTTCTTCATCATTTGCATGGGATTTCTTTACCCCTTCCGTTTCTCCACACGTTTCATGTTCACCAAGAGATCGAATAGCTCTAATATCTGATATATTAACTTGGTTGTTCTTTCCCCATGAATCCGCAATGAAAACAGCTGACTGGAAAACGAAATAAGGTCAGAAAATTGAAAGATGTTTTTTACATTAATATTTTACACATTCATTTCATTACTAAAATGCACACGTGGTACATTTATACAATACTACGAAACAGACATGTAAACAATTTCACACAATAGTCAGTTTTTTTATTATATCTTACCTTGTTAGAATAACTCCACGAGTTATTTGCAAGGATAATTGTGATAATATTAATAAACAGGCTGAACTTATTCATGTTTCCTTAAATTAAATTTACGTATACATTTAAATAACTATTGTTATGGAACAATATTTATTATGTAAGAAATTGCTGACAGTATTTGCTTGTATGACATATTCACTTATTATATATTCAATAATTATTTGTGTACTTAATTCTTATATATGTATAAATAATTTATATTGTTTTGTTATTTCCAAAAAATATGGGACATTCCTCTTTTGTAATTTTAAAAAATGGTAATATTATAATGTACTTGGAAAAAGGACGAAAAAATTTTTTTTTTTCCTGTAATGTAAAGTATATATTTAATATTCTTTTAGTACGCATAAAAATGTATATTATAAAATAATGGGAATGAGTAAATATAATTATATGTTACAAAGTATGGATTTACTTACAAAATAACTCTGAATTACAACTTTAATAAAAAAATGAAGAACTTCATAATTATATAAAAGTAAAAACAATTACAGTTAAAAGTTCATTTAAAGAAAATTAAACCCCTAAACATAATTGTATTTGTTTTATATTGTTTCTTGTTTTAAATTCAAGAATTTGGGATAAAAGGAATTAATTTTCATTATTTGTAAAGTAAGAATATAATAATTATAGAAAGGAATTGAATTAATTTAAAAAGAACATCAATATTATTTTCGCGTAGTATGAATTGTCTAAGCTAACAAGTATTTTTATATACCTTTATCGGCATATTTAAAATGCATTTCCTCTTTAAAATTGTGAAGCAATGAAGTGCGGATGCAAAGAAGAAAAGTATTTGTAAAATGAAGAGATTATATATTTATTAATATTAATTGCAGCAATTTTTAAAATTTTGTAACAAATATGAATATAAATAAATATAAGAGCTTTCTTTAATGAAAAGCAATTAAATTAATATTTCGTGTCATATTATTCTCTATATTAAAAATAATGCAATTCTGCGAATATTTTTTTTTTTTTTTTATGCTATAATAAATTAATTTCTTGAATGGCGTTTTATATATGTTGCGATGAATTTAGTGCTCTGTTTATTTTTAAGCTAAAAAAATAATCATTACCGCATTGGACACATTTTTAGTATTCTAAATAATTTCTAATTTTTTTTGATGTTTTATTTATATGCACAATTTTACCTGATTTTAAGAAATTACATATATTTTTTGATATTTTGATAAAGTTGTTGAAGGGATTACACCATATGGGTAACTGTGCAAATAAATTTGTTACTCAATTTACGGCGCTGTTGTTTTGCCTTTTTATTATAGAAGTGTATAAGTTATGAAAAAAAAAGGCATGTATATGAAAAAGGAATATTCCATTATATAAAAAAGTATATCAATTTTATGAAGAAGATAATCCTTGTTTTGCTGCAAACTAAAAAAAGAGGCTACTCTTAATTATGTTAAACCTTTAAAATTGCGTAATTATAATGCAATTTCATAAACGGCTGTCGACGTATGAATGAATATACAAAGTAATGTTTTATATGGGTCTTATTATATGCTGTGAGCCATGTTAGGAACAATATACTATACCATAAATAAAAGAGGCGCATCGTGATACCATATGTTTCTTACTACGTTTGTTGTTTTGTAAGTAGGATGTATCATCTACAGTAGTATATTATTTATGTATGGTAATTCTATTTTAGTCTATTCATTACAGATGCGAATTTGATGATCGTAAAAAATTCCAGAAATGCCAAATTGATCGTTGTGGCAGGCAAAAAAATCATTAATTACGTGGAATTTACACATTCCATATTATTACATATTCGGATATATTATGCACACAGTTTCTCTGTCTACAGTTCTAAGAATAATTATAAAAAAGAACAAACGCATGTACGTTTATTTGTATGTATTTATGTATATGCATTTAAGGCGTTAAAAAGTATGCAAATTGGAAAAATAATAAAATATGTTTCACATTTTATAGAGCCATTTTTAATATGCGAAATAATTACTTGGGAACTAAATTTTGTTGCAAAATAAATATACAATACATGAATATAAGTCTTTACCTAGAATAGCATAAAAAAAGGTACATGTTGGTGATCCTTTGTATTGTTACTAAATGCTCTCCTTTGGCTAAGTAGTTTATTTGGTTCAACCTATTGTGGCCCTAGCAATAATAATGAATTTATTAGGATGTATTAGGTTCGTATATATGTTCAAGTTCACAAGCCATAGAAAGATGTATACGGCAAGATGTATGTGATAAGACCTCGAAATGGAATACAGTGTATCACGCTTATTAAGCATATTTGTACTACTTCGGCGAGTTTTTATTACACCTTAGGGGATGAACTGTAGTATTTTATTCGTAATACAAAAGTTGTTATTATTATTTTTTTTTTGTCTTGAAATTGAACGTATTCGACATGCATATTTAATTAAACCAATGGGGTGTATAATGATGGTGTTTTGTTTGATGCCATTTTGATACCAACGGTGTGACATTGCATTATGCAAAAATTTTGAATGAATCATTGTACTTGATTCCTTAGTTATTGTAAAAAAAACAAAAAAAAAAAAAAGATTACTCATAATATGCACGTGTTTAAACCATTGCGAAAAAGGGGTATTACATTAGAGAGCGAAAAAACATAATAAAAAACGTAATTCTGGTATAAAGGCCTTTGGATGTGAATATACAATTTAATATGGCCTATTAAAGGCAATATGAATAAGGTCACGTTAAATTCAATCTTGGGGGTTAAAAGAATTGTAGAAAAGATGAAGCGATCACTTTAATAATGTTGTGTGTAAACATAATACAAACATTATATATGAAAAACAAATGTTTTAAATGTGTTATTTTAACTTACAGTTTCTGATTATTATACGAACAAGAACAGGTAGGAGAACGAAATGGTGGGTTATGCTGTAGTGTAGTAGTGGTGTCTTCTTAGCTGTTTCATACAAATGAGAAGGCTTGAAGTTTCAGGTTGGAGTCATATTCACTAATCCGTCTTTTGGTATACTTTATTTATTCACAGTTTATAATTTCTTACCCATTTTTTAGCAACTAGTGCCTACTAACTGATTCTTACGAATCTACATAGTATATTACAAATTCCTTAATTTTCTCATAAAAGTAGTAACTTTGTTGATTGCTTAGGGTATTTTTCAGAGTTACCTTTTTTTTAACACTAAAATCATTAAGTTAGAATATAAGTTAAAGATAATATATGTAATGCACATGGTGTAAAAATTTAAAAAAAAAATGTGACAATACGGAATTTAACATGTTATCTTATATATAAAATATTTTTTAATTAGTATAAAATTTCTTAATAAAATCATATTTTCAAATAACGAAACATGGTAGAGAAAAAAATAGCGCAATCAACAAAGCAAACCAGTTGTGCATACAATACTTGCATAATTAAAATATGGACATAGTTTAAAAAAAACCTGTAAAAATTGCTTGTGAGTGAATAATATACCTACGTAGGAATTACTTTTCCTACATATTGTACATGTAGTACGCGAATGAGTACCTGTTTTTTCCATAAAAGAAATTCTTCCTTTGTACGCCTTAGTAACAAAGAAACCGTTCATACGCTTATTCCTGGCAAAGGAATTCTGTCCATTAATTCAGGACTAATGTCTAACATTATCCGATGTGCTTAATTTATCGTGTGCTAATTATGTGTATTTATATTTTTTTTTTTTTTGGTGTTGGATCCAATTATTGTACTGTGTCGTTTTTAAATTCATCTCCTTGTGTATCATTTTAGCCAATTTTTTTTTTCCCGTATCTTACATTGTCTTTTTGACCAATCTTGTTCATGTACTTTCTTGCAGAAATGTGCTTCATACAAGGCATTCTTTCATTTTAGGAAATGTGCGGTTTTTTTTTTTTTTTATCTAAACAATTTTTTCTTATGTGTAAAGTGAAGAAGATTCATTTTTGTAAGTGGGAGTTAATATCTATAACAATGTTCTGCTTCTGCATCTAAATACAAGGTAACGGTTATACCGTTATATTACACCCCTTGTTAGTATAGGATGCTTCATTAAAAACTGCCGCTGCTACAATTTTGATTGCCATGATTTTTCTAATATGACATCAATAAAGTTGATTTACTTTTCGATTTAGGCATTATGCTCTCTAGGATCTGTTTCTTTTCGATTCCTTTTGTGATATTTGCCCTTTTGATTTTCCATGCATGTGGGCAATAGTATTTCACGGGTATTCAATTTTACATCCACACATCATGCGTTATTTCTGCCTGGCTCTTGGCACATACTTCTTCAATTTCTTCATCAGATTCTTCTATTTGCAATTTTTGTCCTTCATTTATATCATCTGGTTTCTAAAAGGATTAATAATGAAAGAAAATGGGATTAACAAAAATGGTTTGCATGTGCATAAAGATATTTATTCTTTCCTAATAATTTACTACATGGTGAACACCAATGGACAGTATTTATGCATACTTATAGTTGCATATAATTTGTGCATAATTTTTATATTACCAAATAGCAACTCTCAACAAAACAATTTGTCAAGAACATTGAAACTAGAGCCAAACATATGGTTAAGGCAAGAAGGACTGTATTATATTTTGCAAGTGAGTTACAGACACACGTTCCACCCTTGGGAAATAATCTTGTCAGAAAATCAGATGGAGGACTATGAGAGAAATGTCCTGTTGGATCCATTTTGTATATTTATGAATACTATTATAAAAAGCAAACTGGAAATTTATAATTGTAATAAGTTGTTCTATTTAATCATTACATTTGTGATTCAGAAGAATAGGTATTCTTTTTTGTACAGTTTTCATAAAAAGTATTTATAACAAAACCACATTCAGGTTATTCGAATAGAAGTATAAAAAGAAGTATAATTTAAAACACAAAAGAGTATTTACATATTTACCGAAACAGCGATGAATAATGCAAAAAAAAAAAATAAAATAAAATAATAAAGTAAATCCGTCAGGTTAAAACTGAGATTCATTTTAGAAATATCCTTTTCGTTTTTGTACACTACGCGGCTTCTGAAACGCTTTTATATATATATAATAATTAAAAGTACGCAACTCTGAGATCTGTGATCGTGTTGTTTTTTTCTTTTCTGTTTTTGTTTTTTTTTTTTTTATATTTTCAAACGCCTTTATTATATAATAATGTTTTTTTTTTTTTTTTTTTTTTTTTTTTCAAACCCCTTTTTTATATAATATTTTTTTTTTTTTTTTTTTTTTTTTGTTTCATTCATTTTAGATATATTTATGTTTTCTATATTGGCCATTTGCCAATATTAACACTGTACATGTATATTGTTTTTGTTTATCTACATATGTTGTTATAAGTTAAAACGTGTTTTAAACTTTTCAATTTTCTTTTAATGCTTTGACATGGATTTTCATTTTATGTGAAGTTATATTAATATTGTTTTGTTATGTATAATTTTACTTTTTTTTTGTGTAGGGATTTCTGTTTATATTTAATTACATGAAATAGAAAGGCAGAGCGAATTAAAAGATGGTTCGTTATAAATAACGGGCTGGTTGTTTATTCATAAAAGAAAGGAGCACAATAAATATATTGATATTTACTTTTTTTCCTTTTTCATGGTGTGAAAATAATTTTGTATTTATTTTTATATAAATTATGGATGGGAATATTGAATGTGACGAAGATGTCATAAGCACACGTACTACTAGACTAGACGGGAAACCAAGGCTTGATTCATTTTTTAACAAAGATGGGTTACTATTAAGAAGCTACGGATGGTTAGTGAAAAACGCCATAGGCATTATAATACTAATTCATGGTCTAAATTCACATGCAAGGTTAACCTTTTTAAGACATAATGTTGAGATCGTGGATAACTCCAGGGCTATATTAAAAGATGAAAACAATTATTACGTGTACGACAACAGCTGGATAGAACGTTTCAATAATAATGGGTATTCTGTGTTTGCCTTAGATTTACAAGGACACGGACTGTCCGATGGGTGGGACAACTTAAGTCTTAATATTAACAACTTTGATGATTCAGTGCTTGACGTAATACAATATCTTAATATAATTAATGATGAATTATGTTTAGAAGATAAAGAACATGAGTCCAAGGCAACTTGGGCTAACGCTAAGGATTGTGCTACGCCATGTGATGGTGACAATGAAGGTAATAGTGATGAAAGTAACAAAAATGTGGGGTGTAATAATGATCTCCAAGATGATAATGAACTTCAAAACGATAATAGGCCTGGGTGTAGTAAAGCACGTAGCAATAATAAATGTTCTTCACTTCCAATATTCATAATTGGCCAATCAATGGGAGGAAATATTGCTTTAAGAACATTACAACTGTTAGAGAGGACACAAAACAATGGGAAAGGAAAATTAAACATTCATGGATGTATCTCATTATCAAGTATGATTCGTGTTCAGAGAATAGCTTCACCACGTTCATATAAATATAAATATTTTTATTTACCATTTTTAAGATTAATTAGTGGCTTTTTCCCAAAGTCAAGATTTGTTACAAAAAGTGGATTTCAAAAATATGCCTATCTTAATGATCTTGCTAAGTATGATAAAATTCGATGTAAAATGGGCGTAACTTTTAAATTTTGGTGTGAACTTCTGAAAGCGACGATTAACTTAGAGAATGATATGCACCTTATCCCCAGTGATATTCCTATATTGCTAATTCATTCCAAAGATGATATTGTTTGTGATTACAGAGGTGCATTATCATTTTTTAATAGATTAATTAATGATAATAAAAAATTGATTACGGTAGAAAATATGGAGCACGGGTTGACTATAGAGCCTGGAAACGAAAAGGTCTTAGAAAGCATCTTAGATTGGATTGCTAAAGTAGAAAAAAAAAAAGGAAATGGCCGAACCTTTAGAGGCAAAAACTAAAAGAGAAACATATTTCACTTTAATTAATAAAATGACTTCAAGCATATGCATGTTGTCTGATAAGAAAAAAAAAAAAAAAAGAACATTATATGAAAATTGATAATGTTCACAGTATATATGTATAGGCAACATATGTGCAATCTTGTACTTGATTTGTTTGTTTTTGTTCTTTTTGTTTTTGTTATTCCAACTCTTTTTTTTTTAAGTTATTTCTGTAGATATATTTTGTTTAACACAATTGACATTTTAAAGTATACTTTACATTCTGTTTTACCCCCCTCTATTGTAGTTAAAACAGAAAACAACGCTTAAAATAAAACTAATTATATAATACAACATTATTAATTCTTAAGAGTTAATCAGAATTTAATATTGTACATTCCTTCTGTATTATTATAAACCTTACCTGATTGTAGGAGGTTATTGCGTGTAAATAGCGAGAAAAAAAGCGTGGAAGGTGTGTAATTATTGATCATGTCACCTTTACATCTACGTATTATATTTTTTTCCAATTATTGAAACGCTCGAAAAATAACGCAGGATATTTCCTATTCTATGTGATATGATGTGTAAACTGAAAAGTCCTAGAACTCATCTTTTCCGAAATAATTCCTCATTCGTCGATAGGAACAAGTGCATTATGCGAAGAAAAAGATTATTGGTAAATAAATTTTCTCTGAGGGCGCACCAGCATGCTTCCTTGTAATAAGAGAATTAAAAAGCGAAAAAAAAATAAAATAAAAGTGGAAAGGTAGTGTTCATATCTATTGAATTTTATAAGGTATACTTTTCCTAAAAAATGATAATAATACCTTTCAAAAAAAAGACTTTAAAATGTTTAAAAAAAGCAAAAAAATGAGCAGTACATGAATGGTCACATATATAATAAAATAAAAACAATTTGAAGCAAAGAACAAGGAAAAATATTTTTAAGGCAAATAACTGACAGAACTAAGCGAAAGAAGAAAAATTGTGTTAACCATAAAATGAAAATTTACACACCATGAAAATACATTACTACGGGATAGGTGTAGTAATATAACTGGATGTTCTGCAGAGCAAATATAACACTAGACACAGGGGGAGCTTACAAATAGATAAAAAAAATAATAGGTGCTACAATTTTTGGGAGAAAATATTAAAATATAGTGTTAATAAAAAGGCAGAGATGGAAAAGTAAATAGCTTACACTATTTATTTGAACATTGTGTATTTACATTTAAATTTTTACTACAGGGCACTGTTGTTGAAACGTGTATTTTTATTTTCCCGTATCTATCAAATAAAAACGATTACATGCGGTCCATAATTGCAAATTGCGGGTGTCGAAAGGAAATAATAAAATGAGAATTATAGCGTTGATAATAAAAATGTTTCAGATAAGTTGCAAATGAATCATGTTATACGGGTTCAATTACTTTCCTAAAAGCATTGTGTAGGTAGAATTCCTAATTAGTACATTAGAACATTACATTTTTTGTGCATATAGAATTGGTTGTCCATGCACCAGAATGTCCATTGGTTAATAAAATTTGCCCCAAACCAATTGACGTATCAATATGGTGCTAATTGTATGAAACACACAAAATGTACGGACATGTGTTATATCAAAGGATGTTCTTTTAAAAAAGGAACAAAAGGACGTGCGTCACTTCAACCTATTTTCACCACAAATGCGACATAATTAATTGAAGTAAAAAAGAATACCCGGGATATATCTATATGTATATATATACATTTGTGTAATAAGTTGAGCCTTTAAGAAATAGTTTTTTATAGAAGGAACGTATAAATATGTACGACATTTTTACAAGACCAATATTGTATGTTCAGGAACAATAAAATATGGAAAAGAAATTTTCAGGAGTTGCATAATTTCAGAATGATTAATACAAGAATATATATAATCGTGTTTTTGCTGATTACACGTAACTCAATCATTATAATAATTTTTTAGTAGACCCAATACATTTATATTTTACTTAAAGAATTTTACATAGAAGATGAAATTCTCTAAAAGAAAAAATTAAAATTTTAGAAATTTTACAAATATATGGTATTTTTCCACTATTATTACTATGTAGTTTGTCCATAGTATTTTAAAGATAAATTAATTTACTATTATTATTATTTTGTAATTATTTTATCAAGTTATGAATAATGTAAAATAGCTCTGTATTATTTTTTTTTTTTTTTTCTTTTATTAGAGCAGAACTAAAATTTTCTTTCTTGGAATTTTTAGAAATACTGTTGTATGCGTTATAAGTTGGCCCATTTTCCCATTTGATCCTTTCCTGTTTTATTAAATATTTCGTATGCATGATATTTATAGATATACATATATATATATGTATAATATTATATTATATACATAAGCTACATTTATTCCATTTAAATCAACTAGTAGCGTATTTCTTGAGTGATACATTTCGAGTAAAAAACACCCTTTTAAAGTTATATGGATAATACACGGTGATTAATAAAGCATGCAGAATATTTTAATTAAATTTTGATTTCGTTCTGCTATTATCCCATGAATTCGAGACAATTTTATATATTCACTGTGCGCACAGTTAAATTTTTTATAAATATTATTACAATTCACAGAAAAAAAAAACAAAATGGTAGGAAATAAAATGCTTAATTTATAAATGTTGTGTGGAAAACACACCGCAATTTCTCGGTAGTTGTAATGACAATTAGGATATGCAAGTGAGAAATACAACTATTGATTTCTCTTGGAACATATATGTACGTTATATATTATTTTTGTACATTTATTTTTTATACCCTTTTATATATCATTAAAAAAAAATAATGTCTTTATTTGTCGATTGAATATATATTTATAATGTATAATATAACTACAATGTAAAAAAAAAAAAAAACAAATATATATACTACGTTATTTCTCGAAAAACATTCATGATTTTCCACGATAAAAAAATGTTAAAATAATAGATCATATGATCCAATTTTTACATTCTTATAACTTCGTGCTATAATAAATGAACATATTTTTTTATTATTCTCCTAAATTTAGCAAAATTATGGTTTGTGCAAAATTTATATAATTTTACTATAAATTATTTAATTTATTGTTCATAAAATGGTTGCCTTTTTATTGACACAAGAAAAGAAAAATTTGATAACAAATTAGAGAAACATAAGAACAAAAAAATATAATTTATTATAACGAAAAATAATTAAAACTATAACTAGAAATTCTACTTTAAAATAAATATATTATAATTCCATATTAAATGCGTGAAAAAGTATCATCAGAGTTCATTTCTCTATATGTGTTTTGCTGTAAAAAATATACGCTTTAGCGTAAATATACCCATTTAAAATTCATTCGTGAATATTTATTTAACATTATATTTTTATTGTACTGTATGAATTTTAATCTATTTCTCAATCTCCTTTTTAATCTGAATTAAATTGCATTAAACATAATATTTTTCAAAATGTCGAGTTATAGCAATTACACCAACAATCTAGATGAAGATAAGAACGGCAGTGCTGCTAGCACATCCAGCGGAAAAAATTGCTTAATGAAGGGAACACTGTCTTCATTAAAATCACTTATCAAGATTTTTGGAGTTACGGCTGTACTTTTGGCCCTTCATTACTCCAACAACAATGTAAAATATTTGTGAATGTGCTGCAACAACTTTGTTTTTTTGTTCCTTATATATTATAATTTTATTAATACACTAGTGAATGTATGCTTTATCATTACGTATAATTCATTTATACAACATTCTTCTTACCATTTTAAGGACTACGGCATTAATGGAAAAGACATAGTGAGCGGATTAAAGTCAAGCAATGTAAGAAGCTTATCCGAAATGAACGCAAATTTTGGAGAATCAAGGGAGAATTTACAATTTTCTGGTGAAAATGTTAATGAAAGAAGAAACAGCTACAACAATGGTAATTATCGTAACCAATGGGGAAGTTATGAACACTTGAATTCATCACCGTACAGTGATAATTATTATAACCAGGGAACCCAACAAATAGGTGAAGGAAGCATGGGTCGTATGCATTTTAACTCCTTTAATTCAGGATTAGCCCAAAAACTTAAGGAAAATGCTATATATATCCTACCAGGTATGATAGCAGGTTATTATGCATGGAACAGTTTAGGCACACAAACATTTATATTGCTATCTGCTATTGTAGCAGTATTGTTGTTTGCCCAGTATAACACTAATTAAGATTGACATATATTTATAAGAAAAAAGAAACTGAAAATTTTACTATGTACAATGGGCATGACACCTTAAAGTTTATTGCTCATTAAAAACGAGAGTTCATAGAACGCTGACTAATTTACGAACCTTAATGTGTGTGGAAATGTTCACGTTAAAAAGTTGTTGTGCATGTAAATATATATATTAAATATTTTATACCCTTTACAAATAAACTCAGTTTATTATTTTTTTATAATAATATTTTTCTACATAACACATCTTAGCAGTACACGTATTATTTTTCTTAATGTATGTACCATATTTATGTTTTGTCCTTTATGTATGCTTACATGACACATGTAAAGAATGATTGTTATATTTTCTAAGATAACTATAATTTTTTTTTTTTAACGCACAAAAAACGGAAAAAATTCTACATATATATGCATTTATAAATATACATCAACTATTCGTTTGGACGTCTAACACAAAGAATGCTGCAATGATAAATACAATATTTTACTTTTAAATATATATACACATATTTTAAGGGATACTTGTGTTTTTGCTGTTTTAACTTGAATGTATGGTTTAAGTGTTCATGTTTTATTACAATTTTTGGATTATATTTGTATAGATATTAAGAAACATAAGGGTAAAGGAAATTCTGGTGTATTGTTAAAAATATAATAATAATTTGAAGGATAGAAGTTTCACAATATATTGGTAGAATATATTTGTTCAAAAAAATATTAGAAAAATTGTATCATATTTTTTTGGCGCATTACGTATGTGTTGTAAGGATTTTAAATTTAAATTTCGCTTTGTTTTTAGGTTTTATGAAGTGTTTTGATGCGACATATGGGTGAATAATTATTACAACTGTTAATGGTCTATGTGGAACTGCGTTTAGTATTCATTTTAGGAAGTTGTAGACATATGTATAATTGTGGACGTAATGCTAAACCATATAAATTACTCAGTGGTGCAGCTGAAATGAATTCGACGTTAGGTGCGCCGAATGATGTAGAACAAATCTTTATCCATTTTAGTATTAAATACAAAATAATATTAAAAGGAGTTCCACATGCAATTAATTAAGCCTAAAAAAGAATAAATATGTGTAAGTGTTATCATCAGTGTTTTATTTATGCGAGGGTAAATAATTAGAATTTTATAAAAAGGAAATTATTTGTAGATTTACACATAAAAAGGATGATTAGCATTTAGGTTTTTTATATAATTTGTAGATACTTATCATGCTATCATAGGACGATGTGTCAAAAGGTGAAATTTCTCTTTTCTTAGTCGTATATTAAAAAAAATATATTGAAAACATAATAGGAAAATCAACGAAAGTTTGGCAGGTCCATTTTTGTATAATATGCATGTGAAGTCAACATAGGCAAATTCAATCATAGCAATAGAAACGAGTACTTAACATAATGAATGGTTTATATGCTTAGGAAGGATGAAAAAATACTCTATTATTTTTAAAGTATTAATTTGAGTAGTTCCTTCAGAGTTAACTATTTTGTTGTGGTATTAAGGAATTTTTGATCGTGTTCTACATTTGCACTTTCTGGGAATAATATTAATTTATTAGGATGATAGTAAAATAAATGGAGGTCTTTTTATAGAAAGGCAAGAATACCAAGGTTCAAGATATGAAAATGACAACGATGAGGAAAAAGTAGAGCGAATGTTAAAAGTAGAATAAATCGTATATTAAATTGGTTCTTGTCATGTTATGCAAACAGTTTAGGAGTTGTTTTATTCACATAGAACAGTTATGGTGTAATGTTTTGCATGTACCATTGTTGACGTGATATAATGAGGATATCCTCATATTAGTTCGCGCAGATATCTTCATAATAAAAAAGAACTTGTCCTTTCATTATTTTCATCATGTCGGACGCGTGAAATTTATGTGGTTTTAAATATATAATGCTTACACTGCGAAGGGAAATCCAGTTATAGGTAATAATAACATAAAATATTTTCTGTAATGAATAAATATGCACATATGTGCAACATGTATTGTTTTATGGATATCAAATATTAATCAGATGTACAGATTTGTTAAGTCCTAATTAGGTGATTAATTATATTATTGAACTGTTCCTGGTATTTATTTTTTATTTCATGCATTTTGCACAGTTTGTGTAAGAACCTAAAGCCCACAGTGGATTGTGTTATTAATAAAAGTTTATGATGTAAATTATTATATTACAGTTTATGTTTTCACGTGGAGGTCTAAGGAAATAAATTATCTTTATGCTACTAAAGTGTAGAATATGGAAATTGTGATGTGTAGACTCTCCTTGTGTGTATGCATTTGGATCAAGCGACATCTCGTTCTTTGTTGAAACAAGAATACGTGTGTAAACTTAGTCAACTGTATATAGTTTCCAGAGGTAATTTAATTTGTCATAATGAAGCCTATATGGCATAAAATGCGACATAATACTTGTTATGTACATTCTTAATTTATAATGAATTCCAAAATGGAAGTAATAAAATACCGAACATACGTACTTTTAAATCATACTTTGTATAACATCTTTACAGTTACGTCGTAGAAATCATGACTACTGTTGCTATCATTCGTTTTGCAACATTTTAATTTTACCGCATGCCTAAGAATCCATTATAACTAGTGGTAAGATTGTACATTCCAATTCAATTTAACTGGTTAATTTTGAATATGCAAAAGAGCTTAATTTAATGTATCATTCGTCAATAGAGAAGAATATATGTAGGTATTATTATGTGAAGTACCTATTTAGATTGTCGCATTTCCCAAGTCTACAATATAGTATTACACATACTGACATATCAAATTATGGTTCGAGGAGTAAATTGCAACATTGTGTGAACAAAAAAAAAAAAAAAAGAAAGGTAACTACGAAATGCATTTTATACCTTTTAGCGTTTACTCTTTTTTGTTATTTATGTTGCTTATTTTTTTGTAATATTTGAATAATATTATCATTGTGCTTTATTATTTTCTAACAATCATATTATTAACGTGTTTAAAATCTAGATCTTTACTATTTAGTACAATTTTCATGTATAATGCAATAGTGTAAGCCATAAAAATACCTAGTCTTTTATACTTGTTATTAAATTGTATTTGTCAACAGACATAATGATGTTCGTTTTAAGATATGATAAGCTTTCACAATAATACATGTGTATCGGTGACAAATTCTTTTAAGAAAATGTAAGATATAATTTAGAACTGATTGCGTTTATTATGTGGCATAAGCACATTAGAGCTTATTTTGCATGTAACGTGGGAGCATATTCAAGCATTAAGGAATATATAGAAAAAAAATTCCCTCATTAGATAGTTTTATACAAAGACATGGACATTCATTTTTTGCGTGTTATTAAAATGTTTATTGGTATTAATTGTATAATTTCAAAATAAATTACAAACATGACACATTCCTATGCTGTATAACTAAAAATAATTGTTAAGAATACACTTAAGGTGTTCCAAATGATGAGGGAGTGTGGACTTAAATGATTTGATTTTACCGGTCACCTGTATAAATTATGTCTAAAAGGTATTTGGTGATTTATCTGTAAGATTGTATGAATAATATTGTAAGGAAAAAAATGTACACAAATTAAATAAGCATAAACATATAACGAAATATTTGAACTGTTAAGAATAATTATGGATATGTAAAGGGGGCATAAAAATAGAACAATGGTAGCCGGTGTATTAACTGATACTTTAGATGTCGTTTAAGGGCATTTATTGAGATGCCGTACAAATGGAAAACCTTACAATATATTATGTGAAAATCGTTAATAAGGGATCATTTTAAGATAATATTTATATTTATCTAAACACACGTGTATATATATTATCACGCCGATAGGACACGTTGCTACATGAACCTAATTTTATAAAACTTAAAAAGGAATATAAGTACATGTATTTTTTTAAATGTAGACAGCTATTCAAAATTAGATAGGAATCATGTATTTAATGAAATATGCAGACATATTTCAATACAAAATGGTAAAAAATGTGTGCAGTACAATCATTTCGATAAAATGATTGGAAGCCTTAATTTTGATGTTTAATGGATCAATACTACAAGATTGTAACTAGAACTTCAAACTGCTTTTCCTTTTTTTTGTTAATTTCCTCGTTTTTTTTATATTGTTACTGGATATTTGTGAATAGGAATTAATGTTGAACTTACTATCCTCTTTTTTGTGTTACGGTGAATGATGCTGTTGGACGATTCGTCCTGGGCCAAATTGTCTATATATAAACTAAGAAAACTTACTGAAACGAAAGAAAAACGATAACAAAAAAAAAAAAAAAACGCACATATATTATACGTGCAAATTATTTTAACAAAACAGTACATACGTTCCCTATTTTGCACATACATTTTTGAAATGTGCAAGGGATTATTTGGGGGGTCTGTACCAAAAATTTATATATGTAATAAAACGGAAAAACCTTTAAGTTTTAGGATTGCATTAGTAGGAACTGGGCCAAAACGCACAATCAATTAGTACCTTTCATTTTTATAAAAGGTTTAATGGAACATCATACACCTCTTTAAGAAAGTTACAAATACGATACGATATAGAGATTATATAAAATAGTGAAATGGAAAAATGGTATGAACCAGAAGCGGATTAATCCTTCAGTGCATTCTTTCAGTAGAGACAAAATGTAGGATTCAGGATATGCTCCTCTTTTACATTTTTAGATTACGGCACTACCATTAGAGGATATCCATTTTATTCAAATTATAGATTCGGCTTTTGTATTAAGTACAGAATATTTTTCAGACTATCATAAACGTATGGAGAAGGATAAGGATATGAAAAAAAAAATGCTAATCAGGGAAATCATTAGACAGAGCATCGGCACAACGGGAAATATTTTATGATGCAGGATGTGAATATAATTATATATGTAATTGTAATCGTCTGTGCAAGAAACAATATATATAAGTGATTAAAATTTACAGGATCATTCAATTAAAATCGAGGTTATTTATTAAGTTCTTAATACATTTATGACTTTCTGAAAAGGGTTACGCATAATCGTCCGCTTGTAAAATAATATTATATAAAACGATAGTGCTATATGAATGAATTGTCACAAAATGCGCGCATTCTACTATAGATAGGGGAACTACTATATGTGTGATAAGTTTTTGTACCATTTTCCCTCGCAGAATAGTATACACTTGAAAAGGAGAATACATATAAGAGGAAAAAAGGGGTGGCGGAAAAGTTTAAAAGGGTGAAGGTAGCCCAAATCTAATATGATAATAAAATTCATCATAATGATAAGAATTAAAGGGCGAAAAATTAGGTGCAACTGTCTGTATATGACGATTGTACTAATTATTGTATCCGTGTTGTGAAAGCAATAATTATATAAATAGACAATGAATAAGTAAATTGAAATGACAAGGAACACGTGCACTGATACACATTGTGTGCACACTGATATTTATACAGTATGTAAATAAGAACAAGGTTCCAAAAATAAACTAAATGTGAAAAAAAAAAAAAAAAAAAAAAAACGAATTTAAATGTATTAAAATATCAATCATACGGGATATATGCGGAACACTAAAATGATTTATATTATGAACATAAAAATTGACGCATGTAATTGAATAAAATAAGTGAATACATATATCATAAGATTAAACAACAGATCGGACAGCTGAAAAGTTCAAAAAGGGAAATAAGTAAAATTAAGATAACATGTGAACTTACAAAAAAGCACAAACGCAATTGATGCTATAATAAGTTGTAGCAATATATCATAATGAAAAATGTTAAATTAATATAAAAATCATTCCTTAAAATGCTAATAACCAAATGGTTACGTATGAATTTTTTTTTACTTAAGTTTTTATCAATGTTTGTGCGGCAGCATTGTATTAACTGTTTATATGTTTAAAATAGTGAAAGGAAAATTTCAAATTTGTTACATGTAATTAGCCCCTGTTTAGGTTAAATAATTTTTTTGTTAACGCAACACAATATACAACCCACATGTACATTTTTTTTTTTTTTTTTAAATTCGAATGAAAAAATAAAAAATACCCCCTTGAAATAGCATTATTTGTTTTAAAAATGTGCAATGAAACCGAACTGTCTTGAGTAAAAAATAAATGCATATATGCATAAAAATAAATATTTTTGAAAAATTCCTACCCCCCAAAAAAAAATGCCAAATGTGCATATATCATATTTAATGGAAAATATTATCATTTTACTTTCACTGATTTACGAAAGGCACCATAATACACATTGAATTGTGTATACACCATATTTTTACTTATTTCTCTCTTATAAATGAAAAAAACGATATATTTATTCTGCTTTTATTAATATACATAGATTTTTTTGTTTTTCTTTAAAAATATTTACACAATAAAAAATGCTTGTAATAAAACATTAAGTTTACTATGTTCAGACATAAAACGCCACAAATATATTTAAGTAAAAAAAAAAATTTGCCCTCATTTGCATAATTCTGAGAAGGTAAAAAAATAATGTATAAGTGAAAAAAAAATTTTATATGTACACCAAATGTGCATATTTTTTGTCGATATTCCTTAATCTGGAAATGTGTAGCATACTTAAAAAATATGTAATATTTGTTTAGTGGACAGAAAAAAAAAAAAAAAAAAAGTTTGTATATATATGTATATATTTCCATATATGTGTACTTTTGTATTTTGCTCATGAGGTTATATTATTTAATACGTTTTCACATGTTTTTGGTGTTGATAATTTTTGCAACATTTTAAAGGTTAACATAAGTTAATATGAGTTAACACACTAAAACATTATTTGGGGGAAAAAGTATTACAAAAAATGATTTCATTGCGTAATATACGAGTTCTTTTGCTGTTCCTTCTTTTATTTATAAGTAAAAATGTAATCGGCAATGGGATTGAAAAGCAGAATCTTCAGGAATTAAACTATGTTGTCCAGAATAAGGAAATGTTCGACAATTTAACAGGATTAGAAAGGTTAATAATACAAACATTAAAATATGATAATGTGCTATTACCCGTGTTAAACCAAAGTCTTAATGAATACCTGAATATGTCTAATTTTATGATAGTTACACATAATATTCATAGTGACAACCCAATTAAGGTGGTTGTACCACGTCCAGATGCTGATATCCACGATTTAGTAAAATATGAACACGTTACGAGGCAGCAATTAATACAAAACTATGATTCAGAAAAGGCGGATTCAATTAAGAGGAAGTTGTTGCTTTTGAAGGCATTAAAAATAACGAAACTTATGTTAATACCTATGTATGCCTATGAGCAAACAAAAGATTTAAAAAAAGCACTAGAAGAATTGAATTCTGTATTTTATCCTAAGGATGAAGAATTCAGCAAGGAAGATTCTTATCAATATTCCAAATCGTATTTTGCAAACATTATAAATTATATTAATGGTGTAAAGATCAACGAGCCCCATGACAGTGCGTATTCAACTATAATAATTGGTGAAGACTTATCCAAAATACAGGAATCTAGTGATTTATTTTTTACGACAAATGATAATATTGAATTTATGAAGAAGTTAGATACGATAGCTGGTCATTTCGGAATAGCTATGTACAATTTAGTTGGTTCTAATCTTATAGGTAAACTATTCCTTTCTCATATTGTAAACATTGAGTGTATCATGTTGTAACATATTTTTTGTAGTGATACATTACATATGTGTATATATATATATATATTTTCCCCCCGTCTTTACAGCATTGGGACATTTCGTTGTTCTACAATTAGCACTTAGGAAGTATGAACAATTTTTTAAATTTGGAAAAGTGAGATTTTTTAACTGGCAAAAAATTTTAAGTTTTAGTACGACGGATAGATTTAAAGTACTCGATGCAATGTGTAATGTACAAGGTTTTCATGATGTCCAAACAAAACGAAGAATAGATTATTTGAAGGATGACAGAACAGTAGCGTTTGATGAGTGTAATATATTAGAATTTCTAGTGCATCATTTTAATAAATACCAAAACTCATTAGTTTCGGGTTTATATCAAGAGGACTTTAAAACTCATTATTTGCAAGAGCACACTGATATAAGGAACGAATTTTTCAGATTCATGTGTAATGATATAAATCACTGTAATATATATAACAGCAAAAAATTTTTAATTGAAAATGATACTCTGACACAGTCGAACACTGACAATGATTACTATAAATCGATAAGTGCTTACAACATATATACAAATTATTTCTATTTTACAACACATTACAATAAATTTACCATGAATCATATTTTGTACGTGCACTTTTTAAACTTAACTGGAATTTTAAGTAATCCCCCAAAACACATTTTTGTGGCAATACGTGCAGATGCATGCTTTGTATAGTTCTTCTTATGTATCACCGTGTTTTCATTTCGATACCATATATGTATATGTATGAATTAAATTATTACAGACAACGAAAACAAGGCCTTTGTAACTGCCCTCTATTTGCCTGGATATTATAACGGTATAGACAGTTGAAATCGGAGTGTATTTTTGTAAATATTTAATGCCTTTATGTAATAAATATACTCAGGAGAGAATCGTTTTGATTGAAATTTAATAAGATTACATAAACGTTTACACTTTTTGATTCCTCTGCAGCAATTGAGTTAGCCTTTGATCAAGAATCCATGCTTACGGATCTGATAGAAAACTTACTACAATGTAATTCTTAAATATTTAAGGGGCGCGTTACCCTGATTTGTAGTTATGATGGAAATATTAGGACAACTATTTATGTCACATGTTCTATAAGATTTTTATTGACGATCAAATTATGAATAAAAAAAAATTTTTTATTTTCAGGTGTTGAAAAATGTAATTCAATATATCATCCCCCCCAAAAATCGAAAAATAAAGATAGTTCAATCCAAGATTATGGTGAAAAGAAATCAACGAAATGCAACCTTTGCAAGGGAGTGTTCACATATATAAACTCGAAGCACGAAGAAGCACCATCTATGTTGCAAAAGTTTTTCACTTTTGTTACGAAAATTATTAGCATAAATAGCGTAAGCACATTAGTAAGAAATTTGGGTGTTTATGAAGAATATGACAATTTTTTAACAAACGATATAAATTGGTACACATTTTTATTGCTACTGAGGCTTACGTCCTATAAAAGTAATTGTGCAACAATAGAGAGAAAAAAAAAAAAAAACCAAAAATTAATAGTACAAATAGATAGCATGAATCATTACGTTTTCATTAATAATGAAGAAAATATTAGACAAACCGTAATTTTTCCTTCATTTTGTCCGTAAGACATGATATTAATCAAAATGATCCATCTCGTTCTCTTTTATAGAAATTGCCGAAAAGGATATCGGAGAAGCTATGTATTTAGATTTGAAGAAAGAAGATAAGTTTAATAAAACTGTTACAACGAATTATTGGTATCCATCGTATTTAAAAAAGGCTTATACTTTGTACGTACGAAATAAATTGGCTATAAATCTAGTAGAAAGTAAGACATGGGCTAAATATATGCTATTTATTTCCTGTTTATTGTACATTTCCTTTTGGTGTCTGCTCTTTGTTCTTATAAATCTATTTGTAAATATGTATTTCTAATTATTCAATATTCATTTTGAAATTTCCCTCCTTGTAGAGTTAGAGAAATTACTAAGTGTAGGAACAATAGAGAAAATGAAAAAAAGTGTAAGGTTTTTGCTTCACGTAAATTCCTTTTTACAATTGGATTTTTTTCACAACCTAAATGAACCAGGACCAGGAGAGTATCGCATGCATCCACTGTCTCTGGTGCTTGAGAATCAATTTGCCGAATGGAATAATAACTCTAATTTAGGTTACTTTTTTTTAAATTATGATGATCCTAATATAAGAAAAGCAATGCATGAAAAGCTCAGATCAGATAGAATGGTAGTACCTAAATTTGATAAAGTATCTGTTATGCTAAAAAGGCACATTACGAGTGCATATAAATCTTATTTTAATCAGAGGCATGTAAAGAATTTATACGAAAATCATGATACTTTTAATATAAGTAACAAGATTATGCTAATGAAAGATTCGTACGAATCGTATTTAGAAAATTTCAAGAATATAATTTTTTTAGCAGATATATTTAATATAAGAAAATATTTGACTGCCACTCCCAGAGCAAAACGAATTTCAGATAGGCTATACTATTATATTCATAACATTTTGGGTAACTCTGTAAACTTCTATAAATATGGTATGATATATGGGTTCGTGATTAATAAAGAATATTTAAAAGAAGTTACAAATGAACTGCTTTCAATTTTTAAATTGAACCAGCATATCTTTACGGATATTTCTTTTTTGCAAACTGTTTATTTACTTAGTAGAAAAATTGAAAATAGTTTTAACGTGCAAAGGAGAAATGATAGCATAGTAAGATACATTTATTAGTATATGTGTAGATATAGCAAGCTTCAATAGTCTTTTTATGCATTTTTGTTTTAGTTGTTGTTGTCTCATTCTTGTCCAATTTTTAGCAGTTTTTCGAATATTACCCATTTGTCTATATATCCTTATTTATAAAGATAAATACATTGCATGGTCTTTATCAATTTCTTTTTTATTTTACAGAGTATTAATAATTTGTTTTTTTTAAATGTATCAAGTAATTACTCAAGAATGAGCAAAGAAGAAAGGTTAGAAGATTTAAATAATTCTATGGCATCCAGATTTTTTTCAAAAACATTTTTTTCCACATTTCAAACAATGTTCGTTGCAATAATAAGTAATACAGCAGATAAGCTTGATAAACAATATGGAAAACCTAATATGCTAGGGATAACGTTGAGTGAACAGGCATTTATGAAGTATGCATTTATATATTATGGTAGCATAATGGATAGTATAACAAATAGTCTTGTTCCAACGTATGCCAAAAAACCGATAGAACAATTAAAATATGGAAAAACATTTATTTTATCGAATTATTTTATGTTATCTTCACAAATATATTCATTATTAAATTTACATAATTTAAGCCAATTGTGTGAATATCAAGCTATAAGTACTCCTAGTTTTTATTCTGAGAAGAAACTTGGTCGATTTATTGATAAAAAAATGTTACCCATTGTTGTATATTATTTACGTTTAAGAATTGCCGGAGTTCAGGCTGTTCCTAATGATTTTGTAGACTGGTATAATACAATTACCAGAAATAGTTCTACTCACCCCTCTATTTGTGTTACTGTGCACATGATTACTAATTTATATTTCGACACTCCAATTGCTTTTCCCTTTTCAATGGGTAAGAAATTAGGTGAACAAACTGAGCATATGGCAAGTCTAAGACCAAGTTCGACACCATTTGTGTTTGGGTTCACAAAAATGCTTTGGTTGGAATTACTTAATTCAATGTCTTGCATTTTTGCTCTATACCCTTTTGTGCGTTACTATGCCTTTCAGCAGAATGTTGTTTACTTTTTCGTAAGTCCATTCCGTTTTATGGATAGATTTAATACTCCAGCTGATTATTACCTTAAGAATATTGTTCGAATATATTTTAGAAAATTTACAACAGATGAAATAATAAAGTTTGCAGAGAAATCCATACTAAATATTAAAAGACAAGGTAAACTGGAAGAAGCAATGAAGGCTAGATTGGAGGCTAAAAAAATTAATGAGAATACAATTATACAAGGTTTAAATGCAGATTTTCCTATGATAGCACCACAAGAATATGAAAGATTGCAGAAAATGGATTCTGCATTGTATGGAGATGATAATTTACTTTTTGATTCTCTGGATGAAAAAGAAAAATTCTTAAATGAAAAATATATAATTTCGGAAGCTGTGGAAGAAGAGGAAACAGAATCCCCTACAGAGTCCAGTGAAAGTTCTGAAAGTGAAAATGAAAGTGAAAATAAAAGTGAAAATGAAAGTGCAAAAGAAACTGCAAATGAAAGTTCAAATGAAAGTGCAAATGAAAGTGCAAATGAAAGTGCAAATGAAAGTGAAAATGAAAGTGCAAATGAAAGTGAAAATGAAAGTGCAAAAGAAAGTGCAAATGAAAGTGAAAGTGAAAGTGAAAATGAAAGTGCAAATGAAAGTGCAAATGAAAGTGAAAGTGAAAGTGCAAAAGAAAGTTCAAATGAAAGTGAAAGTGAAAATAACAATGAAGTACTGAAAACAGATACGAAGAATTCTCCAGAAGAAACTTTTGTTGAAAATGATAAACAAGAAAAATTTGTAAACGGTTACGAAGATCAACAGAATGAATTAAATGTACGAGTTGAAGAAGAGGAACTAAGTGAAGATGAGGATATGCTCGATGAAAAACTGATGATTAAAAGAAAGCCAATTGAACAAGAATAAATATTATTGCTAGATCGCAATGACATAATATTTTTTTCGGTGGAAACCATTGCAAATCCTTTTTCCTGGTTGCTATTATTATATAATAGAATTGCACACATGCAAAATGTGTGAATTAGAATTTACTTATAAATATGAATAGTAAATATATTTACTTTTTTTTTAAAATATTACTTAGAAAAAATATATACCTTTTCTTTTGTAATATTTTGAGTACTAATATTTTAGGATATTTTTTCCTGTTCTTGTTTAAATAGACTTTAGTATAAGTTTTTTTTTTTTTTAATCTACTTTCGCTTTAGTTTTTCCTATTTGGTATACTTTTAACCTTTTAAAAAAATATTGTTTTTACAATATTTAATAAACGTTTGAAGTTTTTTTATAAGCACTTTTAGGCTTTCACATTATGTTTTTTCTTTTTGTTAAAAAAAAAAATAATCATTTTGTTGAAATTTTAAAATAGACACAATCTTTTTAATAAGACAAGTATTTTTTTTTAACCTTTATATTGTAGCATTAATGGCGTCATGATTACCTTTTTGGGATTATGCAATAATCGAGGGACGCGGATAAATACAACTTCAAAATTAAAAAAAAAAAAAAATTATATTATTGCTATGGATAACACATACTATATCATATATTTAACAGTATTCATTTTTATAATTACTATTGTCTTACAGTATTTGAGAGTTCATGTTAGTGTGCACTTGTAGACTTTTTTTTTTAATGTATAATCGAACGATATAATTGAAACTTAAAATTATGCTAAAAAAAAAATACAGCGTTCAAATGTGAATTTGAATACCAAGTGACTAAATTTTGATGTTTATATTTTTCATAAACAGGATCAACATGTTCGTATATTTTGAATCATTTTATGTGTTTTATGTAAGTATCTCTGTTTTCATCGAAGTGAATTCCTCTACCCTCTAGTGGAATTTAATTTCATAATTCATAGCACTAAATGGGAGTAAAGCATAGATAAAGCACGTTGAACAATATGTACCATTTTTAATAGCCTTTATGCTACATATTCCGAAATGTAAAATGAAAAAATGAGAGATTAAACACACACAATTAGATTTACAGAAACCAATAATACTCAATACAGATAATCAGTATATAGTGCACAGTATGAAGGAAAAATGGGTTGCGATTCTTAAATGTATCATAGTTATTTAAAGCGTCTGTAACAAACAAAATACTTACTATAACAGAATAAACACAAATTGCACAATATAAGTATTCTTATATAACAAGGGTTATCAAAACGTGGAAACTACAGAATTTAAGCATTTCTTAGAAAACAATTTGTTCTATATTAACTAGGAAATATTTATGAAGTGCGTATATTTGCTTCTATGTGAACAAACTTATTTGCATTTAAATTTTTTTTTTTTTTTTTTTTTATTCAAGAATGCTATCTTAAATGTGTACTGCTAAATGCTTAATTGTACCAATGTGTGTACCCACATAAAGAGATTAAAAAGACAGTGACTGTTTTTTTTTTTTTTAAACGATTTACATTTCGTTAAAATTTTGTCTGCATGAATTTAGATAAAATTAATACAGTTATATAGAAATAAGGCTAGGAGACATATGTAGGTGCATATAATATGAACACAATGATTAAATAGCGTTAAAGTTTATCATTTTGCATACAAATATATATTAGAAAAAAAAAAAAACAAGAAAAAATGTTCTTAAAAAAGAGCATTTTTCCAATATAATATAACAAAACTATTAATGTACATAAATAATATATAATACGTGGCTTATTTATATTATTCGGGATAAAAGTGGATGATAGTACAAGTTGTATTGAACAAAAAGGAGAACATTAGGAAAAAGAAAATGTCTCCAGAATTCGGGATGTTTGTACATTAATATGTTATATGTAAATTTATATCATTTTGCTTTATAAAAAGTTTAAACAGTGGTTCATGAAATTACAATTTTTGCCTTAATTTTTAGGAAGCAGCGACTTTTATTATTGTTGGTTTTGATGCCTTTTGTGCATTTTCTTTATTTATTCTTTCAACTTTTTTCTTATGATGACATTTCTTCAATTTAAAGAGGGTATATCCTATTGCTGCAGCAACTATTATGACTGATATAATAACGTAGGTAACGTGTTTCAATACACCCAAAACAGTTATCAATCCTGCGGCAATAGCCATTGGTATTAGAATCTTCACGTATTTCAGCATACGAATACTTTTTTTATTACCTGTAGAATCATCATCTGACTCGGAACTAAATAGATCTAACAACTGATCTTCATACATTTTATCAAACATGTAGAATAATTTCGTTATGCACACTATTATGTTTTTCTTTTTGATCTTAAGAAACGACAATTTACTTTTTTTTTTGTGATCTTTTTTTGATGCTACTTTTTTTAATTCTTCTTTTTTGAATTGTTCTTTTTTTGATTCTTCTTTTTTTAATTCTTCTTTTTTTAATTCTTCTTTTTTTAATTCTTCTTTTTTTAATTCTTCTTTTTTTGGGGGTTCAGAATTCTTGTCGTAATAGTTCAATACATAAATTAGTTTTTCAATGTTGTCATTGTCTTTGAATTCAGACAGTATTCTTTCAGAATCGCCGGAATATTTCAATATATAAAGTAGTTTTTCAAATCCGTTACCGTTTTTCAATTCATCGAGTATTTTTTTATAGCTAGGATCATTTTTTAATTCGTCAACTGCTGCTTCAACATTATTAAAATATTTTAATTTATTAAGCAATTTTTCTATATTTTGGACATACGTCAATGTACTTAATCTACTCTCAGGATAAGGATTTTTTTTCATATCATTGGGATATTTTTCATAACTTTCTTTGGGAAAATATTCTGAAAAATCAAATGATGGTTTTCCTGAATCATTTCTTGGTTTATTATCTACATGTGCTCGACCTCTATTTCCTGAATCAAAATAGTTTTCTTTTACTGAATGGTTATACATGTTATCAAAGGGTAAATTATATGTTCCATTTTTATTAAAATCATTGAAATAATTTTTATAATGCCCATATCTTATTGAATCATCATATAAACTGTATGAGGTGTGAGGTAATTCTGTAGATTCATAGTTGTCCGTTTTATATGGACTATTGAATAGTTGATCATAGTAAAAGTCATCTTTTAATGTACTATATCCATTTCCAAAATAATAATTATCTCTGTATACATGTGACGTTTTTGGCTTTGGCATGGTAGAACTTAATGCATTGTGTATTTTTGCGAAGTCCAGCGTAGGATCAATTGAACTTGGTTTATTCGCACGTGGTCTGCTAACATTAGTAGAGTTGTGTAGTGTTGAGAAGTCCAGCGTAGGATCAATTGAACTTGGTTTATTTGCAGGTGGTCTGCTAACATTAATAGAGTTGTGTAGTTTTGAGAAGTCCAGTGTAGAATCCATTGAACTTGGTTTATTCGTAGGCTGTGTGTTAACATTAATAGTATTGTGGATCTCTTCGACATTGTCAGTAGGAGCAGATGTATTTACTTGTTTTGCAGACTCGTTGTACGTGTTGGGGGGACTATTTGGTTCTGTGAACTTATTAGGAACAGTAAATGGGTTTGTCTCTTCGGCAGGTTTGTTGTTCAATTTTTGGAAAAATTGCACTTTTTCAAAATCTTCAAGTTCTATTAAATTTATATCCTCTTTAAGGTTCTTATTGTTGTCATTAAATTTGGATGTGTTGTGTACATCTACAACATTATAATCAGATTCATATGGGCTTTTTGGCCTTTTTTTGTATTCATTCTTGAACAATGAATTTAATCCATTTTGGACGTTTTCTTTCTGTATTAACATATTAAACCCTTTTGGAAAGTTGGAATTATGATCAGTGTCTTCTTGTCCATATTCTATGACTCCTCCCAATTTTTCTTTAAGGAAAATATTTCTCTCTTCGGCAATTACTTCTCCACCTTCCCTTAATACCCTACCACCTCTTGCAACTAATGTGTTGGTTTTGCCATGTTCCTCAATCCTTGATTTACCGATGGCAGATGACTAAAAAGTGAAGGCAAATGAGTTGATGTGTGTTATAAAGTACGCATATTTACATATTCGGAGAATTTTCGCTTCATAATAAAAATACGCAAAAATGTGCTCATATATACTTAAAGAAAGAAAAAGAATGCACTATACAATATTATACGCGAATTGGCATTATACCTCATTAGAATACTGGCATACCCACACCAGAAAGGAAACCGCGAAAAATTTAGTTAAGGATGAATAGTTCGTTTTTCCTTTCATGTGACTCTCTTATATGTTTCCAAAACAGTTACAATGTTAATGTATTTTTATATATTGTGAAATTTGTAGTAAATTTCAATGTTCATTTTTCTAAATATCATATATTCTGGGCAACATTATAAAAAAAAGAAATAAGCATTTCAACTTTCCTAAATTATGCGCACACAAGAATATATATGTATAAACAAGCAGAAAACTGAAATAAAAATATATATTAAAATATTTTTATTATGGTAAGAATTGCAAGAATGATAAATAAATAAAATTAAATGAGTAAAAAATGGCAAAATATATATATAATGAATTTTTTGCTTATATCAACCGTATGTATGAAGGTATCCATCTACTTTTACTGAATTAAATATATATACACGTTTTTTAACCCTTAAAATTTATTTTTTTCAGAAAAATCGAAAATATTATATAATATAAGTATATATTTTTGCATCTTTTTTATTAGATATATATTGAATAATAAAATGAAATAAAAAGTGCTTCACATATTTTTATGTAAATAAATTTTAAAAGGGGTGGGAAGTGAATACGGTACTATTTGGCAATGAAAATATTATTTCAGAATTTAAATAAAATAAAAAGTACACCACTTTCAGATTATAAAATAAATCACGTGTTATAAAAATATTTTTAAATAGTGTATATAAATTACAAAAGGGATTGATAAGAAAAAATGAATAGAAAAAAATGCGTATAGGGAATAATAATCATAAATTCCGATGCGTCACAGGCAAAATTTATGTGAAAATTAACTTTGTATAATTTAATATTATATTAAAGTTTAAATGTTGTAAAATGTAATTTATTTAGAAGAATAAAATTATGAATTTATAGGAGAAAACAAATGCATTATTTAAGAAACATGTAAGTTAAAATAAATTAAAAGTTCTTCTAGTAAATCTTTTATTATTATATTTTGTCAGATGTTATCATTATAAATATTATATTTTTATTTATGAGCATTTAAAGAATAGTGTTTTTTAAAGCGGTTTACATTATATTACGGAGGAAACCTTCGAAATTGACCAACAACGATGGACGGAGTATAAATTCATGCAGCTCCAAAATATTTTTCATATGCCAACCATATATTTTTTTTTAATTTTCGCTTTGCCCTGCTACAAAAAGGAAGCATATGTGAATACAAAATTAATTAAAAATCAAAATAAAATAAACCTATATATATATATATTCTATGAAGCGATGAATACTATATAGTTTATAAGGTGTATAAAACACACAATTTATAGGAGTAAAAATGGAAAAACATATAAGTAATAAACACCTGTTAATATGAGAAGTATGTCTTGAATTTGATGATATTACACAGCGGTGGGGTGGATTAAAATAACTTTTAATAAAAAAAATAAGTACCCATAAACATTTAAATTAAACAACAAATGATAAGAATTCAATGTTATAATAGAAATAAATAGTTTGAGTTTTTATTAAGTGAAGTAATTCCTTCTGACCGAACTTATTCTCCTAAAGTATTTTTTTTTGTTTAATTGCATTATTACGCTATACAATATGCGATTTGAGAAATATGAGTATATAAAGCACAGGACGAAAAATGGAATGTTGTTATGAAAATTATATATATATGTGCGTATTTCCAATTTGGACATCAATTATTTGAGGGGTTATGTATACATGAGGAAAATCACATCATATAGTTCTCTATAGAAAGTGTAGACAGTAGAAATAAAACTGAACATTTCTAATAACAAAATAACACATTAACAACATATGTTGTTTTTATTAAAAGTATTTACTGTGTTGTCTTATTAAATAGATAATGGTTTTTTATGTAAAACTGTATATTCACAAGGACAGTATGTTTTGATCAATTACATGGGTTAGGTTTACTTTTGAGCTATTATTTGGAATGTCCATATATAACAAGCGGTGAAACGAGTATTTGGCTTTTAATTTAAAACTTCTTCGCACTGTTTATTTCCATAAATATTTCTTAACAATCGTTTTACTACTCTATTTAGGTATTAGCATTAGGACCTATTGAATTTTTTTTTTTTTTGTAGGCCATGCTACCAGTCATTTTAACTTAATTGTGTAATTACCGGGTGATTTTCTCTTTGGTTATGTGTTGTCCCCCTGACATGTACTATTATTTTAAATGCAAACGTTCTTTTTTGAATACTTCATCCGTATAATGTTGACGGTGCGACGTCTATATATATTGGCCATTATAGTGATAAACAAGGGGATACTAAAATATAAATGCGTCAACAGGTGAATTAGAAATGTTTTACAGGGACAATGGACATTGTAAATATTTCTCTTTTGAGGAAGTGTCATAGTGCTTGTTTAGCATGAGCATTGATTTTATGGGAAAATCGTTCCAGATGTTTCCAATAAATATGAAATATATGTTCGTCGCACATAATTTATATAAATATATATATCATATGAATAGTTTTTTTTTATGGAGTATATAATGAAGTCTTTACCTTGAAATGTCTATTATATGTTTAGTTAATCCGACTTACTATAATAATTGGTTATACCTTATTTAGCCCGTTCAATATTGATACGTGAGCAGATGTATACATATCTGTTTTATTAAACTAAGGATTTATTGTCCTTAATAATGATAACACACATTTTCCATTGCATTGTTTTACATGCAACATACGTTCAATTTCAATATTTTTTGAGGCCGTTGTACTAATATGAATATGATTTGTTTGTAAACGAGATCTATTAATAATTCATGTAAATAGGTTTTTATGAATGACATTATGCCGTGCGGTTGAGGGGAATTAACCATAGTCCCGATGTTTTACTTTTCTAGTTTTTTAATTCTTTCTCATGACAGTTCGTTAAAAGGTAGGCGCTACTAATTTATATAATGCGGAGCATTTACATCACAACTATAACAAGATATATATATGTATATATCGAATTTTCAGCAAAGAGGAAACAATTGGAACAATGATAGCTAATAAAAAATATAGAATATGATCTTTCACGATGTGACGGACAGATATTTATTCAGGAAATGTATGAAAAATAAGAAGGGATAGGTGGTGACGAAATAGCAGGAGGGAAGTGAATATAGTACAATCCTTGATAAAAGTGAGCTTATGAAAAAGGGGTAGCTTAATGTAATGATATATGTAGTGGAAAGAGCAGAATAAATTAAGGTAAAACATGTCTTTTAAGAAAAGATTAAGAATAACAGGGGATTCTAATATCATAATTACAGGAAAATGTAATGATAAGGATAAACTACATCAATAACGGCTGTACTAATATTGTGTTCTTAGGTGTGAAATTTCATTTATGTGTAAGAGCTAGGATGCTTTTATTAGAAGAATTATCCTTTTTTTATTTAACGCAGTTTACATTTAATATATTTTTACTAGTACGATTTCACATATTACTGTTATTTAAGCTCTAGTATGCTAATCCTTATGACACAGAATAGTTAACACACCTATGCATGGAGTACGCTGTGAAGAGATTCAAATCATAATAGTGCCAATATTTTATTTTTTTATTTATATTTCCTTGTATGAGAGTAACACTGAATTAGGACATTTGTATATAAAAAGAATGAAATGAAAAAACCTGTATGCCTCAATGTGGTACTTAGGAATATACGTTAAATCTATAAGTTGAAAAATACTCATTCGATTATGATAAAAATATTCATCTCTAACAAAGTTGGATTATCACAAAGTGAAAAAACAAAAATAGGACTTGTACTTGTATAGGTTACTAGTGTAATACCTATGTTGGGCTAAGGATATAATCCGGTCCATTTCCTTTATAGATGTGTTCTTTCACTTCTTTCATTATAAATATTTTTTCTTTCAAAGGAAATGTTACGGTGTCCTATGATATATAAATAGCGCGCCTTGAAACTTGGTCTCATTAACTTTTAAATCATTTTATGGTAAAAAAGCGCTTTGTTTTTTTCAGAAACTGTATATAATAATTAATTGCTGATTATTGTGAAGCTTGGAGGCGTGTTATAAATGAATTATTTAACGTGAGAAACTAATGATATTAATTTTAATTTTATTTGCATACCTTTAAGTATATATACCGTGTGTACATATTTCTATATATATATTTTTTTTACATACATATTTTAATATTTTGGGGGTGGCCAAACCGAAAAGATGCCAACAACTGCAGTTTAAGTAGATGCAGGAATAAATTATGGCTTCTATGTATATAAAATGAAGGTACATGCTTCAACAAGGGCTATATTAAACAAATATAAAAAGTCAGGTGATTGCCAACAAAAAAAAAAAAAAATAAAATAAAAAAAAAAAAATAAAATAAAAGGTTATAACGTAAAGAGCAAAAAAATTATGTAGGAATAATTTTAGAAAGCTTTAATTCAATATATATTTAAATTTAAACTATATTTTTTAATGAAACAGAATTTTAATTATAAAATATAGATTTCATGTTTGATAAACATATACTGCATTTAGATTAATTCAAGTAACCTTTTAATTTGAATCGTTTTGAAATAAAAACGGTATTTATATATAATTACGTACCTATATATTTTATTTCTATTTGTTTGTAAACTTCACAACCAAAGTATTTGTTTGAATAAAAATTAATAATTGATTCTTTCTGAGGACGCACTTGTGTCATTATTTTGATACAAATTTTGTATTAAGAAATATATGACAAGTTGCTATAATAAAACTTTCAATTTTTTTAAAAAAATAAAAAATTGATTATTTAATTGCAACATACTATTTATTTGACACTTTGAAAAGGTACAAAATTATTTAAAATAGTGTCTGGATTTGATGCGTCAGTGAAGCTACAAGAAATGAGCACAACACAAGAAACAAAATTGTTTAACTTTTTTTATCCTTTTTAACATTCCTAAAGTCTATCTGTAAAAATAGAAAAATGAATTATATTACACCTTTATTACATGTTATAGCCCTAACCTTTACGTTTTGGCAATCTGACTCTTTGTGCGACATAAAGTAAAGTTCATGTATCAACATGAATTCTACATAAATATGAGTTCATGAATACAGAAATATGCATGCATATAATAATGACACATATTTAATTTTTAGTTAACGCAATAAATAAGGAAAAAATAAAAAAACAAATAATTTTCTAAACACAGCATTCCACCTAATTCTTTTGCCTTGTAGGGGTCCCATTGAACATGCGGCTAATAGACAACATATAAATGGAGTTAAATTAGGTTCCAGCTTTGGAAGAATTTTACATGAAGCAGCAGAAATTTCAACTGAGACCTATAGAAATTATAACATACCATATATGAGACTAGTAGATTATTCAGATTCACATGTACATGACGTTCAGTTGGAGGAAGAAGATGCAGAAAATATACAACAATTTGAGCTTGCTGATAAGATAAGTAGAGAATTGTATGATGCTGTCGTAGAGATGGCATCTGAATATGTCGACTTTACAGAATTGATGGATGTCAAGTGGAGAGATAAAATGTGGAATGACATATGGGTTAAATATTTATCCAGCATAATTCATGATTTACAAGTTTGTCTTTCGTACACTTTCCTACCTGTAAATTCTAGAGAACAAATCTTTAATAATTTAATACATTTAACTAGAGAGGATTTTCAAGCATTTTTAAAGGTTATCGATAAAAAATGGAACGAAAAATTAAATGGGAACGATGTGTCAAGAATGTGAAATGAAAACGATGTACACAAGTAATACAAAGCACATGGGGAAAAAATACAGTGTCTACTTAAAGTGTTTGCACATTCAACATCTTCTTTTACTTTGAATGTTCGAAGTTAATTTTAATAAAATTATTAACGCATTGAAGGGAAACACAGAAAAGAAGAAGAAAAAAAAGTTACACTATATGATATGGCAAGAAAAAGCAATTTTTTGCTCTTCAAACGTATTCCGTGTTAGTATTTATACTCCTACTGGTAAGTAGATATATGGACCCCCATAATTATATATGCTTATTTTGTTTACTCAAAAAGGGGAGAAGTCCGCTTTATGTAGAATAAGAGCAATTGGCACGTTTTGTAAAGATATAAAATGACCTCTTACTTGCTTGTTATTGCTAGCATTATGCGTTGTTTGATATTGTGAACTATATAAATAGCACAGTCGAAGCATAAAATAAACAGGATATTTGCAGCGTGAAGGAATACAGAAAGTACATATTACAGAACATTGTATACACCTGTTCTATTTTTATTTTGTTACACATGGGAGCATATTCATCGGAATGGGCACGTGGCACTAGTTCACGGAAGCACATATCATAGTTATTGCACCATAAGGACAAAATTTATATGTAATGAACGATTGAACATGTTAGAAGGACAGATGGACGGGGGTGTGTTTTATTCCATAATAGCTAACAAAACGGGGAACAGAAGATAATTTCGTACTAGTAAAATCATAACATACATCTACTATTTATTCCGCTTATCATACAGAATGATGAGCACATGACTTGTAGGTTAAGCATATTTTTTTTTTTTTTTTTGAAATTCTCAAAAATATACACTTTAGTCGTATATGAACATTTTGCAATATTTAACAGAAGGGATCACTTCAGTTTTTTGTGTGCAACATGTAGGTATGGAGGGACGCATATATACATGTGCACATATATACAATATGCGCATTGTACATATTACGTTATTCCTGTTGAAAATGCTGCGTCTTCATATAATAATTTCATTTTCCTGTTTATTATTATGTCATAATGTTATTTTATTTATTTTTTTGTTTTGCGCAAAAATAGTAAATTCGCTCGTACATTGTAGTTTTGTGCAACGAAGGAATTATCGAACATATTAGTAATTATTCAAAATATACATAAGGTTAGCACTAATAATTATTTATAAATTATAACTCTATACGTTGGTACAACGTAATAAACTATTCCAGCTGCTATTCCAAGTGTAGAGTATTAATCCCGATTTATACATTTTAAGGAGGGTCCTAACTTTATATATTTTATAAAGTGGATGTCATCATAAATTAGTTCGTATAGAAAAATACATAAGAAAGAATTTATTAAAAGTTCTGTTCATAATATGTTTAAATTGGAAAAAAAAAAAAAAATATATATATACTGAATTGTATATTAGAAAAACAAAGTATGTCCCAGAATTTCATGTTTAGGGATTTGGCGTATGAAAATCTGTATTATATAGTTTGGGAGCTTTATCTTTTATCTATAATAAATAACACGAATTTTTTACATGCAGTTCGTGCAAGTTATTCCGAACAGAATCATAATATAAGTATTGTAAGAACGAAATGTGAGCAAAAATAAATTGGGTTATCGTTACTAACAATATTAGCCTATATAAGGATACTTACTGTAACGTAACAAATTACATGTGTATTTATCTCACTACATTACATAGTATACACAAGCGTTACTTTATTTGAAGTACCTATGTTACACAACAGAAAAAAAAATGTATAAAACATAATGTGGAACATCGTTCTTTTTTTTTTTTTTTTTATCATTAGCCTTAATGCTTAATTGTGTTTTTACTAACGAAAATGATGAGAACCATTTCCTGCTAGAGGAATGGTCTATAATTACTTGTACACAGGAAGTACGAATTGGTTTATAATGGAAATTGCGCATTTTAAAAGGGATAATATCAGTTATCTTTTAATACATGGATTTGTTTGTGAAAATTGCGCTACAGAAAAGATAATATCCTTAAAAAATAGTATAAATATAACAGAAAAAAATGATAATGATTATGATGTGTATGTCTGGAGAACATGGAAAAGGGATAACATGAGGAAAAATATCTCTCCAGCACAAGAGCTACTTGCATTAGTATTGATACAAAAGTGTGTAAACTAATTATGAAAACAAAAAAAAAAAAGAAAAAAAAAAAAACAATGCAGTATAAAATCACGATTCAATATTTTCTTGAGTAAATAAACATTATAACAACATTGGCTTCATACATATTTTAATATAGAAAAAACAGTAAGTATTAGAAAAGCATAAGAGAGGTATGTTATTTATAAAGGGTCCAACTTTTTCTGTTGTACTAGGGTAGAGTTAATCTAATTTTAATAACTCTAAACGGGTTAAAACAACAGTATGCATTTTTCGTATTGGTTGACATCTGTTTCTAATTGCTTAAGAATTATTTCAAAAGTACTACTAAGTAATGTGACGTTTTAGTAAATAGCGTCAAAGCGAAAAATTATGGAAGGGTCTCTATTTTTGGTGTTTATAAAATTGGTATATATCTCTTAAGAAATATTGAATGGCAAAGTGAATAACTACGAACATAGAAGCTTTCCTATCCAAGACAATTGTGTAGTTTTTTTTTTTTTAATTTTTCATATATTTTTTCGTTCTTTTTTAATTTAGGAATATTTTTATTTTATATCAGTCGTTGTTGTGTAGTAAGATTGTATGTTCTGTTGTAATTATTCTCTTTTTTTTTCACATTAAACGGTAAAAAACGGCATATATTACAATGGTTTAAATATATATTTAAATTCTGTATCTAAGATTTTTGAACAATGTAACCAAAGTGTATGGTTTAAAGTTCGTAAAAAAGGACAAGAAAAACAGGGAGAAATATTTTATTGGTTAACTTTTTTTCTCTGGGCTGTTTTAAGTTGCCTTACACTTGTTGAAATTATATACAATTATGGTTCCTACTTTTCTTCCTTCTTATTAACAAAACGGGTTATGCGTGATTCGTAAACCTTAAACCTTACAGTTATGCAAAACAGGCTGCCACAAATTATTCGCACACGATACGGATCAAAGGGTACACATTATCGTACCGATTAAGTATTAACGGGTGGCTCAGCAGCTACAATCATGTTGTGTGTAATAGGGTGGGTAATTGTTCCAATTTAAGAAACAACATTCACCTGTTCCTTACTTATAATTTCCAAAGAAGTAATCAGGAAAAAAAGAGAGAAATGAAGTTCACGCGAACAATCCAAAAAATTGCAATATCCTGTGTGTCAAATAAAGGCAACAGGAGCATACCAAAAGAGGAAACAGACGCGACCTCCACAACAAACCCTGTTAGTGGCTGTGACTTACAATATAAACACAATAATGACCCATGTGGTAAACACAAATGCACCAGTATAATTTCAATGTGGGGTGCTACGAGAACAAGAACATCGTGTATTATCTGTCGCAACAGCCAATGCGATAATTTGTTCATAATTTACACCAAAGAATTTGTTACATTTTTTACGAAAACAAAATAGGTCTCAAAAAAGTTGTTAAGATTTAAAGAAAAAAATAAATCCACTTTCAGGTGTAAAATCACAAACCTGTATAACGCGGGGCAATACGACCCCGTGCAATGTAATAAAATTACAAAATTGGTAATTCATGCAATGGCACTGAATATGAACGAAAACAAGAAGAGGGAAGCATCGCACGAATTAATATATGGAATCAGATTCGTGCCTGCATATATTTCCCTCTATTTGCGAACAATCGCGTATATTTTAAAAGAGATAATAATTCGCAGTGGGCTATCCGACTGTCTGATAGGCAATTAGCCCCTGTCGGTTAAAGTTGTTTTTGGTCATATTTTGTTACTCTCCCTTTCAAACTTCCCTTTTCATGTACATGTTCCCATATGTTGATACTTCTAAGTCTTCAACATGTGGTTCTACCTATATACTCATTCCTTGTGCAAAATGGACAATTCTGTCAGGTGTGCCCCATTTGCCCCTACATACATGCTCCATTACCACCATTCCTGTTACAACATCTCCGTCTTCTTTCGGCTTTATGCTTTTTTACAAAATAACCGTTCCTTAATATCTTATGGTACGCCTATCACTCTGCGAAAAATATTCCTGGAACAGCTATGTCCTCACTACACCATTTGCTTTTTTAGCAACGGTGACACTCATTTATAAACAGTATTCCAGGCGAATCCCAGGGTTTTTGTGGCGTCGTTTTCTTTATATAATGGTACCCTTAAACTTACATATATAAGTCCTTCATATAGTAATATCCCATGGATAGTCGTAATCATGTGCGCACACCAATCCGCACACACAATGGTGCTGTTCAAAAATAATAGAACACCACGTTATTCCGATATAGCTCAACCAATAGTGCACTTATGAATAATGGCACTACGGGGCCTTTCCTAACTGGCACCATTAAAAATTCTAACACATCAATACTTTTGAGTAAATAGGTCTTCTGGAATACCGGTGCACTTCGCAAAATGACACTATCTTTATACACTCAATTTTCACACCACATCACCACGAGCATGTCAGTACTGTTTGCATAATATTACTACGAATAAATCTACACCCGCCCGAAACCATAAAAAACTACACCGCTACTCTACAAATAATGGTAACGAAATACACGCATATGTTCCTGAGGGATCAATACACAGCGAATGTCGTTGCTGTACAGACGTGGGTACTACGCCGATTATAGTACTTTCCGAAGAATAGTACTCGAGGACATTAATACTAAGCAATCATACGCTTCAAATAGCACAACACTGAATCCTGGAAACATTGCACATGGAAAAAGGGTGCTTGAACAATACAGATGGAGTCCTCATACTTGGGGTCTGCACCCTACATCTCGATCCTTAAAACTTGAACCCTCGTTCCCTAAACCATAAAGCCCGAAGCTACGCAAAGAACCCCAAAATAGCATAATTTTCACCCTCAGCAAAGAATCCTGAACCCTCATACCTCGAGAATTTGGCTGCTGAGATAGGTGGCGCTTCAAGAATGGCCATACATTCGTCTGCTGTTTTAAGCGTGACTTGTTTCCATGAAGCTCTAAAGTCATTTAGAATTTCTTTGAATTCATGTGTGCTCAATTTTTCCTTTTCAATTATGGTATAAAATACTTCATTAACATGTTCATGTTGTTTTGTAAAATTATCACGAACTACCTTTGCACACTTCTTCCAGGTCGTGCTATATTTTTGGATAGTTTTAATGGGTTGGTTGTTTCTTGGGTTTAAGAGTTTTTGGTTCAGATGTTTACTTCTTTCATTTCTGTATGATTGCCAGTATAGAGACAGTAATTCCCATTTATGAGGTTCTTCTTCCATTTGTTCTAATTTTTTATTTATTTCAGAATCGCTCAATCTTTCATCTAAACAAGTCATTTCGTAGGGGAATTCAATCGACCTATGGATTCCATATTTTTCTCTATCTTCTGCTACGTTGCCTTCATATTTCTCGATTGTATGTCCTTTCCCCATCTTTTGTTGCTTCCTCCCTTTCCTTTTCTTGTTATCATTATCTAGCGCATCATGTGATTTGGGGACTGTGGAGACATCATCATATATGGCATCAGCTAGGACGTCATGTCTTTTGACCCCTACTTGTTCATCTGATTCCTGCGTTGTTGCTGGTCCGGGAACTTTTGCTTCTGCCCTAGGACATGGTGTTTTGTCCTTCGGTGCCTTTTCCTGGTCATGAACCAGCGATTCCGTAGCCTGAACAACTGGTGCCTTAAAGGGATCGCCACTAGGACTGCCGGGAAGTTTGTTACTTTCTTCTGGTGTTTGTTTATCCGTGCCACGCTTCACTGTAGTTCCTTTAGGCTTCTTTTCCTTCTTTTCAGTTTTTACCTTATACTTTTGGGAAGGGGGCAATGACCCTTCTGCACCAATCTTCGATTTTGGTTTACCAAACTTTCCTGGCTTCTGATCCGATGCGACTTTGTTATCTTGATCCTTGCCAGGACTGAGCAGTAGTGTATTATGTGGTGGTGGTGCTTGCATATCCAATTCGACCGTGAGCAATCTACTAATCCTGACACCGAGAATGTCATGCTGCTCGGCTATATGGTTCCATTATGTGACAAGTTCATTCGCCTAACATATAACAAACAAAAGCGGGAAGGATGTATTTTGAGGGTTATACATTACGCAAGTATTAGGTTAGAAGGAATGCAGAGAAGGTTTTAATTTCTGACAGGGAGCAAAAAAATGGAGGTAATAATAGGATTCCGCATTTTGAGAATGCCTTAGTTATTATCATGCATCGTGAAAATATTGCCTAGAGTACAGTATAGAGCTAAATATTGATAGTTTCGCGCAGGAAAACACCATTTTGTTCTTTCCTTTATATATTCATATATGTAATATATGATTTTTTCCTTTTTTTTAATGTACATGCATGAATTATAGGATTGTTGTTTTGTTTTTTCTGTTCTATATATACATGTGCACTACATGACGCTTTCTTTTTTTTTTTTTTTTTTTGTTCTAATATATATGGTAGCATTACAGGACTTTTTTTTTTTTTTTTCTGTGCACACGATTACAGGGTTGTTTTTTTTTTTAATATACATATATACATTATATCATTTTTTTCTTTTTCCTTTAAAATATATATAGGGATTACAGGATTGTTCTTTTTTTCTGTTTTCTTCTTTTTTAATTCCTTGTTATATATGCAGGGATTATAGAATGGTTCTTTTTTTTTTTTTTCTTATGTATGCATATAGATAATATATGATTGTTCTGTTGTTCTTAAATATAAGGGGATGATGTGGCTACTATTTTTTGTTTAATATATGTGTGCACTACACGATTTTTTTTTTTTTTTTTTAAACACATATATGCGACGATTATAGAAATGTTCTTTTCAATTTACATATGTTATGGATTATAGGATTATATTTTTTTCCTTTTTTTTTATATATATGTAAGCACTGTGTGATTGTTTCTGTTTTTTTTTTTTTTTTTATTTATTATACATGCAGCGATTGTGATATTGTTTTCTTTTTCTTTTTTTTTTATATATATGTATGAATATTTATAGGATTCTTAGACCCTAAATCTTCTACTCTTTTGAAACACAAACGGCCTAACTAAATGCTTTGTGTTATGCAATTTACGGTTTTTCTGTTCTAGGTAAGCATATATATAATTTAAATATAAAATTAATATGCATAAAAGTATAAATTAGAAGATATAATAAAGAATGGAAGTAGAGGCATCATTTTCAGTGCTCATTATGTGATTTAGAATTAATTAGGGTGAGTGGTATTTTCTGTAGTGATACCTGTGCACTTTTTAAAGCGATGTTGCATTTCTAACGGTAGGGAATGAAAAGTGGAAGCGTGTAATAGGAGGAACAAATTTCTATATATGCACGAACAACTCAATGGCTTTAATTTTGGATATAATGATGGAACAATGTATTTACGGGAAGATAAATCGTTTGTATATTATAACACTAGAATTTTTTACAGTGTAGGGGTTTTGGGTTTAGCATAAATATTTTTCTCTATTCAGCACGACAGGATATTGGTTTAGAATATTTCTTAATAAAATTTCCATCATGAAATATAGTAATTTGGGAGCCATTTCAAATGGTAGTATACCGTATTACGGGAAGTATTAAAATTGGAAATGTCGAAATCAGGAATATACATCTTATACATATGAATGTAGAACGAATGAATATAGGGAATGTGCATGTGGAAAAGTATACATGCAGGAAATACGTATATGGATGGTAGGAATTTGGAGAATATGAATGTGGCGAATATTATTCTGGAAGGTACAGGGTGTTATTGTCGGAAGTGCACTGCTCTGGAACATGTCTATTAGTTTCCTGCAACAGGGAACGTGACATAACGGGAGAAATGTAAGTGAACATTTCTACGTTTCCCGTTTCTTTCCCATGTGGCATATGCCTATATAAATCCTTGCGTATGTATGTATAAGAAACCGTAATAACTTCTACCACATACGACAATGTTCACCTGATAATAGGGGACGAATACCAGTATTCCCACTTTTTGCATAGGACATTTCGGGACATTAATTTAGCGTGATCTCTATGTTGGTAATAATGTATTCATTAAGGGAAAGAATGCATTTTTCGACTGAAAAAGGAATAAGTCGGAATGAGTACACTGATGCTGCCTTCTTAGGCGAAAGAAAAGGAGGATTACGTAAAATAGGACTGATAATTTATTCGAGATGGATGGGAGGAGGCGGAAATATCGAACTCTATATTATATAAAGGCGTAGACTGCACTGCCCCCATATTCCAACCTTGGTATATATATTCTATGGCGACTGCATTAATAACGGACACGCGATTACAATACAGTACATTGTACATTTGTAGAGTCTGTTTAATTCATTTTTTTCCCATTGTGACTATTAACTGTTAAGGGATGGGAACCTCTGCCCCTCTTGTTGTCCCTTGTCATACATACATTGCATAGGACTTGTTTTAGAAGTTTAGGACTTAATCCGACGGTATCCTTTCCTTGCCATTTCTTTCCATTTTGTTTTTTTTCGTTTTTCCCCATTATAATAGTAAGAACAATGAACAGCGGTTAAAAGATGTTACATGACTCATCAGCTATGTGACGTAGAAGAGGAACAAGGGAAACAGTGGCTGCTGCCCTGCGTTCCTCGAATATACGTATGAGGAAGAAATTTCTCCTTTTAAGAAAAATGGACGACCGCATATCTACGGAAGAATGAAGGATACGTTTAAGACATCCAAGAACACGCATAAGTAATAAGGACGAATAGAATAAATGGCAGGTATATATTCCGCGTCTATATCAGGAAATGATTAGACGTGGCGGAAAAATGCGTCTGACCGCGTACACACTGTTCCACGTGGCGTTTATTTTGGGTTACGGCAGTAACCACTGAAGGTACCACCCGTCGTGCATTCAAAGCAACAGTGTTATGAGCAGGAGTTAGTATTGTGGCGGGAACATTTACTGTGCCTCTCTTCAGGTAGTGGAGAGTGTATGGTGGAAAAAATGTGGGAAACATCATTGCGCAGGGCGGGTTCAGGGGCAAGCCGTAAGGAAGGAGGAAGCCGCCTTCGCCTGGGAATCATGGATGCGGGGGATTATTTCGACCACACTTGTGTCATATTATACGGGTCATAATTGTTCAGGGTCTGTAATATATTCTTCTCTGTTTCTTGGTCAAGTCTTATGGATTTTTACTGTCCTGTATATGCGCAGGAACCCCAAGGGAATCCATCATTGCCATAGAAACCTTCTGTGCACATGACACGTGTGGATTATGGAAAGACGGAAGTTATGTAAAGGCAAAATATGGACGTCGTGGATGGGCGCACTTGGGAAGACACAATGAATGGACGCTGTGATCAGGAGAATACTGCACAGAGTTACGCGAGAAGTAGTAACAAGCGGTTATGATAATGTAAGCAGTATGTATTTATATGGGGCAGAAAAAAATAAGCACACTCGGTAACAGGCTATGACCTCATTGGCAGCTGGCTAGGTCCACGGTGTGTGCGCATATTGGGACTTGGCGTAAGGAATAAAGTACACAAGACAGGGCGGCTATAGCTTCATACCAGCAAAGGCAGGAACAGGAATGGTTACGGACAAAAGAACTGAGTAAACTTTATATTTCATGGTTAACGTTTCTGGCACCCGTTCAGGGTAACCAATTACATGTTTCACGATGTACTGAAATGAATAGTATATGAAAATAGCGGTGCCTACAATGATCAGGGATGTACAATACATGTTTGCAGACACATGTTAGACGTAGCGCGGAATTATATTCACACAAACTGAACATTTGTAATTATAAGAATGAAACCATCAACGACGTTACGGACAAATTAAATGAACAAAAATTTGTGGTTCCAGAATAATTATTGTCAGTGGTGTACATAATATAAAGGCATACATGTTCCGCGCGGTTACGAAAACATGTTGCGCGCGATGCTCTTAAATCGGTTGTGTGTACTTTTCCTATGGTACATTTGATGCGTGAGTGTACAAGCGCACGGCCTACGTGTGCAAGTGGCGTCAAGACATGTGTGCTTGTCCGCGTGAACGTGTAAATTTTTTACTTGTATTTTTTTTCTTGTACGTATAGTTGCAAAGCTATAATGGACCAGGTTTACCAAACGTCTTTTATTTACTAATTCTTTCTTATAATAATTCCGAAAATTCTGTTTATATGTGCTTATCAGTATAGAGCTGTACATTAATATTTTTCTCCTTACGTGAAATTCACATATTTTACGGCATTCTAATATCATATATTGTACATATAATAGAAGAAACAAGGTATGTTTGGGCTTTCTGGTCTTATTTTGTTTTAGCACTATGGGAGCAAATTTCAATTAAAACAAGAATAAATTACTCTTATAATGCCCGAAATAGAAGAAGATACTGTTATTAGTTAATTTCTTCTCTTTTTTTACGGATGAGGTCCTTTTTGTCCTTCTAAGCTTTTTTTTTTTTTTTCCCTTTTTTTTCTCTATATAATTATGTTAGCGTGCTTATCCAAATTCCATAATGTTCTCATTTAGCGCGCATAATAATATAATAAACATAAATATTCCTTTCCCTATTTTTCTTTAACCCCCTATGCATACATTGCAACAATTATATAGGCAGTATATGTATGCACACCTAAGATGCTGCATATGTACCACCGTTTTCTAAATAATTTTATATAGAAACGGAAGCTTCTTCTTACGCCCCAGTTCCAAGTTTTTATCACGCGTTCTTGCCGTTGCATTCTTTACAACATTATATACGCCCCTTATGAATAGTTTGAACCCATAGCACAACATTCATACTACATATCGTGGTATTTTACGTGATTGAATATATTTTGTACCTTCCGAATGTTTTAATGCATAGGCATGTTGCAATATAAAAAGATCTTTGTACGTAATGTATGTTTACACATAGTAGTATTTGTAAGTAGAAAAAGATACACCTAACAAACTGAATATTCTCTGTACAAAATATTTATTATCAAAAATACAACAATACATAAATACCCAACAAAGGGGTGTTACACGTATAAAACAACAGGTACATATTGTTAACAGTATATATAATACAGCAGGAAGTGTAATCTATTAAATCTGTATATACTATTAGGGAATGTATGCTTTATTCGAACAATATTTTTGCTACGAGAAATACTTACACTATTTAATATTTTTCTAATAGTATTAAGAATAGCGTAGCTTCCAAATTCTACCATTACAGCACACTGATGAACTCTGATGATGTCGAGGATGAGGCAACAGTCGAACGGTAGAATTTCTTTGGGGAAGTTATCTTTTTTCGGTATCCTGATGTTGTTTGGGAACGATTACTCGAATGAGGTAATATGACAGTTCGGTTCGGGTCCGTTTGGGTCCGTTCGGATCCGTTCCATGGTCAGCAGCCCTGGAGCTCATTCTTCTAGTATTAATTTTGCTTCTCAAAAAAGAGGAGGCGAAAAGTTGTGATTAGTGCGTAACAATATATATATGTGTACCGTGCAGGTTTAAATGGGTGCGAAACAAAAATTCCTCTTATTTTTAGGATACCTATGGAAAACCGTACAAGGCAGGCAATATGTACCATGTGTTACATGTCAGAAGTGGCAGATTATTAATGGGTGAAACCAATGTAGAAACACTACCTCCGGAGAATAATACCCTGCTGGAGGAAAAGTTCATGGGATCAGTGGGTGCAAATGGCGAAACTTACCTGCAGGACCGTTCCGATGTAACAAAATATAATGATAGCTCTAACTCACGATCTAGAAAGAGTAGTCCTCGCGACAGTTCAAGGAAAAAGTCGAAAAGTACCATGGATCGTTGTAACGTGGACAAATCCAACGAGTCTTTAAACTTGAATAATTTTGATGATGATCAAGGCAAGGAAAAGTTTGGTGCATCATCGATTTTTGGCAGCACGGAGAGTCTATTTGAAGAACGAAATGACGATGACGATGATGATATTGTTAGCGATGACAGAAAGGTTGGCGAATCCACGTATTTTGACAGCAGGGATAGTATATTCAAGAAAGGAGCCGATGATATTTTTAATAATAAAGAGAAAGTTCATAAATCTGCAAATTATGACAGTATGGACAGTATATTCCCAGAAGGAGCCAATGGCGACGATTCTGACAGAAGCCAGGAAATTACAGAACCCATGACCTTTGACAACAGGGACAGTCTTGTTAAGGAACGAAATGTGGAAGATAATGATAAGTGTAAGAATAAGTCTGAGTATCAGCCTAAAGATCATACCGGCGTAAAGCCTGGAGTTGATCGTGAGTCACAACGTGGATGTTCACATGGAGTACGATCTGCAGATCCATATGCAAGGGAAACCGGTAGTACGCATATAGAAGGAATTGAACAGAGTGCGCGAAGTAATGGGATGGCCCGAAAAGGATCTATCTTTTCTCGCATTGCTAATTATATAAGGGCGACTGATGCGCGTTATCAAGCGGTGTTGGTGGATATACTACGGGAAGACATGGAGAAAACTCTTGATTGTAATTGGAATGCATCAAATTTCAACATTAGACATGAACTCATGTGTCTATCACCAGTTTTGGGAGCACTTTTGTCTTCCTTAGTTTTTCTTATAATAACTCAGCACGTGCTGGCTTTTTTTCCTGTATTCATCATATCAGTATTCGGATCAATAACATATCTTGCACTCAGATACAAAAAAGCGCTTAAGCTTGTAAAGTACGAACAAAGTAGGAGCCGAATGGTGGGAAGAAAGTCAAAGGAATCTGATACTAACAACATAGATTAGCGGTGATACCTGAGGGCGATGAAGATATTGTACTGAAGGGGGCGCGAACGAGAATATTAAGTATTGGTCAAATCTACATTGGGAGAAAGAGAAGGAAGGACACCTATATATGGTAAAGGGAAGTATTACCTGGGAATAGGCAGCAAAATTACGCTGCAGTAGGAGCAATTGTTCATAATATAAGGAAGGATAATTCTCATAGTTCTTTGAATGCGAATCGGGAAATTGCGTCAACCATGGAATTAGTTGTCCTGTACGGCACCTGTGCAATGTATAAGCTGTGGGTGTAGTGTATGTTGTACATGCTCTCTACATTTCTCTTTTTTCTTATTTTTTTTCCTTTTTTTTTTTTTTCCTAATATGTTGTATTAAAAGTACAGAACAATTTTCACATATGTATGCCTTCATCCTTTTTTTTTTCTATCTTATCCGTTGTTCTATTCGTATTTTTCCTTTTTGTATTAAATTCACTCCATTGGAACAATTTACACCATCACATAGATTAAATTGTGAGGGATTAGGGACTGTTGATATGATGTTCGCAAATGGACACTTTGTGCCCGTGTTAGGTTAAGGAAGGAACGCGGTACAATGCAATGTTATGTTTTGGTACGAGGCGCTATCAACAGCGGAGGAAGACCATGGAATGTTTTTATCGCAGGAGTCCATTTTATGCCTTTACTGCATTATAATAGGATGTATAAGTTTTTCTCACTTTGTGCGTAATATTCTTTAATACGAATATGGTTGTAAAACTGTGTTTTTCCAGAATACATATGCCAGACTTGTACAATGATTTGTATTGTAGGATGTTATTTTATGCAAAAGGATTACCGTAGGTGCGGGCAGCACGTGGGAGTTATGTGTATGCTGCATAATATACGGTGTGTATAAAGTGTTAGTCCCCAATGTACCGCGGGAGTTCCCTGTAAGCATGATTCCCCTGTTGTGACATATAGAGTACGGTTGTGTGTGCTTCCACTTGCTCGCTGATGCATGTTATGGCGGATCGGTGGGAATAACGTTAGGCTGTTGTTGTCGTGTGCGTGATCGCACTTCCTTTCTCCTTCCTTCATCATTGCCGTCTCATCCGTTTCCCGTTCCCCTTTCCTTTTTTCCCCTTTGTTAGGTAATAGCAATGTACAATTTCCTGTTACTCTGCAGAGAGTGTACAATCCCTCTTCCTTTTTTTTTTTTTTTTTCAGATGAATTTTGTACTGACATATATTGGTTAACTTTTTCTCCTTTTTCTTTGGACCTGTATCCGATTACCCTGTTTTGAAGGGGTGCGTATAATTTTGTCTAGGCTTTTTTTTGTTTTTTTTCTTTTATGTGTTGTGGGAAATTGTCCCCATGATAAAATGGCCTGTGTATGTGTGTATCACAACTTAATACAATTTAATGAGTAGTTATATTTATAGTATAATTAACAGTACAATAATTACGTAATTACAAACTAATGCAAGAGAACAAGTTGATAAAATATAATAAAGCAAGAATATATACATTTGTAAAAATTCAATAATGTACTTTTACTGGTAAACACTTTTTATTCTGTGGATAGATTAACAGTAAATGTTTCAATATAATGACTCAGCGTAGTGCACACAAAATTAATTCCATACCAATATAATTAGGACTCAGCGCTTTATTACGGTACAATTGTGCACAACTATGTACATCCATTATTTTATATGTAATGTATAAATAATAAAAAATGTTTCTATAGTGTTCAGCAAATCTATTCTATACGTTCGACACATTGATAAAGACAAGAGCATGCAGCATGGGAACACCTAAATCAAGCGGATACACTACATTCTTTTCGCGTAATTAAGAATAGACGATTTCTCCATATGGCTTAAATGAGCATAAAAAGTGTTGAGGCAAGAAATATACTAAATTCATAAGGAATGGGCCTGGAACAGATAAAAGTAAAACTAGTCCACACAATGATAACAAGTGTGTAATGTAGGAATGGGTAGCCTAATGAACATTGTTTTATATGTGTAATACTAAAGTGCTAACTATACGAATACTCTTATGTGACACCTCAGAATGGGAACAATCATAGAAATGGTGCTCCATCTTCTTAGAATGCTGCATTTTATTTTAATATATAATTATATATTTATTGACCAGTAGCATATACGGCTATTATTTAAAAGTTGTATTCAGTTTTACGGAATTCGAAACCAAAACAACAAATCGTTTTGGGCTTCTTACTATGCAAATTTGACAAGAATTATATGACTTGTTCTATGATATATTACTTTCCTCGCGAGAACTTTAACATTTTTCGAACAGGAGTGCACAAAAATTTATGGGTATATATATATATATATTTATATATATATAACGAAACAGAATTTGTAACAGAAAAGCACATCATTGTATAAATAAGCAAAGTTAACAACGTAATTGCTGAATATACGAGCAATATATTTACATTGGTCCGGATGCAGAATGTGTAAAAAACATTATTAGGATAACACTTTAAAAAATGTTTCTTTTGATGTGTCACACGCGTTGGGGGTACATACACATTTTGACTGTACCCATATAATATTTTTATACACACTCAAATTACTTCATTAAATTAAAAGGTCTACAGTAAATTTTACGTAAAGTATTTGCATTGTGTACATTTAATTTCGGTAGATAATTTTTTATATGCTATACCTCCAGGTAACGCTTTATCGAATTAAGGAACGCAAAGTCCAAACACTATAACAACTGTTATCGTTACAAAGGCTGGATATACGGCTGCTGATGAAAGTAGCCAAAAAAAGGTCGTCTGAATTATCATTATGGCAACAATAAGAACTGAGAGTGCTAAAGCAGCGGATGGGATAAAAAGTAAAATATTAACAAATACTCTATGTTTGTCTATAAATGAAAGAAATTTTCCAAAGGCGCCTGGACCGTTATGAACATAATAACCAGTTTTTTTCTGCTTTAAAAACCGTTTCACACTTTGTTCAAACATTTTAAGTCCTTTTTTTAGGAAGGTAGGTAATGCTGACTTTTTTCTTAGTTTTAGTAGATCCTTATACCCATAACGACCGAAGAATCTTTCGAAAATTTCTTCTTCTTCTAATTTAAAAGGTATATAATCTTCTACTTCATCGGTTGGTTCCCTTATACGATCATTAGTTCGTTCCAATTCATCCTTCGCTTTTCTTTTATATTCTTGATTACGTGTTAATTCTTCAATTTGTTTTTCTTTCTTATCTTTTTGTATTTTTAATTCGTTAAAAAAATCTTCCAGACTGTTACATGATTCGAATGGGTCATGAAAATATTTGTCCTTACGATTATCTACATCTGGTGAAATAGAAAAAGGATTGCCCCAATTTTTATTTTTTCTTTTCAATTTGTTAAAAAATTCTTCCATATTATTACAGGATTCGAATGGATTATAGTTGTTATCGTCGTTACTATGATCTACATCTGGTGAGGTAGAAAAATGGTTGCCCGAATTCTTATTTTTTCTTTTTAATTTGTTGAAAAATTCTTCCAAATTGTTACAGGATTTTATTGGATTATAGTTGTTATCGTCGTTACTATGATCTACATCTGGTGAGATAGACAAATGATTCCCCGAATTCGTATTATTATTATTTTTTAATATATCAAGTTGTTCTTGAAAATGCTTATCTTGTGCCAACTTTTTAAATGGTTTTTGATAGATGTCATTCCATAGTAACAAATTAAATTGTTCTCGAGTATAATCATCTTGTGCTAATGTATTTAGTCTTTCCCTGAAAGCGCTATCATCTTCATTTAATAAATTATTTATTCTTTTTTTGAAGTCCACATAGTTCTGTTCTTCCGTTCTATTCATTCCATTTGCGGCTAATATTCTGACACATTTTTTATTTGATGAGATGCTTATGCAGCTTGTTATATTGCATGGTATATCCAAGGTGTTCGACTGAAAATTAGAGTAAACACACACAAACATATATATATATATAGGAGAGTGCCAATTTTTAAACTATAAATAAAGTTTGCATTTTTAACTTTATCATAAATTAACGACAAGGGAATTAAGGAATTGCCACATCTGTAGTAGTATAATACCTCATCATGATATTGCAATATCCATATTAAAAAGTGGAAAAAGAAAATGGTTCTACATAAAAGAAACATATTATCCCCTTATTTCTGTTGGTCCAGTATTCTTCTACAATAAACAATTTTTTTTACTGCATAACTTATTATGTATGTTATAGAAATTGTAATGTACCCACAATATTCTCTATTTTTTTTACATTATATTCCAATTCACCTCATTTAAATTAAACACGGATATAACTTTGCGCATGTCCCTGCCACAATATATATGTATAAAAAAAGAATATTAATTCAAAATATCTTAATACCATTTCTTATAGAACAAATTTATGCATTAGGATAAACCTACAGCGTCCTGAAATAAGTATTAAGACGATACAATCGCACAAAAGATGTATCTTCAGATCAATGAAAATCATTTTTTCTAAAAGAAAGGAATAAATACAAATAAATAAAAATAATTAAACTGAAAGAATAAAAATAAGAATTGTCAAAAAAAATTGAATAAAAGAAAACAAGTAATTCTTTTCAGTTTCTGCCTTTATGACAGTAACCGCACTAAATAATATTAAAAGAATTTATAAATATAACCGAGCGTTTAAAAGGAATTAAGAAATAATACCTTCCCTAATAATAATATAAGAAAAAAAAATAAAAAACATACGCTATAATTCTTTGTTTGCACTGCAACAAAAAAAAAGAAGTATATAATAATGCATTTAATCTTTCTAATAGGAAAAAAGTTGTTTTAAGCTATTTATAATTTTTAATTGTACATGTTATATTTTATTCTAGGTTCAAGGTTCCTTCAGGTGTTTTAGACTTAGGGTTCCTTTTTATTATAATAAGCCCATTATTAATATAGGAGTGTATATACTTCTTATGTTAATTACTACATTTATACGTGCTGTATAATTCTGTAGTGGCGTAAATACGAAGTATCTTCATCATACTTAAATGGAAATTTGCTTAATCCTTGTTTTATACAGATACGTAAAATTAATTTTTTTTTTTTTTTTGCATATACTGTATCGCGAAAAGTATTGTTTAATTTTGACGTTTGAGGATTCTGTTGCAGTGTTCTATACCTTTTTAAAAGGAAAAATGTATAATTATATGATACCATAATTTTCGTACACCGTTCATCCCCAAAAAGAAAACAAAAAAAAGGGGTGGCATAAAAAAGGAACACATGGAAATCGTACTATATAATAAAATATGGTCCCGGTCACATGGTAAATTACATCAGTCATGTGTACTGAAATAAATACTTCCTATTTATTAATTTTATTTAGAATTTTTCTAAAATGTTTATTATTTTTCATAAATCATTGTTATTATATTAATTGGGATATACAAGTATACAACATCTCTATGCACATTATCCCAGCCTATTCTAGTCAAGCGTTCGCTGAACACTGTTCATAAGTGTACGTGTTTCTAGTTTGAATTTTATACCGTATTCAATTGCTAAGAATAGCTTTCTGGACTCATTTATAGTATTGCAATGTGTCCAAAAGGGTTCAATAGAAATCGTCATGTTTCTCTGTTTCAAATAATGCCTTAGAATTACTAAATTTGAATAAGATTTATAATAATTGAGAAGTTCTACTAAGAGTTAACATTTTTAATAATTTTTCAAATACATCACCGCGCTCACCTGTGGGTTTTATAGTTATATCATTAATATTTGTATAATGCGGACCTTCTGCATACATGCCGCTCCTTAATAATCTGCTATGTATTATCACTACAACGTTATTTTATTTTGTTTGATTTTACCTTAGTTTTAAGAACTTAAAAAAAACAATAGCATCACAAAAAAAATTAATATGTAAAAATTTAAATTCGTTTCCTTATTAGACCAGGGTTCATTTAAGGTGCTAACGCAATATATATAAATATATATTTCAATTCAAACTGTATTTGACCGCAAAGGGAACAAGTAGTGTCAACGTTAAATGTGGAATGGGTGAATAATTCAATAAAACGAGTCTTATTTAAGTTTTTTCCTAAATGTAATTTCTTCTATCATGTTAACTAAATCGTCAATAGTAAAAATTTCATGTGTGCAAGTCTTTTAATAATAATGAATAAAAAGATTAGCAAAAAAATGGTTTCAGTTAATTTTCATTTTTAATGTAAAGGATTTTGTCTTCTTCTACTTTTTCTTTGGTGCAATGTAATTTTATTATAATTAGCATACTGGAATGGACTAATAGATAATAAAGAAAATCGTTATTCAGATGTGTTCTACGACTTCAAACCGTCAGAGAACCGGGAAATCAAAGAGGATATAAATAAAGTTGCTTTCCTTCATTATATATAGCACCTGTCAACATGCAATACCAAAAGTGAGATTGTCCTTACACATTTCATTCATAACAAGAACGCAAGATACATACTGATCAGTGAAAAATTAAAACAAAGTAATAAAGTGTAGTCATATACAATGTTCTAAATATATAATGATTTTGGCACAACTGTAATAAGGTGATCGACGAAACAAAAGCTTTGTATGACAGCCACCCCACTATGTGTTCTATAGAGAATTATATGTGAAGAAATAGTAACTTTAAATGTAGTATTTTATATAATAATATAACTGATATTTAAATGGAAAAATTGAAGTATCTACTATAAATGAAAAGGAATTAGTCACTGTAAGAATGTGTAAAAAGTTAAAAATACATATGCACATTTTGATGGAGTCAGATTTTGTATACGTTCTGCCATTCTACCTTAATAAGAGTTAATGAGTATTTAGCATATTTATTTTTTAAAATAATGATTACTAATGTTAACTAATGGGTGGGTTTCCCTATGCAAAAAGACAAGTAAAAGTCTCTACCACAGACAAATTTTCAGTTTGACTTAATGATTAGTAGTTTTTCGGAAATTAGAAATTTTAAGTATTGAAAATTTCTACAAATGTATATGTACAATATAAATGTAATAAGAAGGAAATACTAAAATATGTACTTTTGCAAGGTGCACCATTTCTAACACATCCCATATGAAAGTCATAGGATAAAGAAGTAGTTTATATATAAGTGGTATATTTTTGAGCAAAAAAAAAATATGAAGCAATCATAAGACAATGTATGTTTGAATTACATAAAAAGGTTAAATTTATATATATAAAGTATATATATACACTTAGTTTATATTTCAATGCGCTTGAACCACAAAGTGTTTATGTATGCTATAAAATTAGTGTATCCACTATTGAGGTCTATAGGCATTTTTTATGTACTGCTCATAATACAAGATACTTCCGTAAAGATTTATGTATTGCAAACATTTTAGTCCAATGTTTGTATTTCTTGTGCTTGTAAAGCATGTACATTAATAAAATGAATAAGAGAACAATCAATATAATAATATTCGCAGATACTACACCGGCAAATAGAAAATCCTTTAATATAAGAATTGGAACTATACATGAAACAACTGACATAGATAGAAAAAAAATTGTTGACACTTTAAGTAATTTTACTGATTCTGTTAATACAATTTCACCTGAAGGATCTTTAATATATTGAGATGTATAATCATTCTGTATACTATACATATCCTTTTCATATTTTGCAATCGCTTTTTTCAGATATTTAAATATTCTTGAGAATATAGATTTATTCTTGGGCCTATACATATACATTACAGGTAATTCCCATTCCACTGTGTTATATGGCTGCACTTCGCTGTCGATACTGTGCTGGCTGTCATAAAGTTTTCCGTCTTCATCATCATATTTAATTTTATCACATGATTCTCCACAACTATCAATAGTTTCGGAGGACTCATAAAACTGGTCATGATTATGAACGTTTTCATAGGACTCATAAAACTGGTCATAATTATGAACGTTTTCATAAGACTCATAAAACTGGTCATAATTATGTACATTTTGACTGCATCTGATTGTATTCAACTGTTCCTTGAATTTATTATGTTGCACCTTGGATTTTAAACTTCCTCGGGAAGTGTCGTCATTCTCATCTATGCTGTTTATAGTTTTATCTTTTAAGGGGTCGTATTTTTCTCCAAAATCGATATCTGTATTTCCCACTAGCAATCTGCGAGTTCTGGAATTCAATGCTATATCGGGCTGCACTATTTTATTATGCGGTTCACCAAAGTCAGTAGTTGTCTAAAAATTAGGGTAAATATTTACATATACGAAACGATAGAATTATTTAAATATTAATAAAATTTTCCTCATGAAATAAACCTGTGAAACAATTTCAATTGTGCAAAATATTTATGTAGAAAATGATATGGTACGTACAATATTAGAGTTAGTGGTTACATCAATAGTTCCTCTCGAATATTTCCATGGGGCTGCTAACATAGGTAACATCAGGAATTTAAGTAAGTATATGCCCCAGTTGTGTCCTTTCATGTTGTATATGCTTCAGATTTCTTATAATTCACGTGCAAAAGAGTAAACATTTTTACATTATTTGTCCATTTTTCTTTTTATCATATATGCAAGAAACTTATTGTTCCAATATAGTCTTAAAGGCTTCTGTATTTTATAAAATTAATATGTCCCTGTATTACCTACAACATAATATTATTTATCTAAAGTGAGCTATACTTCAACAAGAGAATAAAAAGAAATAATGGATACAAAAAAGAATTAATTTTGGTTGAATTTTTTTTGTAGTGAAGGAACCGCATTAAATATAGAATTAATTAAAAGAGTTTTTATGAATACAGAAATTCTGAAAAAACTGATATGTATGTCATAATGTATAATACGAATAACAACAAAACAACGCTCTAAATTTATGTGCAGAAGAAAAAAAAAGTATACATTTTTTATAGTTATATATATTTATGTTATCTTGTTTACTCAAGGTGATATATACTGAGTATTATATGAGTACTTACAATTTTTATTATGTATAATTAACAATACTATTGACCGTGTTCAATAGAACTGAATAATTTCATGACAGTATTTTTTTTTTTTTTTCGAAGATTATAAGTCGCACCAACTTTATCATACTTATATAGATGTCATTAGTTGCACCATTCCTTCATATTATATATAATTATCCTTGGTTCATGACATATTTTGATTTATACACGTGTATATATATATGAATTTTAATTTTATATCAAGACAGCGGATTTCGTTCCCCCAATAACATATATATGACTGCTTACGGATTGCCATAAATTATCTAAGCGTTTCAATAATTTTATTTAGAAATAATTATTTACTGATTATTGATCCAATATTTATATCTTATTTCCAATTGTTCATTTATATGTCTCATTGCTGCAGAGGAAATATATATAGCACTCACGAAATTAGGTCTTACACAGAAATCATAGATAGGTGATAAACTTTTGTAATTTTTCACAAATGAACATCTTAATTGTTCTACGCGACACATTATACAATATTTTAACAGAATGTATGGAGCATTCATGATATTGTAAATTTAGAAATAATAGGTTTCCTACAATAACAGAACATCTATTATATATCATTATAATATGTTTCTTATAATTATAAGAATGATTATGGGTGATAAAAATGTTACAGACCTGAAAGAATTGTACATTGTAATATAGGTGGACAATGGAAAAATTTAATTTATATTAAATAAGCGCTTATTTGATGTTCCGGTGGTTTATTAGGTTTCTCATAGTAGAACATAGTTAGAGCACCTCTGAACCCTACACCCTGAACGCCCAAAGCTGTCAAAAGGCATACGCTGCCTGGTTACATAATAATTTGTACATGTTTAAGAAACGTAATAAATGAATGCGGTCAATAACGTGTTGAAAAATTAAAGAATATTTCAGATACATTTCAATTTTATGCAAACACACACGTGGATTTATGAGTATGACAATATGTCCCTCTTTCCTGTTAGGACGAATGTCATGTTTCCTTAAAAAACAATAGAAATGATGATTGAACAATTATTCATTTAATACATAATATGTTTGTTTCTTCACCCGTTAAAAAATGATCTATAAAACTTTGTTTGCTGAAATGCGTTTAATGATACATGTCCCCCTTTTTTCATGAATTTCTCAAATTCATCCTTTGGAAAAAAAAAAAAAGAACAGGGCGTCTAACCTCCAACAGTTTATCAAATAAAAATGTTGATATATTAATAGTTGTGCGTTCATTTTTTTATGTTGACATATTTGTGTGTGTGCGTGGTAACTGAACCGTGGACCTAATTGGTCACACGAGTAGTCGACGCTTAGGCAAACTTTTGCAAAATAGCAGAAGATGATTGCAGCACATATGTCGCATAACATGTTACAATTACAACATTGGTGAATTCGTTTTCCTAACATATTAAGGATTTTACATTTATTTTTTTTTTGTTTTGTTGCTAATGTGTAATACTGTTCTACACGATGCTAAGGTGTCTGTTTCTTTCTGTGTCTTCCTATCTTTTGGCTTACCTTTTCGTTAGGAATGATCATAGTATATCGATTGAATTGTCTTCGTGAAAAAAAGGAACGTACCAAAAAATGATATGAGTACGCACACATAAATTTCACGCTAAGGATTTCATCTATTTCTAATACGACACACATGGCAACTATCATTATAGTGGTACACATATTACCATTATATAATGTTTTCCTTGTCCAATCATGCATATTCATGTATATTTTCCTTGGTTTTAACTTTTATGCAATATTGACATTTTGCGGATTTATATCTATTATTATCATATTTTAATACAAAAGGTCCAGTTCTAAAATAATCACTCTTTCATTCCTTTAATATGAAAATATGATTATTACAAGGGGAACAAGTCG